TCCTATATCAATCTTAAGTTGATTCTCCCTTCCGCTACAAGTTAAGAAAGTAATTGCCCACAATGTCATTGGCAGACTAAAATATAATAATGAGTTTTGCAGGAATTTCCATCTTGAAAAGAATGTCAAAAGGACTTCTGGATTCGATGACTATTTTGCTTGGTGTGTTTGGAACAGCAAACATAACAAATTTCCCGTATAAACACGCACACACCCACACATTCTCCTTTTTGCTTTTCCGTAATTTGTATTTGTATTAAATATTAGAACAATACAAATAACTCTCAAAATATAATTCTTTTTCATCCTGATATTAACATAGTTCGATTATTTTGATACATGTAAAAATCACAAGATAACGATCGTGTTTTTTTTGGAAGATATCAGTTATTATTATTAAGCATAATGATATACATTAAATAAATCATACGAACAAAAATTCCAGTGGGTGATGCAGCACCCCCAGCACCCCCTCTTCTCAGGGCCCTGCACATATATATATATTAATGTCGAGATATCTCCTCGGAGATCGAGGAAAATACACAAGAATATAAGGAATAATAATGTTCCGTACACGCAGAAATTAATTTTCCGTACACGCAGAAATTGTTTTAAAAATGTTCGCTCTTAGGGCTATAAGGCAAGTAATGGTTTTATTTAACTTTCAAAAATATTATCGTTATGCGTCGAAATATGCGCAGCCTATCCCCATAAATGCGCCAAGGTGCAAGGAGAGGGGACACGAATAATTACGTCACGAAGAAATATGAAAGAGTTTCCAATAAAAAGGAGGTTGATGTGATTTCTGTTATAAAAAATATAAACATGAAATTAATGGTTGTTTGTGTACAAGTCAATATACTAACACGTTATGCTGCGGGACTTCGCCAATAGGAGGCGCTGTCCAGTGAGACTAATCGTAGGTATATGCTTCTTTCCTCTGTTCTTTCCGTTCATAGTAGAAAATACTAATTACCCTTTCCCGATAGTGGGTTGTTTATAACGTGATAAAGGAAGTTCTCTAATTTCAATTCTATATCCGCACATTCTCTTAGTATATATGTACATCACGTCTATTCGAATTCTCTCAATCATTTATACCGCTTATTATCATTTTAAAATAAATCATTTAAAATGTCTCTCCCTTTATCATCTTCTCACAATATGTTACTCTTTACTTCTTCCATTCAAATCCATTTACTTTTTCATATCTCTATGTCTTTAAAAAATCTCTTATTATCTTCTCACATTCTCTCACTCTTTTGCTTTCCTCTCTTTTAAATCATCTCACTCCCTTTCATTCACAGATTCTCTTCCTTTATAACCTTCTCATATTGTTGCAATCTTGATCTGAGTCTTTCTTTCAAATTATATCACTATATCATACTTCTCTTTCATGACAAGTTTCTTTCATTTAAATCAATATCTCCTCACATTCTTTCCCTCTTTATCTCTTCCTTTCGAGTTCTCTTTCTAAATTATACATTTCTTTGTTTACAACTTCTCTCAATTTCTCCTCTCCACTCTTTCTTATGTGCTGTGTATCTCTCTTCTTCTTACTCAAACAAACACAATTGACAGGATAGTACCTGAAAGTAGATTATTGCACGTCAAACAAACATTTATTCACTAATACTACTATTTCAATGACTTTAGATAATAAATCATCCTGTAAAATGGGCAACACCATTGTTTCAAGATTAACTTTAACATCAGCTTGACTTACGGCAAATATTACCATTAGTTTTAAAAAAAAGAAGTTATAGTCCTAGCAATAGTCATGATAATAATAAAAATATAATGATAATAATGATAAAAATAATAAAATCAACAATACTCGTACGATTAATATTATTATCAAAATGTAAAGCGCCCATCAAATTGTTTCTTGTTGTTTTAATATCGTTTAACCTGCTCTTTTAAAAACCTATGGCAGTTCTGAAATTGCAAAAAACACTGTTCATTACAATTGCCCATTCACGAACTAAAATATAACCTCGTACCCTCACCATCGACAATATTTCCACAATGCATTATTTTATGATAAAGATGGCGTTCATCTTGCCTTCATTATTAATAAAGCTCGATAAAATAATCTTCTCATTCGCTTTAAAATGTGTGTGTGTTTTAGGTCATGATCGGTCATGTTCACGTTTGATATTTTGATACTAACGGTTTTACTCTTTCACACAAATCTGGCATAAGTGGATGTTGACGTGGCATTTCAGAAACAATGTTGCTCAGTGAAGCGTGTATAGATTAATGTAATCAATGTATCATTGGAAAGCATATTACTTCTTCTCTATGGAAGCAAGGCATCTTAAGCAGGGCTCCCACTTAGCCGAGTTGGAACCTCGAGTTGTGACGAGCTTGCGTGATCTTATGGCAAGCCGTTTTATTATTAATTGATATCAATAAATCAATTCTTGTAATAAAGAAATAAATTTATGTTGCAAAGCAATGGTAATTCTTAATATCAAGAATTCGATTTCGTGATATTAAGAATTGAATTCTTGATATCAAGAAATATGTTTTAATGATAAAACTGCTTGCCATAAGATCGCGCCAGCTCGTCACAACTCGAGGCTCCAACTCGGCTAAGTGGGAGCCCTGCTTTATGATACACCTCATTGATATTCATATGATCTATTTGTTTCGAGTTTCATCTTTTCTGGGATACAGCGTATAGTTAATGATTTATAAACAAGAGTCTTACTTGAGATTTTGACACCAAAACCATATTTGTTTTACCTTATGGCCCGGTCAGTCGGTCACACATAGACGACGCACGGCCGGCGCATTTAAAATCGAGAAAAATCCATTCGTCGTCATTCGCTGTGTGCGTCGGGATTTTTTGTATGATCGAATCTCTTTGGTCCAGCGTTGGTCCAGCGCCCTCTAGGAACGAGTAACGAATGATGACGCACACTTAGCGAACGATAGCATACGTTTTATGCTGCGCAAAGATTCAATCAGTTTAATCTTGGCCATCACAAGAAGTGGGTTATTGATGTAGACAAATGCTCATGTACCCTTTACAACTCTTTTCATGTATGTTATTACCAAAGAAGAAAAAAAGCCAGTCAGTCACTCAATAGTGTCTGACAGTGAAGTCTAGCAAGAAAACTGGTTTCCTTGCATAATTTGAATATGAGAACACTGCCAACGTTTAAATTTCACAGATAGGACACACATGACATATTAATAATTCCTGCAAAGTTCCACAGAATTTGAGGTTGGCTGCAAAAGGGACATAGTACCTTTAATGGTACGATCCAGTAAATTAAAACAGTAAAATGGCTCTTATTTTTAAATTACTCATTAAATAAAACCCAAAACTTCAGTGATATCAGACAAAATATGTTATATCTTACTAATACTTAAAAAAGATGTATAAACATTGTGAAAGTGTAGCATTTTACGATAAAAAGACATCGATGTAGCGAAGATGACGTCATTAGAACTTGTTTATGTGCGCTTGCAACAGGGAATTCAAGGTCAAAAGGTCAATTCAGACGCTGATAAGTTATTGGTCAAGCCTCTTTGTTTCCTTTATTCCGACAAAAGTATACAATCAATTAAAACAAGTTTAATACCAGAAGAAAGCTAACGATTAGTATTTTCATTAACCGCTTGCCCCAAAGTCGCTTGACCACAGTGAAATGAGTGAGAGCTTGCGAGAGCGGCCAAAGTGTGATGAAAACTCGCTATTTGCTCTTCTCCAACGCAAAAAGAGACGACATTGTGCCGGATAAATATATTTTTTCCTGACAAAAGTACAGAAAATTTGCATATGGTCTTTTTATATTATACTTTATGAAATGTTACCCGAGTGACTCCCGGGCCCCCAGTGCCGGAAAGAAACGCACATTTTAGAAAACTTCTCTTTTCCATGACAAAAAAATGTTTATTTGTTCTATGCACGCAAGTCAGATTTAGTGGATGATACAACGTTTCCATATGGTCGATTCGACAACTTATAGTTGTTATTTTCCCACTTAAAGACATTTTAGAGCCCTCCCCTCCCCCTTTTTTTAAGGGCAGTTCTAAACTAGTATTGTCTTTCAAATGCCGTTGGAATTTAACATTTTCACCTTATTGGCCTGCAAATTTGACATAGTACCTTTAAAGGAAAAAGCAACATAAAAACACAATGATAGTACAACAATATATATATACATATATATATATTGTTTATGTACAGTACGATCCTATTCCCAAATCCAACCTTGTGGGAGACAGTGAGCATGGGATAACAATAAGTAAAGCTTTTTACAATACTAAATTTCAGCGAGATTAATAATGTAAAAAAAAAAACACCAAAAATAAAAGAATAAAAAGGAAAAGAAAAAAACCAATCAATAATCTACTAATCTCATATTTGGTCGTATATCTATTTATCGCAAAGTCAAAATATATTAATAGTATAAAGATAAGCAGCAATGCAAATGAAAAAAATTAGAAATTTTGAGTTCAAACAACAAGACTTGAACTTTTACTTATACATGTATATTATCATTATTATTATTATATAATCTGAGACAAAGTTACCCAATCCCTTTAATGAACTAATTCATACCGGGTATCCATTTACTTCACCTGGGTGGAGAATGGCAAAATAATGTAAAACTAATGTCTTACCAAAGGACACGTGTGCCGTGACAGGGATTCGAACCCCGTAACGTGTGATTCAAGTCTGGAGACCTAGCCAACAAACCACAACACCTCCACGGTGTGTTTATACTCTACTAGCAATACTAGAAAATACTCCTACTTTTCAAAATGTAATAGCAATTAAAAAAATAATAATAATGATAAGGATAATTATATTATTGATAATAATAATAAAATGATAATAACAATAATATATAATAACAGAGTAATGAATTATAACAATGATAACAATAGTGATAATAGTAACTATAATAATAAGCATGATGAGGATGATAATAATAGTTATGAATAATGATAATATTATTATGATAATAGTAATAATATTAATGATGATATTAATTAAACAACATAACATAGCTGTAAAACTTCCGTTTATTCAGCTATGCCAAGAACTTCATATCTCATGCCCTGGTGCTCCTGCCACGTGAGTGGGTGTATTCTGACGTATCGAGCAGTGATTGGTCGAGGGAACAGTATGGTCCCGGGAGTGCTGCGATCGTAGTTTGCTGCGTAGATCTGAAGATTATGAGGAAGAAATTATCATTTTAAGGACATTGTATTAGTTTTTCAGTTCAATTTAAAAAAAAATTATAACACAATATCTTTCGCGGCATAAGCAGAATTGCAAATGTGAACTCACAAAGTAAAATAAAATTAGAAATACAAATACATGAGTTGTTATATGGAATACACTTGATATAATTGGGTAAAAACGATGCCAATGTAAGCTTGGTATAAGTATCGGATATGAAGACATTTACATGTACGACGGAATGCTTGCGAATAGTCACAACGTTTCCAGGGGGGGGGGGGGGTGGCCTCTTTTACCAAAATATCAACTTTACCGTTGACTTTCTGAATTGCGAAATGATCAAGCAAATTCAATTCTGACATTTATCTATCTAATGCAGTTTTGCCTCGAAACACATTAGATAAAACAAAACAATAGATGTAATTCCAATTAAACAATCTCGCTGCCCGAATAGGCAACAACAGTGTGAAATTATTAGCAAGATTGTTGAATAAGTGTTTTTGTATACAGGGAGGGTAGGGGGTGGTAGCATATAAGATTCAAAACAACACCAGCAATAAAAGCTGCATGTGAATTCCTACAATATGCTGTTCATTATCAACCATCATTAATTTTTTAATGTCACCTCTACAAACTTTAACAAGTAAGCTGCCATTGCCATGTTTAAAGAACATTTTAAGGTTTGCAGTTACAAACAATTCTACCAAAAAAAATTCACATACAAATTGCGGCTACGACACTAAAGGCCAAAGGCCCACGGGTGAACCATTAAAAGTCTGATTTCGACCTTTTCCTCTGAATTTTGTTTTGGTTAATTTCTAAAAATCTTATCTCCACTTCCTTTCCTTGTATCTTTCTTCATTCTCTTTCTCTAATGTTCTTCTCGAGCTTTCCTTTTGTATTTGTATTTTTTTATATCTTTCTTTTACTTTCTCCTAATCGTATGTTCAAATGTCTGTTTTCGATTTTTTTTTTTCTTTTCTTATCCAGATATTAAACTTATCTTCTTCAACATTTTTTATAATATTGCACTTGTGTTTATTAGAAGCTGGGTATTTTATGGGCTTTCCTATCACTGTTGTAGTGTATTTTCAATTGCGCCATCATTCGGTGAAGGCGTTTCTATACGCAAGCATCAACAACAACAAAATAACCTGTGCGTCCTCAGTTTATGATGCCTTATGGGATATGGCTGTTTAGGAACTTTTGGTCTCGTGGATGCCATTCTACTGAGATGTCCTCAAATGTAATATCATTTATAAAGTCAGACATAACTTTGGAAAACCGAGCACAGGTAAATATGCCGAAAACGGCGTATAATGCACGATGAATATAGACTCTTTAAAGTTCAATGCGAGGCAGTCTGTACGAAAGGCATGGGGAAATCTTGCTAAGTTAACATGCACTTTATTTGTGCTTTAAGAGAAATGCTGTTGGTTAATTAGTCCTTTAACGATTCGTCATATAATAAAACTTTATTTTAATGACCAACGCTTCAGAATAGACATATCCACAGCATAATTCTCTAGGGATTTGGTATCTTTGCCTAAGATTTCCAAAAAAAATCATAATTATAAGCCTTTATGTCGGTCAGGAATCTCATGACTTTTACAAGCCGATCGCCTGTCTGATTATCAAGATATCTATGACTGGAATTGGAAATGTCAACAACTGTTTGCCAAACAGCTGTGAACAAAAGTATTGGGGAAAATGAGTATGTAAAAACGGTCACTCAAAGATTTTTACTTTTTTGACGCACTATATCTATATGATCATTTTGAATTGCTATTTTTTTTAGGGCTTCACTATTACACCATATCACAGACACTGATAACACGTAGAACCTCAGATTTGTAAAACTGGAAACATTGTTAAACAACGCCTTTAATATACATCAACAACAGGTCGACGATGCAATATTTCCCGATGCCTTTTGCACACACAGTCTCGCACTGAACGATAGCGGCTATATACTGTACATAGTCTAAATGACATGTGCTCAGTTTTCCCAAGTTGGGTCTGAAATACATAATTCTAGTACTCACTTTTTGTTCACCACATTGTGGTCCTAAAGCATAAGTCCATGTCACGTCATCCAGCGAATAGGATACCTTGACAGAAGTAATCCATTGTTCCCACCCCCATCTGCCTTGTACGATAACACCAGTGACGGTAGAGGTCTTTCCAAGATCTATCTGACTCATCAATGCATTAATAGAAATAGAACTTAGCAAAAATTTAAACTGATAAATAAATAAATATAAATGCATAATATGAAATAACTTTGACAACGCAAAAATTTGGCAACTCTGTTGGAAATAAATACACATTTGTAAGTAATGCAAGTTAGAGGATGCAGGCGTGTAGCTCTATCAAAGTTTCCCATTAATGTCCTTCCTTTTGTGATAGGCTTAGAACAACAATGCTGTTTAACAACTAGACCAAGAAGACGGGCAGGTAGTTTCGGCGAAAGAAAATTACAGACTGACAGTTTGACAAATGTTAAATCTTTATTGGTCCTTTGTCGGGGGAGTGGAAGGCAGATGAGTTAAACGATGACAAGCCACGTACCTCAGTTGGATCCTAGCTTCGAGCTTGAATACGTGCCAAGTCGCAGTGGCGGATCCAGGGGGCCGAAACGGCCGCGGCCCCCCCCCCCCCCCCTATTGGCGGCGCAAAAAAAAGGATGAAAAAAAAGAGGAAGAAAAGAAAGGAGAAGAGGAGGAAAAAAAGGAGAAGAGAAAAGAAAGGAGAAGAGAAAGAAAAAAGAAGAGAAAAGAAAAAAGAAGAGAAAAAATAAAGAAGAAAGCCCCCCCCCCCCCCCCCCCCCCCCCACTCCGGGTCGGAGGGACCGAATCTGTGTTCCCAAAATTTCCGATAAAGAGTTACTTTTCACGCAATTCCGGCCCGTAATACACACAAATCCGGCCCGTACACCGGAGATAGAGGGGTGCTTTCAAAGAGAGGGAACATACATGTGCGTACCCTAGATAACACTGAGTGGGTGGGGGGGGGGGGGTGGGAAAAGAAAAGTCGGGTGAGAAAGGGGGAAAGACAAGGAAATGGCGCTATGCGACAGTAACGATGAACAAGGGAAAACTGTAATCAGGAGATTTGGGGGTCATTCCAGAAGGCTTGGCAAACGTTATTGAATAGAGGGGGCCGGGCCGGCCGCATAAAATCTCGAGCCGCGGATTCAAAGTTAAACGTTAAGAACAGCCCCTGCGGTTATCACTCTTTATTGAGAAATTTGAAAAGGGCATAATATTTTGGATGTCTTTTAAATAGAAGCTATATACTCAACAGTCAAATTTTAAATTAACGGTAGGGCCGCTTCACAACTCTTATTTTGCCCTTCATTTGGATTCAGCTCATACCAACTCGCTTGTGCTTGTATTTGAACTCATGTTGGTAGTAATCATGGACAGGGGCGGCAATCCTGGGCCCGATAGGGGGACACGTCCCCAAGGAGTTTAGAAATATAGCTAGAAAGAAATATAGCGGAAAGAACGTACATATTGGGCTTAAGGATTTTCTAGAATGCATAATTTCAGCATTCAACATTGCAAAATCTCGCTTAGTCGCTACGCCCCGGCCCACAGTGGGCCAGGGAGGAACCAAAGTGCGCCAAAACTCATGTTTGGGGATTTATTTTTTATAAATCCAGAGGAAATGTTTGGATTTCCAGGGATTTGCGCTAAAATTTTATTACCAACATTTTCTCTGATGTCTAAGCTTTAAGTTGATACCAGATTTGGCTGCCCGATTCTGCCCGTTATTATGTTAGAGCCGTTTTCCTTGCAACATTGCCCCGAAAATGTGTTTATTTCGGTCCGCGGTGTCAGAATAAGTGTCACGCGCCCCCTCGCGCCGTGATTTATGACCACGAATCCTTCATGATTCAGCCGCGGACCCCCAAAACCCACATTTTTCGGGGCAATGTGGCAAGGGAAATCGGCTCTAACATAACAACGGGCAAGATCGGGCAGCCAAATTTGGTATCAACTTAAAGCTTAGACATCAGAAAAAATGGTGGTATTAAAATTTAAGCGGTACACTGCGAAGATCTAAACATTTCTTCTGGATTTATAAAAAACATGGATAATTAGTCCATTTTTCAGTGAATTACCCTATAATATATCATGAAGATTGTGTTTCTATTAATTTTAACCCATTCATTCAACGAAATGAACTATCAGGAATATGTGAGAGCAATTTCATATCAATAACTTAAAAACTTCATGTTGAATTGAAAGATTTATAAAATAAGTCACTTTTGCACTAAAACTGTGAATATGTAGGATTTTGCTGTTTGAAGTAGTAAATTTATACCCTTATTGTGCATAACGAAATTAAATATTTCACTGAGGTATTCCTCTATGTATTACCTTTCAACTGGGCAAGAAAAAAATTGGAAAAAAAAAATCACCCAAACTTAGTTTTGGCGCACTTTGGTTCCTCCCTGGCCCACTGTGCGGCCCTCGCCCGATAACACAAAACTATGACACTCCCGGCCGTGATTTATCCATGGTTGGTGTAATAGATCTTTCTTCCCTTTCATTTCTACTAACCTAATTGTGTGCTATCACAATCATGATTGTTTCATTTTCCCTTTAAAGCAGGCGCGTAGCCAGGGGCGGTAGGGGCAGTAAGAGGACATTTTTGAACATTCTGACAAGTCGAGAACGGTACAACGAATCGTCTTCTTTCTCTAATAATTTAATGAAATGTCAAAGCTTCCGCGCATCGCTCGGGAGGGGGGCAACTGAATTCTGACAAGGATTTGGAGTCGAGAATGGTAAAAGGAATCATCTTCTTTATCTAATAATTTAATGAAACATCAACGTTTCCGCGCTTCGCGCGGGAGGGTGAAAACTGAATTCAGAGAAGGATTAAGAGTCGAGAATGGAACAACGAATCATCTTCTTTCTCTAATAATTTCATTAAACTATAAACGGTCAAAGCTTCCGCGCTTTGCGCGGGAGGGGGAAAACTGAATTCAGACAAGGATTAAAAGTCGAGAATGGTACAACGAATCGTCGTCTTTCTCTAATAATTTAATGAAACGTCAAAGCTTAAGCGCTTCGCGCGAGAGGGGGGGGGGGATGGGACTCAATTCAGACTAGGATAAAGAGTCGATGATGGTACAACGAATCAATTTCTTTCTCTAATAATTTAATGAAACGTTAAGCTTCCGCGCAAAGCGCAGGAGGGGGAAACTGAATTCTGACAAGGATTAAGAGTCGAGAATGGAACAACGAATCATCTTCTTCTCTAATAATTTCAATAAACTATGAAAGGCAAAAGCTTCCGTGCTTCGCGCGGGAGGGGGGGGGGCTGAATTCAGAATTCAGTCAAGTAATAAGAGTCGAGAATGGTACAACAAAGCTTCTTTCTCTAATAATTAATGAAAGGGCAAAGCTTCCACGCTTCGCGCGAGAGGGGGGAAACTGCATTCAAAGAAGGATTAAGAGTCGAGAATGTTACAACGAATCGTCTTCTTTCTCTAATAATTTGATAAAACGTCAAAGCTTCCGCGCTTTGCGCGGGAGGGAGGAAAAACTGAATTCAGAGAAGAATTAAGAGTCGAGAATGGTACAACGAATCATCTTCTTTCTCTAATAATTTCATTAAACTATAAAAGGTCAAAGCTTCCGCGAGAGGGGGGGGGGGGGGGGACTCAATTCAGACAAGGATTAAGAGTCGAGAACGGTACAACGAATATTTTTTTTCTCTAATAATTTAATGAAACGTTAAGCTTCTGCGCTTTGCTATGGAAGGGAAAACTGAATTCAGAGAAGGATTAAGAGTCGAGAATGGAACAACGAATCATCTTCTTTCTCTTATAATTTCATTAAACTATAAAAGGTCAAAGCTTCCGCGCTTTGCGCGGGAGGGGAAAACTGAATTCAGACAAGGAATACGAGTCGAGAATGGTACAACAAATCGTCTTCTTTCTCTAATAATTAATGAAAGGTCAAAGCTTCCGCGCTTCGCGCGGGAGGGGGGGGGGGGGAATCAATTCAGACAAGGATTAAGAGTCGAGAACGGTACAACAAATCGTCTTCTTTCTCTAATAATTTAATGAAACGTCAAAGCTTCCGCGCTTTGCGCGGGAGGGGGGGGGGTGGGACTCAATTCAGACAAGGATAAAGAGTCGATGACGGTACAACGAATCATCTTCTTTCTCAAATAATTTAATGAAACGTTAAGCTTCCGCGCAAAGCGCAAGAGGGGAAACTGCATTCAAACAAGGATTAAGAGTCGAGAATGTTACAACGAATCGTCTTCTTTCTCTAATAATTTAATGAAACGTCAAAGCTTCCGCGCTTTGCGCGGGAGGGGGAAAACTGAATTCAGACAAGGAATACGAGTCGAGAATGGTACAACAAATCGTCTTCTTTCTCTAATAGTAATAAGGTCAAAGCTTCCGCGCTTTGCGCGTAATGGGAGGGGGAAAACTGAATTCAGACAAGGATTAAGAGTCGAGAACGGTACAACAAATCGTCGTCTTTCTCTAACAATTTAATGAAACGTCAAAGCTTCCGCGCTTCGCGCGAGAGGGGGGGGGGGGGGGGGGGGAGGGGGATGGGACTTAATTCAGACTAGGATAAAGAGTCGGTGACGGTACAACGAATCAATTTCTTTCTCTAATAATTTAATGAAACGTGAAGCTTCCGCGCAAAGCGCAGGAGGGGGGAGCTGAATTCTGACAAGGATTAAGAGTCGAGAATGGAACAACGAATCATCTTCTTTCTCTAATAATTTCAATAAACTATGAAAGGCCAAAGCTTCCGTGCTTCGCGCGGGAGGGGGGGGGGGCGGGGGGTGGCTGAATTCAGAATTCAGTCAAGTAATAAGAGTCGAGAATGGTACACCAATTTTTTTTTCTCTAATAATTAATGAAAGGGCAAAGCTTCCACGCTTAGCGCGAGAGGGGGGGAACTGCATTCAAACAAGGATTAAGAGTCGAGAATGTTACAACGAATCGTCTTCTTTCTCTAATAATTCAATGCAACGTCAGAGCTTCCGCGCTTCGCGCGGAAGGGGGAAAACTGAATTCAGACAAGGATTAAGAGTCGAGAACGGTACAACGAATCGTCTTCTTTCTCTAATAATTTAATGCAACGTCAGAGCTTCCGCGCTTCGCACGGGAGGGGGAAACTGAATTCAGACAAGGATTAAGAGTCGAGAACGGTACAACGAATAGTCTTCTTTCTCTAATAATTTAATGAAACGTTTAGCTTCTGCGCTTTGCGCGGGAGGGGGAAAACTGAATTCAGAGAAGGAATACGAGTCGAGAATGGTACAACAAATCGTCTTCTTTCTCTAATAATTAATGAAAGGTCAAAGCTTCCGCGTAATGGGGGGGGGGGGGGGGGAGCGAGCTACCCGAATATGAGTTTTTGATATCTTTTCTCGTTTATTTTGGTGATAAATAACAATCTCACAAAAAAAATATTATGCTCAAATTGTTGCTCGCTCGCTTCGCTCACTAGCCGAATTGTGAAAACCAGAAAATACTCTTTTCGGGCAAGAGGCTATAGCACCCCCCCCCCCCCCCCCCCCCCCATCCCCAATGAAAATGTCAAAAATTGTACCGGTATGGTGCTTCTAATATGACCTTGAAAAAACAGTCTGCGCAATTTTCAAATTCCCCCCCCCCCCCCCCCCCCCCCCCCCCCCTATTGGAAAAATCCTGGATCCGCGCCTGCCAAGTCGTAACATATATTTATAATATATATATATATATATATGTACATATAAATGTGTGTGTGTGTATGTGTGTGTGTGCGTGCGTGTGTGCGTGCGTGTGTGCGTGTTTGTGTGTGTTGTGTATGACATGACGACGAAAACAAATTTGAAGAAAGAGAGGTTTCATGCTCTAAATTAGTCCAGAATCTGCACGGTCCTTATTTTTTTCCACACACTTGATTTAAGCCGTCGAAGATGGCGTTATCAACAAACTCATAATAATGCTCACCAGCCCGCGCATATTTTTTTTACACAACTGTTTAGCCATTTCGCGAAAAAAATTCCAAGAAGTGCTCTGGTGAAAGAGTCTAGGTCGTCAACGCACTATATAATGTGCAAGCAAAGACGATAGAAGGGGGGAAAACAAGGATAGTGTAGAGGATATGGAGAAGGAAAAACAAGGAAATACATAAGGAAAGAGAAGAGGATAAGTCAAAGGAAGAAACACAACAAATACATATTTGAAGAGCCAAGAGGATCATCATCTAGACTAAGGAAAAACATGGAAATACATAAAAAAGGATAAGGGATCATCTATCAGATTAAAACAAAGAAATAAATGACGAAGGAGAAATGGATAGATTGAAGGGGAAACAACGAAATACATAAAACAAAAGAATAGAGGTTAGAATAAAGGAGAACAAAAGAAATACATAACGAAGGACTGGGGGATAGATTGAAGGAAAAACAAAGAAATGTATAACGAAGGAGAAAAAGTTCATGACAAAAGAGAAGAGGATAGATAGAAGGAGAGCACAGAAATATATAATGAAGAGAAGAGAGGTTAGATTTAACCCGAAATAACGAGTACGTACACATACTCAGGCGCGTACACAGGGGGAGGGTTTGGGGGGTTAAACCCCCCCCTTTGGTAATTTTTTGTGTGTAAACCCCCCTAAATTCTCTAAAACCCCCCCCCCCCCCCTTTTTTTTTTTTTTTTTTTACACTGTCGCTCATAAAGGTGGAATATTTTTTTTTTTTCCAATTTATGGAATTATTTAAAAATAATTTTAAAATAATAGATCTAGATAATAGTATACATTCTCAGATTTATTGAATAATAACTTGCCAATGTGTATTTTGCGTGACTGCTAAAGCATGTGTATGCTACTATGCTTATCAACTAGGGGACCTATGCCCTTAAGTCATAAATGACAGTAATGAGTATTAATGCCCCACAAAAGGGCACTAATATAGCACATCGACACGGTTTCGATCCTGGGGCCTCACAGTTACGAGGTCATTGCTTTGTCACTGAACCATGACTGTACGCAGCGGGGGCTAGGGTAGGGGGCAGTTTCCATAAATTAATAAAAAAAAAAAAAAAAATGCAATAAATTTTCAATAATTTATTGCATTTTACACCGGTGCCTAACAAAACAAAATTCTGTGTGCCCATGCCTTGAGTCATAATGCATGGCAGACCAGAAGATTTTTTTATGTTGGGGACCGGGGTAAAATGCAATAAATTATTGAAAATTTATTGCATTTTGTGCATTTTTTTAATTTATGGAAACTGCCCCCTACCTAGCCCCCGCTGCGTACAGTCATGGTTCAGTGACAAAACAATGGCCTCGTAACTGTGAGGCCCCAGGATCAAAACCGTGTTGATGTGCTATATTAGTGCCATTTTGTAGGGCAATCATCCTCATTACTGTCATTTATGACTTGAGAGCGTAGGTCCCCTAGTTAATAAGCATAGTAGCATACACATGCTTTAGCAGTCACGCAAAATACACATTGGCAAGTTATTATTCAATAAAATCTAAGAATGTATACTATTATCTATATCTATTATTTTTAAATAATTTTTAAAATAATTCCATAAATTGGGGTAAAACTAAAATATTCCACCTTTATGAGCGACAGTGTATTAAAAAAAAAAAAAAAAAAAAAAAATTCCCATGGTTGACCTAAAAAAGCTGACCTTACCCCACCCACCCCCCCCCCCCCCCCCCAACGGAGCAAAATGTCAATTTTTCAAATTTCGAGACCAAAACAAAAAAAAATGTGCCCTTTAGCCCCCCCCCCCCCCCCCCCCCCCACCCCTGAGGCGACTTTTTGACTGGCTGAGTCGTTGCGATTTTTTTGGGACCAAAAAAAAAAAATGTCCGCTTACCCCCCCCCCCCCCCCCCCCCCCCCCCCCCCCCCCCCCCCCCCCCCCCCCCCCCACTGAGCGACCTTTTGGCCTGCGCGATTATCAAATTTTCCTGAGTCGTTGCGAAATTTTGGACTCGATTTTAACCCCCCCCCCCCCCCCCCCTTGAAAAAATCCTGCGTACGCCACTGCACATACTACTCCAGCAATCCAACAAAACTGCTATTAAGGGTAATGCTAGACTCTGTCTCTAGTCGTTTGCACAGTATATTTGACTGAAGTGGCTAAACAGTTGTGTAAAAAAAATATGCGCCACCAGCCCAGCCGGGCGTCTTAATTTTATGATCACGCCATCATCGGCTGGTAGCAAGTAAGTAGAGAGAGGTAGCTTTGGTGTGGTGGAGATCAAAATTAAATAGGTCAGATTCTGGACTAGCTCTAAATCCAATGGTTTTTATTAGTACGCAAATTTCGCGCAATTTTGAAATTCCATAAATAATTAAGTGATCAGGATAAAGAAAACAGAGCATAACAATTATTTAAAGCCCCACTGTCCTACTTGTAGCTACTTGCTCCCTCTGTATAGAAAACTTCCCCAATCGGTCCCTGTTGGTCCCCCATGATCCTTTTTTTCTTATGTTAGTTGAGAGCTGAGTTAATGACATAGCCACCTGTCAGTGACCTCGCTGTGTGGTCTAATCCCTTCTGGCCCAGTAGTATTAACGGTCTTTAAATATACAATGTCCCATTTGCAGGTCAAAAAATGAAAAGGTTAAATTCAATTTGAAAGACAATAATTATTTAGAACTTCCCTCAAAACGAAAGAGTTTGAAAATGACTTTTTATGGGAAAATAACGATCATTAGATGTCGAATTGACATAAGTGATTGCAATCTCCTTACTAATAGTCTGATTTTCAGACCCTTATACCGAATGGTCGTACGTGTTGTGCTGCACAAAGATTCAATAAGTTTAATTTTGGCCGATACAAGTAGTGGGTTATTGATGTAGACAAATGCTCATGTACCTGTTACAGCTCATTTTATGTATGTTATTACCAAATTTAAAAAAGTTGACAGTTAGTCACCCAATAGTGTCTGACAGGGAAGTCTAGAAAGTACACAGGTTTCCTTGAATAAATTGAATACTAGGAGACAGCTAACGTTTAAATTTCACAGATAGGACATACATATTTAAACAAATTCATACTTCCTGCAAAGCTATATACATTTCATGTTGGCTGCAAAAGGGACATAATATCTGTAATAGAGAGTTTCCAACTGTCCAAGGCAATGCGATTTTTTTATTAGAAGTAGGTAGATAATTACCAAGTAAATACTTGCTTTCAAAGCAGTAGGGCGAGGTAATATAAATCATCAATGATTAATACCATCTTTAGGGTGCGAGTAAGGGTTTCATTTGGACTTTACGTTAGCGTTAATATTGGAGTTAGATAGTGCTAGAATTTAGGAAGAACGGTATTTATGATGAATTTGCTTTCCAGGGGGATCACTATTATAATTTGTGTTATCGGACTCACCTTGACCCATTTATCCGTGTCATTATCCTTGGCAAGCCATGCTGCCTTCTCGTGTAGAGCAACTCCGCCGTTCAATCTTCCATCTGATGCAGTGTAAAGATAATCATAATCGGACGAGGAGGTGAGACGAGAGTCTGGGATTCGTCCATCTTCCACTCCCATTCCTTCCCCTCGGATAGGACATGAACAGCTTACCTCTTCCTGGTCCATCGCAGCTGAAGACAACAAACGTACAGACAAACTTTGTCAGTGTATAAAAGAGATCTATTAGGTCTTTTTTTGTTTAGAAGTTAGTTGCTTAAAGAGTTTTTCAGAAAACCAAAACTTTTAAAACTCATTTTAGTTCAACTACTGCGAACACACTACAGGCGTGCATAATAGCTAACTGGAAATCAACACAAGTTAACTTTTAGAATACCACCTCTTAACAACAGAACGAACAAGAAAATACAAATGGCCCCAAGTTTTGGGTCGTTTTGGAGTCGATTTGACGATTAGCCCCAGGTATTAGCGTCGTCAGTGCCGTTCTTGCTAATCGAATCCTCGATTTTCGCATCTCAAGCCGATTATTTAAACCGTTCTATTACATCACCTACATGGATACTAAGTGACGTAGTGCGGTGGATAAGCCATCGGACTGAAGATGACAGGGGCCACAGTTCGATTCCCTGCCTGACACAAGTGTCTTATTAGCAAAACATTAACCTATACATTCCCAGGTGTGAATGGGTACCTGATATTTTTCAGCGCTAGTTACTCTGGTGTATCAGCTCAGCTATACCAAGGGTAATAATAGTTAGCGCCGTGAGTGTCACAGCGTTACGTGACGGATAGGAGCGCTTTAAAAAAAGTGATATGTCCTTGTTTAATTGGCCCAAACATGTGGATCAATGTGTGCAACACTTTATAACTGCAAGGAAAGGCGCTTCATCAAATACCTTTTGAATTGGCTTGAATAAGGAAAAATTATTATTATTCCAATCCTTCTTTTGCTCCTGGGTCTTTTTAAGGATGCAACCTTACCCACCTAATAAGTCATTGAGAGGTCCATAGCCAGTGAGTTCTAGCCTGAGGGCCCGGTGTACATGGGCCGTCTTTGGATGGATACGAAAAAATCGGCATTCGATCGGCCTACAGATGGTGTGCACCACAGTACTATTTGGGTCGTAGTTTCCTGTGTAGACCTAAACGAGATAATACAACCAAAAGATGATGAGATCAACTTGAGTTTGAAGTGTTGCATTTCAAATATCTAATGATCAAACCAATTATGTTCCTTTTAAAATGGTCGTTTGACACAATTTTTGATAATAAAATGTCATTTTAAGTGAACGAATAATAAAAACTAGGATAAGTTTTCTTTAAGTTTGCTTTCTTTAATTTTAGATTCTCATCACGTCATGTGTTTTTTTTTTTTTTCTCCATACTATTAGGCAGTTATGTTTTTATACTAAAACGATAACAGAGCAATTTGTGATCAGGACACATTTATTGTTTCCGACAAGATTTAGAAAAAAAACATGTTGTTGTTTCTGTTAGTTAGATTTAAAAAGGGCTTGCACATTTCTACTACTTTTTTAAAACTTCCGCCGTACAAAGCCTATTTTCTGTGTAATTTTCTGTGTTTCTGGGTAATATCTTTCCTGTTACTTCCCATCTCTCTCTCTCTCTCTTTCTCTCTTTCTGTCTAAAATAATAAGTTGATATGAGGGTGGAACAATAAACATCCAATAACGAAGTGGATTATAGGGGATGTCATTTATGAATACGTTATATTTATACTCAGTGTCGTGGCTGTACTCTCTAAAAAAATCGAGTGATCACGGACGTCACTCCTCTGGAGAGTGAAAATGTAGTGAAAATAGAGTGAACATTTACTCTTTTCTTCTTAGAGAGCACTCTAAAATCAATCGATCTTCACTCCTAAACAAGTGATCACGGACGTCACTCCCAAGAAAGTGAAAATAGAGTGAAAATTCACTCTCTTTTTTTAAGAGAGTATGGGGGCACACGGGGGAGCACGTGCCCCTTCGAATTACAAAGAAAAAAGAAAAAGAGGCAAATGATAAAAAGAGGTGTTATAGCAAATAGAGAAATGGGAAAAGGATGTGGAACGGGAACAATAGTACTATATCCTAAGCAGTGGCCTTGTAAATCAGCATATCATTTTCCCCAATTAGACCGGTGCCCCCCCCCCCCCAATTATGCCAGCGCCCCTCAATATATGGGCTCTCACTTCGCCACTGATTATAATCATTTATTTCATTGAGATTTAAACTCTTTATATGCCACACAAATAATCTTCTTGTGTCACATTGTATTTATCATTTGATAGACGTACCGAAGGCTTCATGATTATTTAATTGTTTTCCGGGCAAGATCTGTACCGGTTTTGGAATGTTGTTATTGGAGCTAATCACGATCGGACAAGGGTAATTTTGCAAACCCGCTGTGTTGCAGAGAGGCCAAGAAAGCAAACCACATGTTAATACCTTGACCGTGTTGGTGTTGATATCCTGGTAGTAGGTCCAAGATGCTCCGTCCATACTGGATGAAACTATGTACGATGTCACCCACTGTTCTGGACTATCTGCTCTGCCTTGCGTCATGATGGCGGTGATGACAAAAGCGGAAGCGAAATCGATCTGAAGCCAGGGGTCTTCGTCAGCAATATCGGGGAGCCACGCAGAAGGACTGTTCAGACGGGCGTTTGGTCCACCCAACGTGTCATTGTACCTACTCGAGATTGAAATGGCGCTGTTAGGAACCTTACCGCTTTCTAGACCGACTGGGCTACCTCGAGGTGTGCTACACAGGTTCACTGTTGAAAGACAATCACAGGTCTTTAAAACTCACAGACAGGTTTTTTAATGGACCAGGAAACTACTACCTAACCAGTTAGGCTAAATCAGCATTCATAACCATACACATTTGGAAGTTCTAGCACTTGTGCGTTAGGAGACATGTGAATCTTGTAATGATTTTTTTTTACCAACTGCCTGTCCCAGTTAATCCGAACGCTTTACCTAACCCCAAAATTGGTACTCAATATCACCTAAAACCCAATTACAGCCGTATCATTATCCCTATGGCCCGTATTTTACTAAATCTTAAACATTTACACAAAATAAATATGGAAAGTTAATGTGGGATATCAGTTTTGTTTTGTTAAACGTGATCTCAGGCACAGGGTCGTGCTTTTGAAGAATATGGTACTATATCTTTGACAAATTGAAGCCATGAACAATTATCGCCCAAGCAAATGTCTCAGAATCCCTGTGAATTATATTACGAACCTAATTTGAACAATTTGTGCCGAATACCGAAGATGATTTAGGTGGAGAGTCTCAACTAATGATAATTAATACAAACACGTGGCAATTTATTAAGGATGTACAAATAAAACAAACAGAGTGTCTTGATTCTCTGATGTCTGACGCTTCAAAACTACACAGAAGAGTTGTATAGATTAGAGAGCTTAAGAGAGGTTTGTAATGCGTAGCTAGCTAATTCCTTAAATTAACCAGCACAGAAAATGAATGTGCAGTTGAAAATAATGTCAAAGTCTTTTTGAATTTCCATGGTTTCAACATAACGAATTTCTTTAGAAATAGTTTGGACGGATCCCAAATAAATTACTTTTATATTAAAAGGGTATTTCAACACCTTTTCGTCAATTAGATTTTTTTCATAAATTTCATCTGGTTATCGTGAAGGATGTCTGTATGATATAAAACCAAACGAATTTATATTTTGGTATGTAGAATATAATCGTTGGTACATATGGCATAGTTATGCAATAAAACGAATTTTGGTTTGCCGTTTCATGTCGTATTAGCTTAGGCTAACAATCTGTATGTTGTGACTCCATCTATTTAAAAATCTCCTGGTCAACACATTCTCATTATTCTGAAACACTTACCAGTACAGCAAACAACAGCTATACTCTCCTCCCTAGGATTCATCGCCGCACTCTCTTCGTACCAGCAGTCAGTAATGTTAGTCAGATCGACAGGGCATCTCAAAGTCACAGCCTCAGAATTATTATCTAAGGACATAATCTCGAAGAGATCTCCTCCCACTGTCGCATATACATCTTTTGGCATACAATCAGAAAGAACAAATAATTGGAAAGATCAATTGGAAAGAAAAAAACATATTTGCACTTCTAAGTCTAATTATGATTTGTCTGAATTATGTATAACAATAGTCTTAATTCCCAAAGATATCGATGTGTTCTGGTCATGAGATTACATCGTTTCAAAAAGTGTCTGGGAACAAGAAGGATTTTGTAGTACACAACAATGAATGTACACCCATTGAGGTAATGGAATCATCGAAAAAGTAGAGAATTTACTCAGTCTTGGTGGCAGAAGTTCATGCATTTGTACAGACATGTGACGTGAAAGTAGGTCCAAATTTAACAGCCATTTCTAATCATATTTGTGATATGAAGGTATGTGAAGTATCAATCCATTTCTAATCTGAAATTCATCCACGCGTTTCTGAAGGAAAAAATGAACATGACGGAAACGCTGCACTTGATGTCGGTCTCCTTGGTGTGATTAAGCCCCCGTCACACAAACTAGTTCTCACTACGTTTTGGAACCGTCCTAGAAAGTCGTAAAACGGATTGTGGTCGGAGTAGAATTTGTAAATAATATCTATAATACGACCCGTAGTTCGTTCATAAACAGTCCTCAATACGTCCATCTCGTCTGTACCCCGTGCACAGTCAGTTCATATCAAGTTCAGATCGGGTAAAATTTGCCATTTCCAGGCAGTTCAAGCCAGTCCGTAGTCAGTTTATACCCGCTATTTACTACTTCTAACTCGTTCCCAATACGACCAAACCCATTCTAACAAGTTCAGAGACAGTTCAGCTCGTCCTCATCGCGTTCGAACGCGCTCCTCAAGCGTCTGGAAGCACGTCCTGGCTCAAGGGTTATAAAAACCCCAGCGCGTTCTTGCCATTCCGTATTTCCGTTCAACTTCAACGATTCTAGCTGTGCAAATCAAGACATTCAAGTGAAGCCCCCATCACACCAAACTAGTTCTCAAAACGTTCTGTAAAATGTTACCAATCGTGGTCAAACTGTGCGCGAACGGAGTGAACGTAGAAGCAACTGATTACGATCTGTTTAAGAATTCATGGACGGGCTCCTCGTTTAAGTACGTTGTCACTCCGTCTAATTGCAGGACGGGGACAATTTTGAACAGGCTCAAAGTTCTGGAGCACTCTCCCATATATCCAGCCTTAGCCCGTCCATGAAGTCCGTAAACAGATCGTAAACAGTTGCTTCTACGTTCAACTTCGTTCGCACACAGTTTGAGCCCGTTTGGCAACATTTTCCAGAACGTATTGAGAACTAGTTCGGTGTGATGGTGGCTTAAGGATTTAACTGACGAAGATAAGCAAACAGAATACAGGACTGTAAAGTGATTTACCTTCATATCCTAGATAAATGCAGACCAACCGTGAAGCGTTCCTGGACCAGTTTAATTGATGGATTAACATGTAGGTTGTAGGGCGAGAACGAGATGTGATAACTACCCTTCCTTCACTTTTACTTCCACCGACTAGTCTCACGGACTGGACGAGGGAGTCTTCATACAATGAAATGAGCCAAAATACAAAACGTAATGATTCTGTTCCAAAAATATCAGCACCGACAAAGGATCGATCCCCGGACCATTTATACGAGAGTTATTAAAACGAGCCTTCACCAATATTACAGTATACCACCACGTAACACAATACTCCCCCCCCCCCCAAAAAAAAAAAAAAAAAAAAAAAACAATAGCTTAAAACAATATCTCTTGAACTTATTATTTATTAATTTTCAGAGGTTGTTGTTGTGGAGTTAGTCCTCCTCTCTCTTTCTCTTTCTATTTCTCTGCCTCTGTTCTGCTCTCTGTCTCCCTGTCTCTCCCTCTGTCTCTCAATCGCTCACTCTGTTGTCTCTCTTTATCTGTCTCTGCCTCAGGCTCTGTTTCTATTTGCCTATAATATGTCGCTCTCTCTCTCTCTCTCTCTCTCCGTGTCTCTCTCTCTGTCTATATCGCCGTTTCTTTTATCTCTCCCTTTCTCATGTAATTAGTTTCCTCCTCTTACCGTACTCGCATCTGTCTCCACAGTAGCCATCCAGGCAAGTGCAGTTAAATCCCTCATCCGTTTCCTCACAGGTTCCTCCATGTTGACAGGGGTTCGATACACACGCTGAAATTACACCACATAATATGCATGTAAGAAGCTGATATAACTGGACTCCATAACTCAATATTTTAAACTTTAAAACATCGTTCGGAGTAAATAAATAACATTAAAGAATTCAAGCACTTATTTATTTGTATTCTATATTCTAGGCATGAATAATACAAATAAAAAAATACATAAAAAAGCATACACATTCAAATGAAGTGCAAAAGAATAAAAAGACAAGAGACACATCATCCAACGAAGTACAAAGTTCTTTCGAGACACCCTCATGTAATGTAACAATGAAATTGATTTTTTTAAAAATTAGATATCTGGAAGCTCTGAGAAATCTGAAAGCTACATTACGTCATTCATTATAATCATTAATGTATAACCTTCGCTCGTCCCCCCCCCCTCCCATAAAAATAAAAATAAATGAAAACTGCAAAAAGCGTTGATTCTTTTTAAATTAAATTTTCGCTCTTCTGAAAAAGGCAATGCCATAAAATTTGCGTATAATTGGAATTAATTCAAAGGATAACAATATGTATACCAATTCATAATTATGAAATTCACCAGAACTTATTTTACCAAAGTTTATTCCATCCTTGTTTCCTATTAAAGCTGCGCACCTCCAGACCTTGCCATCAGGAAGGGCAACGTTGCATTTTGTTTCTTCTTCACAGAATGAGTAGTATTTCTAGTTTCTCAAAGAGCAACCTTTCACTTATTGGACGGACCGGACTATCCTCTGGAAGAAGATGCATTCCTCAAAATGAAAATCATCTAACTCTGCTGTTGAACCCCCCCCCCCCCCCCCCAACCCCCTTCGTCGCTTGCTATACAGCGTTAACTCATATCTGTGTGTTTATTTTTTTTAATGAACGACCGTTTAAAAAAAACAAAAAATACCGTACCGGTCCACAGTTGTGTTTTTTCTATACGTGTTTCTACGAAAGAGACTAATTAAGTTCATCTAAAATTACTTAAGCCATGCCGGTTAAGCCCCCATCACACCAAACTAGTTCTCACTACGTTTTGGAACCGTCCAAAAAATCGTAAAACGAATTGTGGTCGGAGTAGAATTTCAGATGTAGTTCGATATGACCATTTTACATCATTCCTCAGAGTCTGAGCGAAATCCGCTGACAAACAAAGAAGATATGAGAGGGGGAAATTTCGGTGAAAAAGTGAGCTTGGCAACGTGAGTGCTTCGATGACCGTTGAATATTCAAAACGATTTCGGTGTTATCAGTGAGATAATTGGCACGCTCCGCACCGCCTGGACGCGCTCGGGTTTTATAACCCTTGAGCCAGGACGTGATTCCACACGCTCTAGGAGCGCGTTCGAACGCACCAAGGACGAGATGAGGACGAGCTGAACTGTCTCTGAACTTGTTAGAATGGGTATGGTTGTATTGGTAACAAGGTAGAACTAGTTAAAAACGGGTATAAACTGACTACGGACTGACTTGAACTGCCTGGAAATGGCAAATTTACCCGATCAGAACTTGATATGAACTGAATGTGGATGGGGTAGGCCTACAGACGAAGAAATTTGAGCTTCATGAAATATATGAACTGTATCAGTCTATTTATTTAATGAAGTAATAGAGTACCGATGCTGTGACATCATACAAATCTATTTTTGGAATTTCTCAATTTTTTCTTCATTTTCCGAAAGAGCATGTCCAAATGTCGAAAACCAATTGAACATGTTAAGTATTGGTTGAGATATGACCATCTGAATAAATAGATTTCTTATAGGAACTCAGTTTTATTTGCTCTGGCTCGTTATGTTTTGAACCAGAGCAATATAACACTGAGAAAAGAAAGGAAAGGACTGAAAAATGGAGTCAGGTAAAGACCGAGAGAGAGGGAGAGAGAGAGGGAGAGAGAGAGAAAAAGGGGGATATAGTGGCTAGACCTATTATGATAATGATAAAATGCATGACGTCATTTCCATGCTACTATTGCCTAGACATACCAAAGGTAGTGATGGTTTGGGAAGTCGTTGTGTCTGAGCGTTCCGTCATCGTAGTCGTAGGGTTCGTCGTAGGCTTATTCGTTGCTTCCTTCGTTGACTCTATGATCACTGAAAATAACAACAACATACAAACATAACTGACGTAAATGACAATGCATAACATTATTTTCATTGAAATATCTCCAGGCGCTCTTAGTCAGGGTACGGGGAAAGGATCAAGGAGGGGAGAAAAATAGAAATCGGAAAACACTTTTCGCGCGGGAATCCGTCAGTTCTATCAAAAAATTCCAAAAGAGGTATTTTCTTCTAAATCATCATCATCTTCTTCTTCTTCTTCAGTTGCAGCACCGGCCACCGGCCACCGTCGTGTATTGCCGTACTGGTGAGATGCACTGCAGAATGTATGTACAATGTCTGATGAAAGATACAGTGAACTGCATGCAAGTATAAATAAATGTGGAAATTTTGTTTACACCCTGTAAAATGTCTCTTCACGCTCTTTGTTAATAAATTGACCACTCCCTCCCCCTCCCTCCCCCCCCCCGATACGCCTATATAATTATTACACCTACTTTCATCGCAGTGTCTCCCTTGAAACCCACTTGAGCAGGTACAGTTGTAGCCTCCCATAGTCTCCTCACACCAGCCGTTTTTACAGAGGTTTTTGCCACAATCTGCAAAATAAGTAATAAACGGGATAAAACTCAATATTGATTAACAAATTATCATTACACTTTGTTCTGTTTGGTGTGAAAAGATATATTTTCGGGATTTTCACAAATTAACATAAAAAAAGATAAGCAAGACTAATGATAATGCATTTTTAACTGGGCTTAAACATGTCAAACGCCACGGAGACCATACTCCATAGCCATCGGATACCCATTGCATTGGTGTCAGTGCCCATTCTCTAATTCACTGTTTTGCCTGGTGTAATTCACAGCCCTTGCCGACTATTTTTTTTTAATCCCCCGTTAATTGTTCCTGGCTTTATTTTGGCAAAGGTTTATGATTAAGGTAAGAGTTGCAATTGGCTTTAAGGTTAGGATGAGAGTTAGGGTCAGGTATAGTGTTTGTTACAGTTACAGACAAAACCCAATCATTAACACAAAAAACTACTCTAAAAGAAAGCAGAAATATCAGAGAAGCAGACTAGTGAAAGTTCGAATGGAATCGGATAAAAAATAAGAAATTTTGTTTAACACACAAAATGACTAAAATGTCAATTTTTCCAAATGTTTGACTCTGGAGGGCCTTTCCATTTGAGCGAACCGATACAAATATGCTATCCGAAATATATTTTGCCTACTGCCCCAAGGGAGATTGCAATTAAAATAAACAGAAATTAACCATTTTTATCGACGACAAATGGGAAAGTTGTCCATGACTATGTCACAATCAATTGGAGATTGGCATATATTTAGTGATCTCATATTTCAATCATTCATAACTCCCTTGAAGTTAATTCGATTTATTTTTCCAATCTTTTTCTCTTACTTTTCTACTTTCATACAAATGAATATTCAACAAGATTTGGATTCCCCTTCAAGAATGCGGTTAGTGTCTAATAGAAATTAACGTGGAGCAATTTTCGTCAGAAACAAGTGTCGTACAACCTTGGCCCTTTTTTTTTTTTTAGATCTTCCTACATACCTGTACTGTAATAAAAGAAATCGTGATATAGAAAAAGCGGCCTAAAAAAAGAAGAAATTATTTGGAACCGAGACCGCGAAGTTTGCCACTGGTTTATCTAGCACTTAACAATTACTTAAGCCCATCCATTTAGGCTTTAATTCAAGTGAGAAAACGATAATTATTTCACACTGTTTTCAAATTCTGGTACTTGATAGCGAAGGGGAAAACGAGAATATTATTTGGTGAATACTAATTCACAAAAATTCTTGCTCGTCTCGCATCAGAATATTGTTTTGCTAGATAACTTGATGTTCCTTTCATTATGTTCGATAAGTTTTACTAAACATCTAGAGAGGAATTTCAAATAGTAGTAGTAGTAGTAGAAGTCGTAGAAGTCGAAGTAGTAGTTGTACAATGCAAAAACCAGAGTGTTAAAATTAACACCAAGGGTGTTAAATTTAACACTTTCTTGGTATCTATATCGGACAACTCCTCTGGTGTTACTTAACATCATTTTCTGGAATTAGATAATTTCAATTCCACTTTTGGTGATAATATCTGACAACTCCTACTGGTGTAGATTAACAGCAATATCAGGAATCATAACAAATTCGATTCCACTTTTGGTGTTTATATTCTTGTTGATCCAATGGTCCCACATTCCATATTTCCTATTATCGACCAGGGTAGAAGAACCAATGGTAAACTGATAATTCATAATCGATGTTGGCAACTGTCCACCAATATGTATATTCTAATCTCTTTTGCATTAACTCCATCACATAGATCAATGAAGTAATTTCAAGATTAACATTTAAATGATACAGGATGGTACAAGAATATATAATAAATGTGCATGTTGTTTCTTGGTTAGTAATCTTATAATCAATAAATCTATTGCTAAAACGTTAATGTAATTGTAACAAGATCGGACAAATAATCTATTAGTCAATAATTGCCAAAGGAAAATGCAAATCACAAAATTGATGTGCATTGTCATAATTTGCTTAACAAATCATGATAAATGTATTCTTCTGTGAACACGTGTAAAGTAATCATTAAGCGCGCGTACACTTTGTGAAAACTTATTCGACCAATCAAACGAAATCACGTGATGATACTTTTAACACCGAGCATAAAACAACACCAAGTTACTTAACACCAGGTAATTATTAATGCATGCTTAAATCTGACCGGTGTTAAAAATAACACCAATGGTGTCAGAAAAATTCAATACCATACTGGTGTTAGAAATTTAACACCCTGGTTTTTGCAGTGTAGTAGTAGTAGTAGTAGTAGTAGTAATAATAGTAGTAGTAGTAGTAGTAGTAGTTGCAGTGGTATAAGAAATAGTAGTGGTAGCAGTAGTAGTAAACAATTAGTAGTAGTCGTAGTAGTTGTATTTGTAGTAGTTGTATTAGTGGTGGTAGACCTCTAGTAGTATTTGTATAGTATTGTTAGTAGTTTTAATGATAGTGGGATCGGATATTTATAATGTCAATTAAAAATGTATGATCTGTACTATTATTGATTGATTAGCTTTTTTTAAGGGATTTGATATTTTATGACAAAAATGAAACCAAGGAAGCATGAGATTTACCCGGGATTCTGCATATTATGTGTTGGCCAGGAATTTTTCCAGCGACGAGTTTTGGGACGGTCTGCAACATGGTGCCATCGGGCAGTCGCACCATATTACAATTTAAGGATGTCGGCAAGGTGCTTTGCTTGCTGAACTCGCCAGGACAAGATGTTTTCGTCAGCTTCGACGAATCCGATAAAGCGGGCAAGGCTGTGTGGAATAAAAACAAAAAGAAATCGCTAGTGAGCTCTTCCTCCTACTGCTCTCCCTCCTCCTATTCCCCTCCCAAATCCTTCCTCTTCCTCCCTTGCCTCCCCTCGTCCTCCTCTTCCCGCTGTCCCTCCTCTTCTACCTCCCCCTTTCTCAGCCCTCCCTCCTCCTCACCGCCTCCCCTCCTCCTCACCAACTCCCCTCCTCCTCACCGCCTCCCCTCCTCCTCACCAACTCCCCTCCTCCTCACCGCCTCCCCTCCTCCTCACCAACTCCCCTCCTCCTCACCGCCTCCCCTCCTCCTCACCGCCTCCCCTCCTCCTCACCGCCTTCCCTCCTCCTCCTCCTCATTTTCTTCCTCTTCTACCTCCTCCTCTTCCACCTCTTCCTCTCCCCCTTTAGTATCATTCTCTTTCTCCCATATTCCCCTCATTCTCCTCCTCTTCCTCCTCAACCTCCTTCTCTTCCTCCTCTTCCTCCCCGTCACCTCTCACCATCTCTCCTTCCTTTTCCCCTTCCCCATCTCCTATTTATTCTTCCCCTCCCCTACCCCTTATGATTGAAATTCCCCTTACAATAGTTTGAAACATTCATTAGGGGGAATTTTCCAAACGTCGAACTATTTATTAGAGATCCTACGTAGATTTTACACCTCGCTCCTATTTCGCTTTATAATGGTAATTTTATGAGCCAACTTTTTCAGCAATATTCGTACAATCATGAAAATATGACGTATATAATTATGAAGTCACACTTATTCTTACCAAAGGACAAACAGGTTACAGTGCCAAACAGCAACTTCCACATTACACCGATCTTTTGGTCTTTAGCCTGTGTTTATAAAAATGTTAACATTGCATAAACAAATAGAACAAGAACAGAAAAATGATGATTAAGATAATGGCTAATGATGCTAATGTTATCACCTACCAAAACCAAGAAAGATATTTTCCAGCAGGATTTTCACTTTCACTGGCCCAAAATATTGGAATGCCCTTCTCGGCACATTAAAAGAAAAACCCTCTATAAGTGGTTTCAAAAATGCCCTCAAGCACTTTTTGTTGCAAACGAATCAGAATAAGTAGTTCCCCGTTTTTGTTTTTTGGTTCGTTGTTTTTCCCCCTTAATTGTATTTTGTCTGGCATGGGTCATTCAGTGCTCTGTGGCATTCATGTATTTAGTTAACGCTGGTTTCAAGTGGTACCTCGTTCGTTTGAGCAAATGCATTTTGTAGGGGCCCCCTATGGGGGCGTCTGGCGGGCCCTTAGCAGCAGAAATTTTGTCTGGCATGGGCCATTCAGTACTCAGTGGCATTCATACAATTAGTTAGCACTGGTTTCAAGTGGTACCTCGTTCGTTTGATCAGATGCATTTTTGGGCCCCCCTCAACTGGCCCCAGGGGCCACATGCAGCAGAGGGACTCCGGCAGACGTCCACATTTTGATATCCTAGGTTTTTCCCAAATGTTCCAATACTCAGATATTGTTACCTCGTTCGTTTGATCAAAGTGTTCTGGGCTGCCGGACTATAGGCTATGCCCTTACGTACAACTGATATATTTTGGTTCATTCGAAGTTTTAAATTACAAATTATTTTCCAAAACATAATCATGTCCCTGTTATACAAACAAAAAGTGAAACGTTGCATCGACTTTTTCACAAGTGTTGCATAAATTATTATTCACCGTATGCCATTTATATAAATTTTCTTTTGAGGCAATAATCCTATGAATCATCTTTAAATTTAATTGTTTAACTTTATTATAAGGAATTTGCATTAATTTAAATGAAAATACATCCTTCTAAACAACTTAATTATCTAAATCTAGAAAGGAATCATGTATTTATTAAAACGGATAACAAGTAAAACGGCTATAAAATAAAATCAAGCACATGGTGGCTATTTCATTATGATTGAAACAAAAACATAAAATACTTAACAGATCAATCTTCAAGGGCTTTAAACAAAAAGATCAAGTAAAAGGAGGCACCTTTTCTTTGTTCAAAAGGGCCCTTTTGGGGTACTTAAAAAGGTTGGGGGCACTGTGACCCTTGTCAAACCCCTCCCCCCCCCCTTCTCCCAGGACCCCCGCCTCTAAATTAGCTTGTTTGCTTCGTTTTGGTTTGTGATGCTAGTGAAAACGCTTGTTATCTTTAAAAAAAAAAATCATAATTCTAGATCGAAATTATTCAAAAGCTGTGTTAGGTATTAGGGCCAATGTACTTATTTTGAGGAGTGGGGCGTACATTTATTTATATGTGAAAATACATGTTACGCTAATAACATGCCGAAAGTGGATTGACAATTATGATTCAGCTTCATTGGAATACCTGTCAGCGTCAAATATTTTCAGAGGGGTGGGGTTTGTGAGTGGATCAAAAGGATAGATATTGATAGTATCACCATTATTTTCGTTGCTTTGCACGTTGCGATACAAACAAGCTGGTATTAACGATACGCTGATTAAAAAGAACCAAGACCAATTTGCACTATCAGATAATTAAATATCGACCTTCATCACATTACCTTAATGGAATATTTCCGGCATGGAAAAAGTCTGTATTTTTAATGAATAGATGTATAATTGAATTGCAATAAAGCGTCTCACTTGGATGCTCTTGTTTTGGTAGGATAATGATGGGCATCGTTTTCTCCCAAACGTTGGTACTTTCAATGGCTCATACAATAACAAAGATAGAATACCAATGAGTTCATTAATCTGACAATGTTATAACGGTTAAATTGTGAACGTTAATTTTTCCCCCAAATGTTTATATTTTACTTTTGAGTGCATGCATGCACTCAGCCCCAGCATTTGCAATTCCCAACGAATTTATCTACCCAGACAAAAAAAAAATGGGAAGGGGTGGTCTGTTTTGGTACTTAATTCTGTTGTACATATAGCTAGTGTGTAAATGGGCGTGTAAGACGTACGGATAGAGAACATTATGTTAGCTAATACCTGCAAGATGAGATTAATATTAAGTAATATGAGCATAGAGTGTGGCATTGAGAAAGAGCAAATTTGTTTTTCACATTGCAAAAGTGATGATAATTTGTATTTTGTATTTTTACCTCCTAAAAGAAGTTTTTTTTAATTTACCCCGCCTAACTTCGGGGTATAATGAAATACATTGTTTGAACGGAAGAGAAACAGAAAATACAATTTTACAATCTCATAGAAATGAAAGAAGAACAAAAAAGAGAACAAATAAAAATGTCGTAACAGCAACATTGTACATGTTGTTGTTCTAAAGCATTACCCTTTAACACATGCCATTTAGTAAAGTTAATTTAATATTTGAAACAGCTAAACGATGGTCTATATGTTTCCTGTATCTGTTATCAAATATCTTTTTTTCTCATTAGGATTAACAAACGAATTCGGGCCATTTCTTTTATATTGAAATGATACAGAGTAAAAATTAAAACTGATATAGGTAGTAGTACTATCTCTATACCAGTCTTGAGACTGACCATATCGGCCTTATATATTAATACTCCCCACAAAGATGCTCCATTGTTTCGGGGAACTTTTCACAACAAAGTACATAGTTCTGAGTCAACCAATTTCATTTTACGTTATCTATAATTAGTTAGAAGACAGTTTGTGTTAATTTTGAACTGGGAATTCTTGTTTTAACTTCAATAGTTGATATAAAAGTTAGGATATATATATATATTTCCAATTACTATCTGTAATATCCATTTTCTCGTAATTTCTATTTGTATTTGTGTATTTGTATTTTATAAACTTTACTTTAGTTAATTATGTCATGTTTAGTTTAAGGAGCCTATCCACAACAAGCTCTGCTTTTCCATAGGCTCCGCCACTGTATCTCTTAAGTTAAACTTAATGGACAATATTCTGAATAGTGTGTACCAGTATTGTATGTACATGTATAAAATAATCATTTTAAATATGTTGTTACACTCTTTGTAAAATTAGATATTGTGGAAACCAATAAACTATATATATCTATCTATAAATTATTGAAAATTTATTGTATTTTCTTTTTTATTTTTTATTTATGGAAACTGCCCCCTACCCTAGCCCCCGCTGCGTATACAGTCGTGGTTCAGTGACAAAGCAATGGTCTTGTAACTGTGAGGCCCCAGGATCAAAACCGTGTCGATGTGCTATATTAGTGCCCTTTGTGAAACATTAATCCTCATTACTGTCATTTATGACTTAAGGGCGTATAGGAACCCTAGTTGAAAAGCATAGTAGCATACACATGCTTTAGCAGTCACGCAAAACACACATTGTCAAATTAGTATTCAATAAAATCTGAGAATGTATACTCTTATCTATATCTATTATTTTTAAATTATTTTTAAAATAATTCCATAAATTGGGGTAAAACAAAAATATTCCAACTTTATGACCGACAGTGTATGTTTAGACTGTCCATGATTGTCTGATGTGCATTGCAGATTGCTACTTTTGCGCTTTGCGCTATAACATTTGGCTCGTTGCTTTTTAACGCTGCGTCTTTGCATTTCTATGATGCTGTTGATTGAACAAATTTGAATAAATTCATCAATCCTGATGAAGCCGTATGAGCGAGAATTCAATTTATTCTTGTCTCATATACGGTTGTCTCATTTACTTCGTATATTATGTATGTATTATGAAAATGAGATAGCAAAATGTGTATATTGATGGTCATCTTGCGAGTAATAACTCTCATCGGGCTCTCATCATTAATATTTCTCTTCATTTTTTAATTTTTTTATGGTGAATTATTGGGGGGGGGGATGATTGTACAGGCCATCCCCCCCACCTGAAATATTGGGGGGATATATCCCCCCATCCCCCCCCCCCCCCCGGGATCGACACCTATGCCCGAACCTACTCAATATTATGTCATCTTCACAAGTCATGACACCTCACACAAAGTAAAACGAGGTTCCATCAAAAAGTAATGTCCAAAATTGTTCTACAATTTGAAAGCCCTATACTTTCAAACTAGTCCACCTGAAAATGTCTTCATCTTTTTTTTAAAGGGTTTGCCCCGTCTTGCACATGTGTCAAGCAAGATTCATTCAAATTCATCGAAGAAACTGAAATAATTTTAATTAACGAAATGCTAAGTCGGATGCTCAAAATGATTTTGAATGTATGAATGACAGGATAACGTGATCACTTCATTCTAAAATGTATGTACGCTTGACGAAAAGCGTGAATCACCCACGAATTAGAATGAGGAACATGATAATTTGACTGAATCAAACGTGAATTTAAATGCACAGATCATGAATTTGTACTTTCAAATAGCAAGACTGGAACAAATCCATTTTCGATTGAATGGATTGGAAAAGTTGCAAAATTGGCCGCGAAAATCTATACTTTCTCTTCTCTTCTGTTCTTTTAAATTGTCTTATTTTCTTCTGTTAGTTGTCTTCTTATCCTCATTCCTTTTTATTTCTATTTTCTTCATCCTTATTCTTATTTTAGGCCTGACTTTGATCAAATATGGACGTTGAACTAAAAAGAGCATGGAATCTGCCCAATACACAAGTTCGTAGTTAGTACATGATAAAATCTGTATCGAATGTTCACTACGGAGACTCCAGTCTAACTCAAGAATTTGATTTCTTTGGCTGAAGTCTCATGTACAATTATATTTCTTTAAATTTGAACCACACAGCCATTATTCATTAAAGTCATGAGTCACTCTCATTCTCATCACACGAACATTGCTTTCTATATCATGCCCGTTATACACTATAATTACAATCTATTATTTCGAAATGTATCAAGTTTTGTTTTTCTCTTTTCCTCAAGCGAGCTTTTTTTCCTCCATAATTTCAATACATATTTACATTAATTACTCAATAATTGAATGAAAAATGAAATTGGCTAAAAATTAAAATATGTTCAACAATTCTTCCAGCTTAGTATTATATTCTTTGCTTACACATTCATACCTTAAAAAACAATCTTAGCAACGACTTGAATTAAAATAACAAAGTATGCGGGTAAATAACAGAATCATTTACAATCTTTTTAAGGTAACATTTATAAATTGCATATTGCGCATAATTTAAAATAGTATTTAGGAGAGTATATTTCTTGTTTCCTATGTCCTTACCTGCAATAAATACCTTCTGTCTTATTTGAAGTTCTACTTGGAATTTTGATTTGATTTGATTTGAGTTTATTCCTCTACAATGTGGAAATATGCTTTCCACCAGCATTACAATGATACAAGAAATAGAGTACAATAATATGAACATATGAACAATTAAGCAAGCAATTTCAGAACAGAAAAGATCTCGTCATTTAACATAAATAATACAAAATTGTTTCAGCCATCCAAAATTGTTAAACTTGATTAGATGATTAGAAATATCTTTGAAATAGCTTTATGATAACAGTTTATAAATTCAAATAATTTTGATCATTATTGCTATTGTAATTATTATTAATATTATTATTATTATTATTATTATTATTATTATTATTATTATTATTATTATTATTATTATTATTATTATCTTTATTATTATTATTATTATTATTATTATCTCTTAACGAATTGGTTGAACATGTGGATAGAGTTTGGTACGAAGGATTGGCGGAAGCGTGCTCGGTTTGTGCGTGGGACGTTTAATCGAATTCCAGAACGGTTGAAAGAATACTGGGTGTTGAGAGGGTGACTTTGATCTTTCATGATTTTGTTTGTTTTGGACATGAGTCTCTATTCGAACAAACAGTTTATATCAGCCAAATCATGCCCTATCACTCTCTGTGCCGCTCGCCGCACCCGGTCTAAGCGACTCCGGTTTTTCTGGGTCCCATTTCCGTAAAAGCAAATCACGTTGTATGTTAAAATGCTTTGTATTAGTGACTGATAGAACAAAACCAGAATTGTTCTGTCAACGTGAATGTTTCTCATCATTCTCAGAAAGTAGAGTCTTTGGTTTCCCTTCTTACACAATGTTTGTGTGTTTTTAGTCCAGTCTAAAGTGTTGGTATATGCTTCCCATGTACTTGTACTCCTTCACCTGTTAAACCTCCTTATTATGAAGAAATAACGGATTGTGTGTATTTGATTTTTTCCGAAAGTCAAACACCATTTCCTTTGTTTTAGATACGTTTATAAGTGGAGGTAACTGCGCATCACACCACTCAATGAAAGCCTTCACCGTTGTGACATAGTCATTTACATTCTCATCAGTAAGATGTCCAGTGATTACCATATCATCAGCATATTTTATGATATTACAATTTTCATTGTCACTGATAATTTTACTAGTATACAGGGAGAAAAGAGCGGGGGATAAAACACATCCCTGCGGGGCACCTTGGTACAAGATTTAATCATTCCCAATCTTACTGCCTGAGGTCTTTCTAGCAAGAAATTGTGAATTCATAGAACAAGTTGGGGAGAAGCATTCATTTCCAAAAGCTTGGCAGCAAGAAGGTGAGGCATAATTGTGTTAAAAGCACTGGAAAAATCTACAAAGAGTGCCCTTACAAAACTCCCACCGACATTTAGGTGTTTATAAGCCCCATGAAGGAAACGTAACACTGCATCGTCGACACCTCTGTTTTTGCGGTATGCAAACTGCAGTGGGTCGAGATGCTTACCGACCTGACTCATTAGCTTTTTCAAAACAAGCTTTTCTAAGCACTTCATGGCATTGCAAGTTAGGGATACAGGCCTAAAGTCTTTGTACTCGGTACATTTATTGCCTTTTGGTACAGGTATTATTGTTGAAGTTTTCCACAAAGTTGGTACGATGCCTAGATTTAACGAGTTCTGGAATAATTTAGGGTACACATATGCAAGTTGATCTTTGCAAACTCTCAGAACTTTATTGCCGATGTTATCCGGGCCTGCAGATTTATTCACTGCGAGGTGGGCAAACATCCTTCTCACATCGTGCTCTGTTACACAGATGTTATTCTCCCTATTATCATCGTTAGCGTTACTTTGTAAGGTAGCAACAATATCTTCATTCATACTCCTAAAATGTTCGTCATCAAACCTGCAATAGTATTCGTTAAGCTCTTCAACAAACTCTTTTGACTGCACATTTGGTTGGCTTTTCTTCTGCCTATACCCTGTCAGGTTTTGCATAGTTTTCCAAGCAGATCTAGTATCATTATCTTGAAAGCTCTTTTCAATTCTGTCTCTCTGAACCTTCTTACAATGTACAATTAGTCGATTAATCTCTTTATGTAGCTCTTTCTTAAGTACATCGTTACCTTGATATACTGCAATTCTTTTTTGTTTGATCAAATTCCTTAACTCTGTTTTGAACCATGGTTTGCTGTTAGGGAAGACCTTAATTACTTTACATGGTATTGTGAGTTCAACACAAAAGTTAATATAATCGGTAATAGCATCAACCTGTTCATCCAGTGAGTTCGCATCGTCCAATAGCAATTCCCAATCCGTACAGTCGAGGCACGCCATCCGTCCAGGCGTAGCGTTGCTTAGTGACGGGCTTTGTTCTCTTCAACTTCTGCTTGTAAGATGGAATGAGGTGAATGTTCTTGTGGTCCGAACTCCCCAGTTGATAACAGACTTTGCTTACGTAGGCCTTAGGAATGTTTCCGTAGCACAAATCTAAGGTTGACTCACCCCTTGTTGTGACATCGATGTATTGTCCGTAGTTGGGCAATTCATCATTCAGCCGGCATTGATTGAATCCCCGATGATGAAAATGGGTGCATCTGGAGAAGACGTTTCTAAAGCGTGGGCGTGGTTGGCAAGGTCACCGCTTGCAGTTGCTAAGTCCGCTCTTGGGTGTATGTAACATACTGTAACGAAGATCTGAGGGAACTCCCGTGGTAGATAATATGGACGCATATCAAATTATATATTATTTTCCGAAACATAATCACATCCTTGCATTACAACAAAAAGTGAAACCTTGTATTAACTTGAATCAACAAAATGTTGCATAAATTATTATTCACAATTTGCCATTTATAAAATCATTTTTGTTTGATGCAATAATCCTGTGAAGCATCTTGAAATTCAATCGTTTAACTTTTTTATTTCAAATTTGCCTTAATTTAAATGAAAATACATCTTTAAAAAAAAAATTGCCTTAATTTAAACGAAAATACATCCTTTAAAAAAAGTCATGATCTAAATCAAGAAATATGCTTATATTAAAACGGGCAAAAAGTGAAACGGCAAAGAAACCAAATCAGGCTTATGGTGGCCATTTCAATATGATTTAAACAAAAACATAAAATACTTACCATTTTACGAATCAATCTTCAAGGGCCTCCAAAAATGATCAAACAGCACGATAATAACCTGACCTCTTTCTCGGATAAAACAAAAATGAACAAATTTGGCAACGAAGAAAAAAGTTGCTTGAATACAGAAAGGCGGGAAATATTAACCGTGAGATTAAAACTGCAGGCTAAAGCTACCGATCGATTGAAATCGCAGGAGACATATGACTGGATAACTACGTTCGACCAATTGGAAATGGTAAATGATATGTTTTTCCTTCTCTGCAAGCGGTAAGCTCATATGCAAACGGGATTGATATAAACAGATAGATTGTGTTTTGTTGTTGAAATGCACGTTGCAATAGAAACAAGCTGGTATTAAGAAGCATGATAAAATTTTTAAACAGACCGTTATGCACTGTCAGATAATTTAATATCAAACTTCTTCACATAACCTTGATGGATATTTCCGGCCTGAACACAGTCATGCATGATTGAATTCTAATAATGCATCACGCGTCGATGCTCTTGCTGTGGTTATCTCATCAAATCAGCTCTCAATTAGCATAAGAAAAGGGGGATCACGTGGGACCAACGGGTACCGCCAAGGTGTAGTTGGCTGTATAGAGGGCGCAAGTAGTTACAATAGTGCAATTCCACTTAAGATTTTTTGTTTTTTAGGCCGCCATCCTAGTCAAGCAGCGCTTATGATTGCTTGTTCGAATAATACTTTAATTCTATAATAATACGTTAAAGAAATATTAAGTTTCGTTATATTTATATAATTTAAAAAACGTTTGACATGAGGTTATTATTGTTTGTATATTTGTATTATACATTTACCTTACGTTATATGTTCTTTGTTATTCAATTATTATATTTGGAAAAATGAAGGAAAACAAAATCGACGTCGGTCATGAAAGGAAATTAATATGATTCATAACTTGCAGTTATTAAGTACCCGACTGTATGTGTAATTGTGTGTATGGTATTAGTATACCGCCTCGGGCGTGTTAGACTCTTCCAAAGGTACCTTGTGTGGGTAATTCTTACTAATGCCCGTGTTTCATTTGTTTTTATAAAATGATGTTTGATAACATGATTTTACTAATGACCGGTCATTATCCAAATGACGCGTTAGGCAAAATAAATGCCTGGTCACGTGTTCGCTTTCAACCAATCATTTGATTAGGATCCACGCCATCATGCATCTTATAAACCAGGGTGAGTATAGCATATTGAACTAAAACAATGGATCTAGGTCACGTGGCATTCTGGAGTGCCCAACAGGTGGTACCTCCAATCTTCGACTTTTGTCGAATGATATAATGTCCTAATAACAAAAGTTGTCCGTCAGCAATGCAATTACACATGCCATGTTATCAACAGCATTGGTGGTACGGGGTTTTCTAGGACAGATGTTCATTCGTCTGGTATTTTGATAACACTTTGCGATTAGTGCAATGCAAATATAAAAATTATGAGAATGTCAACAGGCCGCTAGCAAGCTCACGACTGTGGTTGAACTACAGATGTAAGGATTTGCTAATGATAATAGGCATGGCATCAAGTCCATTTCTTCAACAGGCACGTCATTACCAGTTTCCACAAAAAAAATGCCGAGGACCTATCTACTGCCGAAGTAAGTTGGTATTTTCTTTATTCATATTTATATTGAAATTCATTTAGACAGCATTTGTTTATTATCATATTTCATATTCATACATCACTTGCTTGAATAGAATGTTTCATTGATTATGACTGGTGAAATTTGAGGTAACATTTCATGCAAGAGACATATCAGAACCGCTATATCAAAATGATGGATATAGCTATGCCTATAAACTACCTTCTTGATGCATAAATAATTTCAATAGATTTATAAAGAATAATTCAACGTTAAATGTGTTTTACCCTAGGAATAAACATGTACAGTGGTGTACCAACGGGGTAAAGGGGAACTATTATTGCCCTATATCGAAGGGCAAAACAAATATAGAGGGGATAAGTACAAAGTAAAAGAACGAAATGGAAAGATGCACTGTGAAAAGGAACGCCTCTCGTTCACTCGTCTTAATCTCTCCCATTTCAGATATCTACCACCCTCCCCATGACCCCCTATTGTTTTTTTTAAACGCCGACATGTTTCCAATTTCATTACAAGTTTCCTGCTTACATCATAAACTGATATTCATTTTGATCGTAAGTCCAAGGGAGAGGTGGGCATAAATTATGGCAGATCATCAATCTAAATTAGGGGGAAATGAGGGGGGGGGGGGCGGGTGGGGGGGGGGGGGGTTCTCCGTCTCCTCTATAAGGATTGAAATTTGTGGTACTTCAAATTTTGTATACATTAGTATACTAATGTGTTATTTTTTATAGCCAATTCTCACATCGTCGTTTGTCGAGATATGTTAACGACTCTGCGGCTGTACATGCATAACACTGTTGTAATAATTATTATACCAGTATCATGCATTAACGTTATGTGAACTCTAGCATATGGTGCGTTTGTAAACTATTTACACACACATGTAGCCTATAATATATTATACCCGATATAGACATGTACAAACACAGCGGTGGATCTAGAAATGTTAGAACGTGGGAGGCGGGGGCATAAATAAATAAATCCGCAGAAGTTCAGAAATTGAAATCAACGTCCGACGAGTTTTAAGGTTTATAATATCAAAACTATGGCCTATAAAACCTTGCCGGTCGTCTAAATGCACTTTTTTTTCCCTCAGTCGACCGCAACAACATTCGAAAAAACCAGACTAATGCCTCAATCACACCTTTGCGTATTTTCTCGCGTATTGCTGCGTATTCATGGCAAGCCGTTTTAACATTCATTCCTATTTCTTGATATCAAGAAAATATTTTCTGTTGTAAAGCAATAGTAATTATTGATATCAAGAATGCGATTTCCTGATGTCAAGAAAGAGGAATAAATATAAAACGGCTTGCCGTAAATACGCATCAAAACGCAAGCCAAGTACGCAAAGGTGTGACCGGGGCATTAAAGGCCAAGGCAATTTCAATGTGCAAACATAACAGTGAGGTATTATGTTATCCGAACATGCTTTCTATGGGATGTACATTATGTTTCGAAATTGTCCTTGAGTTGATTTTTCTAAAATAGTTACAATCATAATTATTCATCATATTCCCTGTAATGCAATTATTGTACCAGCCATGTACCAGTATATCCTTTAGAGAATTACTCAATTAGCGCGGAGTTGTTAGGAACCACTGATTTGAATAAATAATGGTTGATATAGAACACAATCATATTCATCATATTCCCTGTAATGCAATTATTGTACGAGTCATGTACCAGTATATCCTTCAGAAAATTAGCGCCAAGATGTTAGGAACCACTGATCTAAGTAAAATAATGATGGTTGATATAGAACACAAGTGTAAACAAAGAAACAAATAAATGAATAAAATAAACAGTGTTCGCGATTGTACGATTATCAATGAATAGGCCTATTTGATTATAATTATACTCCGGTGGCAATCGATGCCTCATTGTCAATTTCTTATGTTCAACTCTTGAACCAACACTGTCCATAATATTACGTACCCTAACCCTAAATATCCCCGAAGGCCTACAAAAACAAAAAAAATGTTGTATTGCCCTTTGCCGCGACCGACCCCAAAATCTTGAAATTTACCGTCGGCTTTTTAAAAAAGTTATTTTTTTAAAACCGTTTTTTAAAAGAAAAAAAAATGTATTAAAGTATTCAAAACTGAGAAATATCAGCCCAAAGAGAAACCTTAAAAAAAAAATGCTTAAAAAATCATATTGTTTCTCTCTCTCTCTCCCTCTATGTATTTCAGGTTTTGCTTAAGAACTGGGTTGGATGATAAGGACACAATAGGGTCACTGCACTCCACATACTCACCTCCACGTGCCATTTTGCCGAACGACGGAATGATCCTAAGTTACAAGTCATAATCAAGTTCAAACAGACAAGACTCCGAGCCGATTTAAAAGCAACCGATTTTTGACCACACGATGTGATGTCATATTTTCTGTTCGGTGCCGTATTGTCGGTCTTATTTTCAACTTACGCTTATGGATTTCTTCGGAATTTGACACTCGTCGATATACAGTATCACTGGTCAACGGAATGTGCAGTAGTAAAGATACTTGTAAAAGAGTAGGCCTAATTGGATTATAGGAGCACCTTTGCAACAGGATAGGCCTGATATCTGAGGTAGATGGTTACTTAGTATCCGACAGGTTTTCCTTTAATCATTAACAAAAAGCAAGCTTTTTAAAATAATTTGTTCAAACCGAGACGTCGATGTCAACTTTTTTTAAATTCAAACACGTGAAAGAAATACATTGATTGATCATTCATTTTGAGTACCAGAAGAATATAAAATGGCGAGTATTAACTCTGACGTGCTACAAAGACGCCATTCTACAGATTCAACATGCTCGTCAGACGACGAACCATGTCGTACACCACGTGCTAACATAAACTTCATGCGCGCTTCTTGCATCCTCCTCCTAATCGCCGTCATAACCCTCGTCATCAGCTGTGTGGTTCCGCGAAACGTCGAACTGGACGAACATCGATTCACAGCGCGGGAATACGAAGCTGCGCAGGCGCACTACACCCACCGCGCTCACACGATGGATGTCTTGTTGGTTGTCGGGCTGGGCGTGTTGTGTTTAGCGTGTATTCTGCTATCAGCGGCGCACCTGGAGGGCTTCGTGAGAGATATTTACCGGGATCCCGGCCGCGGTGACACTGAGGTGCAGGGTCTAACGTCGACGGCAAACTCCGCTGGTTACGGCGGAATGTGGGGATCATGAATTGGAGAAGACAGAATAGTACATCTGGTCGGAGAAATTTTAAACATCTTTTGGCAATTTACGCTGTTCTCCAACGCAGAGATTCGGAAAAGCAAGACAAAATCTCAGCTGAACATATCCCCGAAGGAAAAAGAAAGATTTTGGCCTAATGTAATGAATGAACACTTATTTTTTTCAGAGATATATATTTTATTTTTTTTAAAATTGGTCTTAATTTGTTGTTCTTTTTCGTTCATGAAGACCATGAAAATGGCAGATCTTTCCTTTAACTTTTCGATCACGTTGTTATCCAAACACATTTTAGATTCGAGAAAATGTTTGGATAAATATGAACATTATTTTGTGTATGTGTTTACTACTATTAAATCAACTCAACTAGAAAAGTATCTTGCATGCAAAAGTTTCTTATTCTATTGTCGGCTTGAAAAGACTCGTATATATTAATGGTTAAAGTAGTCACACGAAGAATCAAAAGTGTTTTGAAATTGCTGCATAATTCATATCATTGTAAAGGGGAAGCCTTACTGATCAAATATAACAACTTCCCTCTTCAAAATATGTTTGGGGCCCGCAGTAACATCAAAAATGTTAATTTTGAGATCCAGATGTTCTGCCTTCAGCGGTCCTCCGATCCGTAGAGCGTCAAGATTCGTGACGTCACATGCGAGACAACGCTAGCCACAAAGCATTTTACGCCTTTAAAGGTACTATGTCCCTTTTGCAGCCAACCTCAAATTCTGTAGAACTTTGCAGGAATTATGAATATGTCATGTATGTCCTATCTGTGAAATTTGAACGTTAGCAGTGTCCTAATATTCAAATTATGCAAGGAAACCCGTTTACTTGCTAGACTCCACAGTCAGACACTATTGAGTGACTGACTGGCTTTTTTGTTCTTTGGTAATAACATACATAAAAAGAGCTGTAAAGGGTACATGAGCATTTGTCTACATCAATAACCCACTTCTTGTGATGGCCAAAATTAAACTGATTGACTCTTTGCGCAGCATAAAACGTATGAACAATCGATACAATGGTCTGAAAATCAAAACTATTACTTATTGGCTCTATAGCTCCTAAGTCGATTTGACAACTAATGGTCATTATTTTCCCACTTGGAGACATTTTCAAGACCCACCTTTTTTAGGGAAGTTCTAAATTAGTATTATCTTTCAAATGCCGTTGAAATTTAACCTTTTCATTTTTTGGCCTGCAAATGGGACATAGTACCTTTAACATGAGCAATTAAGAGCCATGAGCGCCCAACAGAAGCGCCACACAAGCAGCCAACATCATCATTGCGATCGCAAACATTTCCCAAAATCAACCTAAGGCGATTTCAGTATCCTTGTGCTTTTCTATTGAAATGTGTCCGAATATGTTTCCAAAGGCAGTACTTTACGGTACTGAAATTGCCCAAAGTTGATTTTTCAACAAAAGTGATTGTGTTGTTCTTTAAAATATTTCACGACATTGGCCGTGATAACCTCCTCAAACTTACTATTCTTACACAGTACAAGTGAAATAAATACAACAGACAAAAGAATTAAAAGATTAAATGAACTATTTCATTTTTATTGTGAAAACTCTACTTCTGATAACTGTAAATTACATCACTACATATCTCCTTTAATAATTAGAATAATTTCTTTACACTAATTTTTTGTCCCCAGATCGAGACCCCGTCATGACAAACTAGAAAGAAATAGTCTTCTTTTTCACTTGACCAAAGTAAGGCAAGAAAGTCTTGATCAAATGGAAAAGACCTAGAGGGGTCAAAGGTCAAAATTACCTCAAAATGTCCATGGTATTTTGATCATGGATTCGTACCTAACAAAGAATACTTCTCAAATGAGTATTCTCACTCTTATGCAATTATTTTGACATTACCACAACGCCCCAATTTAAATAATTCCACTTGGAGTAGAAACCATTCCTAATTATGAAAATAATGATCGAATCCATACTGCACATTATTTCGACATCTCTCAAGTTCCTTGTATAATATATTTACACACTGATTTCTGATAAATTATTGATCTTGCAAAAATGAATAATACTTTACACGTTAAATGATAGAAGTTACATTGTACATAAAGCAATATGGTTTTACACTTGTTATAACAATCCATCATGGATAGCACAATTATAATATGGTATAAATATGTATAAAAGTTGAAAGCAAACGTTCACAAACGTAAATGTCAATAGATGGTACAATGTACTATGGACACCACAACGTCTCATACAATGATACAAGATTAAATTATACAATAAATAGTTTGGTACTGAAGGGTTTAGGGTTTTGGTAAAGAAATTCACAGAGTACAACACCCGGTTAGTATGCCCTGACAACAGATTGGAACACTAAACCAGAGAATATCATATAAATCAAATCAACTTCGGATTGGTACAAACATATAAGCCCTGTATGCAGTGAAAAAGAATTATCTATGAGAATTTTTGCAAAAGTTGCAATCTCTATAGTGCCTTTTCCACTGGCTTTGGGATGTCATCCGTTGATACATGCACATGAATCTAAATAATACTTTTGAAGGTTTATATACCTCTCAAAATAAATCATTAAGACATTGACAAGAAAAGTAAAGAAATAAAAGTTACTTGAACTAATAAGTCATATAATTACACCACGAAAATCATGAGGAATCAATGATATAAAATCAAATTATCTCCAGTTGGAGTTTAGACCAATATGAGTTCCAAGTGTAGAAAAAACGTACATATGAATTGATATCTGCGCAATGGGGTTCACACATGGAGGCACAGAAGAAAAAGAAACACCATTTTCATACCATATATACATAATAAAACAATACTTCCCTGTGTATACAAATAATTATTAGAGTCTGAAAAATATGGAAGCACTTCTGTTCTGGTGGAGATGATAATTATTGTCATATTTTCTTACAATCTCTCTTTTCTCCTCTATTTCTGTCTTTCTCTTGCTTTCTGAGCAACTCATAGCACAGCAATGTATTTGTGCTCTTCGAGGGATAGATGAATGAATAAATGACCTTGATAAATCAGTAGTATGTATAATATAGTTCAATATAAATGGTAGACATCTAACCAGGCAGTGCACAGCCAACATATTTGGAACTTGTTTCTCCTTCCCATCACAACTCCAAAGGTTCTATTGAAGCCGAAGGATAAAAGGGCAATAATTGAACTCTAAATGCATGTGAAGGGATAAGAACTAATGCCGTTCTTGCTCTTACATGTAGCAACATAGTATGTTTCATGGGTTGAACCAGTTGAGTAGCAGTGACCAGACTCTCAAACATTTGATCCAAGACTAGGTCGGCCCCTCATGAATATCCATTCAAAATTCAATATTTTGAATCAATTTTCTTTACACGACATGAAACTTTCATGGATCTCAACCACTCGCTAAACAGAGCCCCTTTCAAAATTCTTTTGATCAATAACAAATGCCCCATTTCTTCAGATATTTCAAACATGGAGAAATCCCACTTCTTGCATTTTCAAATAAATCACTGCCCAAGTGTTGGAGGTGCTTCATGAATACGTTTGGTTTGCTCTCTTGAAAAATCTACTTCCACCTGTGTACAATAGAATGTAACGTTGTTGCATAAATAATAATGAGTACATAAATTTCATGAACATGAATCCAGCATTCTTCTCAACAGGTTTTACATTTTCGTACAAATGACTGTTATCTGCCCATTCGCTTCTTTAAAATGGCCTACAGCAGCTGATGTACACATAATGACTTACCTAGTAGTTATTACTTCCTCACAAACATGAACCGTTCAATTTCATTTCTTTGGTGCTTAATAGACTTACGGAATTCCTTCTTTTTAATACCATGATTTTTCCAAAAAAAGAAAAAATTATCCTCTACATATATATGGTGCATTAATGTCACAAAACTATACCATGAAACAGACATCCATATATTCTGCTTACCGGTAAAAGATTTTTCTTCTTCAAACTCAGTCATATTTTAGAAGCTTTCAATATATTTCATCTCCATATAAATGTATAATACCGGTATGTGTACATTATTATTTGAAGTATATTCTTTGGAGTATGTGCAAAACCCTGACGTTGCCATTTGGCAAAGACATACTATGTGAAGCTACATGTAGGAGACAGCATGACAAAGAAAGAAATCACTATGATCATGACTGACAAAGAAAGCGGACAAAATATAGTTCCTCAGGTAGACAAAGGAACATCCCCTCACTGCTATTATGTAAGAAGTGAATATGCATGTGACACCTGTTCTACACATTTTTACATAATAGCAGTGAAGGGATGTTCCTTTGTCTACCCGAGGAACTGTATATTTTGTCCGCTTTCTTTGTCGGTCATGTTCATAGTGAATGTCCCTGTATTTAAAATATCAATTACAATATAAATGAAAAGTCAGATATTGTTTCCCATGCAATACAGAAGCTTCAATTCATTTAGTCAAGAACGAGTATACCTTGAGACAAATTGCTTGGACAATCCTCCTTTTTCCCCCCATAAACTAGTCAATGTATTACATTTCAGTCAGGAATCTTGAGAATTGTTATGGCAGTAGAGTAATGAATGTATCCCAGGCCCAGTCTACACAGAGATGAGATCAATCCAGATTGATCGCAAGTCCTCCAATCAATCACAAACTAACAAAACTCCTATCTCTTCAGTACAGAGTTGCGATTGATTTGCATTGATATTGGTGTCGATTGTAAACTGTATTGTAAACTGATTTCATTTAACAAGTTTGTTACCTACAGTACATTAAACATGATTGCAAACATGGCATGCCAATTCGTCCACATGACAAATGACCTTTATCTGCTCATGCACAGATTGTATCTCTACAGAGGCTTAGGCTACAAGGCTGACATAAGACCAAAAACAGACCCCCCCCCCCCCCCCCCCGCCCCCTCCCCTCAAAAAAATAAGAAAAAAAAAGAAAATTACATTACATTAAATGGCAATGGCAAAGAATCGGTCGGTTCGGAGTCGGTTGAAGTGTGATTGAGGTATCAACTGAGACAATGTATACCTGTATACACCATATATTTCATATAATACCTCTTCTCGGTGCAACTTCTTTAATTGGCATCATTGAAGATACAGTGTATGTACAAGTGCATTCATGAAAGACAGATACGTGACAATGAGTTCCCAACAGCATTTTTATACAGGAAGATATGAAAAAAAAATCAAACAATCAAATTATATATGATTTTTTTTTTCTTCTAAGAGAATACATGCAAATGTAATAGAATATGTAATATAATTGTTGTATAAGTGATGGCACTATGATTTAAACTATGTGCTGAAAACCAGAAGACAAATGAAACACTGGACAGTGAGGCACATGCTTTATGTAGGTGGCATACAAGTGGGAAGGAAATTACAATGAAGGGAAGTATAAAGTGTTGAGAAATAAATGAGAGAACGAGAAAGGATGAAAACAAGAGAAGTGGAGAAGGACATCCCAAAATTAAAGGGAAAATAAAACATTAAAGAAAGAGATGAGGAGAAAAAGTGGAGAGAATGAGAGAGAGAGAGGGGGAGAAGAGAGAGGGAGAGGGGAGAAAAGAGAGAAAGGGAGATGGAAGGTGATAAGTAAATAAGATGATAACTGGAGGGGAAGCATTTATCCATCACTATCAAATATGAAATAATGGCCCATTTGAATAAAAGAAATCTGCCCCTTCAAGAAAGAATAATCTTGAACAATACAAATAAATATCAAAGCACCCACCATTAAAGAGACTATCCAACGATACTGTCTGCTGAGAGCGAGGAGGGCATTATTACTCACTCATAGAGCTAACATCCTTCTGGCTCTCATCAAACGATACATCATACAGACAGGTTCTACATCAATTTTTAAGATCTCATATACGGTAACATGATCATCACCCCCCCCCCCCCCCCCAAGGTAGTATAATGCTTTTGAAAGCTAACAGCAATCTCAAACATGGCTCCCAATTCTTTACATTCTGAATAAATGTATTTTGTGAGTACATGTAATGTTCACAAGCTAAATGATGTACTTCTCTTTCACACCACAGAACTTTCTAACAGAATTCTTCTTCTTTTTCAGGAAAGACAAGAATAACACGTTTGATTCTGGAAGAACAGCAAAGTAAAATATGCTTTTAAATGCCCATCTCTACTTTCACTTAACTAGAGAAGATATATTTCTTTCTTTCAGGAGAGTAGATGAAACCACCACTTGTTCAATTATACACTTCAAGATATCGTAGACATATTAACTGACTGAATAGAGAGAATTTGTCATGACTTGATTGGTTACAACCAGCATGCAAATACACACATGGGTCTGGTCTAGAATAACATGCATTCTTAGTACAAAACGAATTTATAAATCATTCACATAATTATCAGTACTGGCTTTATATATCAAGACAAAGAATTCTAAATAATTGTTTTCATGAATAAATGCTGGACTACAAAATTCTACATAGGTACTCTATGAGATACTAGTATGGGTATAGATTGACTGGTACTGGTAACAAACAGAGATGGATAAATAGACAAAAGCAGGGCCAATTATATAAAGAGTTTGGCCAATCTGGTACAAGTTGGGCACACTATGGCAATACACCATGTCGAGCCCAAATGAAACCAAGTTGGCCAAACTCTGTGTTTAGATGGCTGTGGACAAGGGTAGAGGGCACATTCATATCTGTCAAGGCGATGTCATTAAAGTGCTTTAAAAAGAGGGGAAAGCATGGATTCGTCCTTACAACAATCTTTGTTTTCCCTCTGAAGAAAAATGTATTTTGTACAATTTTGGTCAATTAATACTTCTGCTACATGTACTTGATATCTGACATTCAATTATTTAAACTTACCATGCACCATTGCTGACAAATTTTATGAAATTAGCCTAAGATAATACTACAGGTATAACACTTTTGAGAAGACATGTATACATGTATAGGTCTCTAAATGTCAATCAAACGTAAATTCTATTGAATATCCTCCCCTTATTTTCTGTCCATCAATCCATCCCTTTCATTTCCTAACAATCAATCTATCCATACGTCTACATTCACAGTAGCCTCTTTATACCTCTACTTCATCCTTGATAAAAAAACAAAAAGATAAATAATACTCGACTTTTTCTGTCCAATTCATGCATTAATGATAAGAATTCATTATCCACACACTCTCTGCATTGTCTCATGCAGTTAAATTTACACTCAATAAAATGATGCAAGGAATATAAGTTAAAAGCTAAATAAGAGGGAATTATTTCACAACCAACATTAAAAATTTGTGGTTATTACTGATCTTTCTGAACTCAGATTAAGGCAAATATCTCATATTTGCACCAAAAAGAAGGAAAAAAAATACAGGAAGTGTCCATCTCTGAACTTGTGCCCAAATTCTGACGGATAATAGGTATATACCTCAATGAAATACACCAAACATGTATATGTACATGCAGAATGTGTTATGCTTGTTTGTACAGGGAAAAATTTATTATCATAAGAGATATAATCTATTCATCAAAGCAGGAAGCAGAATGCATGATCACTGGTATCGGTAGAGATTATAAAAGCAAAAAAAAATCATGGGACAGTTTAAATTGTTCCAAGGGGATTGTGCCTTGTTTCTGGATCACCTGTCCATGGCAGAGAAGTGATCATAGCATCATCATCATTTCATCCATCGAGAATAAGTCATGTATCCCATGCACTTTATTCTTTATGCCAATATTACACAACAAAGGTCTGTAGTGACAATAATTTCGAAACGGGATAGGGAAGAAATTATTACTACAAAAGAACAAAAATATATTTGTTGGTTCTAAAATAGACCATTTATGTACAGTCAGATCTGTCTTGGCAGCCCCCTCTCTATATAGGCCATAGCAGTCACCCATATTTCCCCCCTCTAGAAGAAAAATGGGTGTTGTAGTACCGGTCTAATAAGGCCACCTGTCTACAATGGCTACTTTTTGTGTTTCCCTTGGGTGGCCTTCATATACAGGGATGACTGTATTATTCAAGGCACCAGTGCTTACTAATAGACAATGAATCTCTTTTGTCAGAAAATGCATGCATCATTGTAAGACAGACAAGCAAATGTGAAAGAGAGAGAGAGCATCGTTACAAAATAAGCCCCATATCTAAATACATTTGCAAGCTCTTGCATGTACATGGGGACAGATTACACCTTAGTTTTCTCAAAGTTTGCAAGCGTAACTAACACACGCACACCAGAACTGAGTGCATCTCGTTACCGTTGTGTGCAGCACAAAATGCTTTGGCAATGTGAACAGACCTTGACTTTGAAGGGCGCCCTCTCTCAGCCCGTCGCAGGTGCGCTGAAAGAATAACGAAGAGTCCATACATGTCAATGGCATGACCAATCCCAGAGGGGCAATCTCAACACACTGTAATGACATTTTTCTTGCTACATATACAATGTAGATCTCAAAATGGCTATAACCGGACAAGGAAGTTCTTTCTCTCTTTGGCCCAACGAATACTGTCCTTTGAGCGATGTCTTCAGGGGGCAAAGGCAGAGGCTACGGGTTGGTGCCTTCGACAGCCCTGATGTATCTGGAATGGACAACATGAAAACCAAGATATCACCATCACCATCACCATCACCATGACAACATCAGATGATGCTGCCTCCTCCTCCTCCTCCTTCTTCTTCTCCTCCTGAAATGCAATCACTTGCAAATCTGGACTACATGTAGGTCATAGTTCGTTTCTTTTTGTCACTTGCTCACTCTCAAAAAGCATGCTCTGTCACATGATGTGGTCATGTGACATGTGATGGGTGTGGCTACCTCCCTCTGTTCATGCTTGAGGACGAGGCGAGGCGAGCCGGTTGGCTGACGCGACGGTTCGCTACCACAACGTTCCTGATTAAGGTGGTGAAAGTGAAAAGAATGGATACAGGTTTAAGACAAATCACAAAGGTACATGCAAGCATGAGTACAGAGACTCTGACAAATTAATTGTCAAAACCTTTGTGACAAAAAAAAGAAACACTTCAAATTGAGAACAACAGAGACTCTGACAAATTAATTGTCAAAACCTTCGTGATAAAAAAAAAGAAACACTTCAAATTGAGAACAACAGAGACTCTGACAAATTAATTGTCAAAACCTTTGTGATAAAAAAAAACAAAAAACACTTCAAATTGAGAACAACAGAGACTCTGACAAATTAATTGTCAAAACCTTTGTGATAAAAAAGAAACACTTCAAATTGAAAACAACAGAGACTCTTGACAAATAAATTGTCAAAACTTTTGTGATGAAAAAGAAACACTTCAAATTGAAAACAACAAAAACAGGTTCAAACAAAGCATAAAGGTATACTTGTAGGTGTACATGTTTGCACAAATATACAGACACTAACAAATTCTCTAACCATACAAACAAGAACGCAAATAAACAACTAAAAAAGTACTCAATCTTAGTATTGTTGAGTTGATAGATGCATCAACCAAAGAGGTAAATAATAAACAAGTAACAAAACTAGTAAAGAATGCATTGATTCTCATTTTAATGAATTGGTAGATGAAGTCCTTGGCAATGAAAATCTCTTATCTGGAATCTCTTTACTCACAACTCAACCATCCAAATACACAAGTGAGAAAGAAAAAAAAAGTGCAAAAAAAAACTTTAAAAAACCTATGATTCTTACCTTGGCGAGTTGATAGAGGAAGACCTTGGCAACGAAACTCTTTTAAGTTTGATATTTTTACTCTTCTCTTAGATAAACAACCAAACAATTAAATAATAAACAACCAAACAATTAAATAATAAACAACCAAACAGTTAAATAATAAACAACTCATCAAATAAATAAGTAAACAAATAAACAATTCAATAATCCTTACCTTGGTGAGTTGATAGAGGAAGTCCTTGGCAACGAAACTCGTTTATCTTGGATCTGTTTACCAAGTTTACCGATCCATCTTTGTTGTTCCTCCTTAGAGTTCGCCATGAGTAACATATGCTTGGCTGTCTCCGCATCAATGTTCACTGCAAAGGGAGAGAACATTCAAATCAGAAATTTTACTATGTCTCGACGTCCTTCCTTCGGACTCCATCCCAGGCAAACAATAGATCAAGAGATGAGTTTTGAGAGTCAATTATTGGTATTAAAAGGATGTGAATTAAAGCTTATCTGCCATAGTTTACAGGAGGGATTAGACCGCCCTGCAAGGTCACTGGACAGGTGGTAATCTCATCAACTCAGCTCTCAGTTAACATAAGAAAAAGAGCATCATGGGGGACCAATGGTCACCGATTAGGCATTGTTTGTTATATAGAGGGCGCAAGTAGCTACAAGTAGTGCAGTGGGCCTTTAATACCTTTCTGACTCTTGATTGTCAAGCAATATGCAGTTCATTGTGGCTGTTTCTGTATCCTATCACTGTTAGAATGGAATCACTACTCAACAAATAAATCATTGATGAATTTAATAATTCTCATTTTCCATGATTTTCCCATAACTTGTGGTACAGTAGTTCTCCCTCTTTTGTAAACTTAACTAGTGATGACATACATGATGTCTTAAAATTTTCAGGTTCCCTACAGCACAAAACCTTGAATCATCTCTACTTCAGTTAGTATATTTAGGTCCACAAAGAATTTCATCTCTAGTTCCCTTCTCAAAAGATCCTTCCGATCACATTAAAACATAAACAGGTCTCTTACCTTTGCAGGGAGGGCAAAACTCTTCTTGTTTGTCGTAATGCTCCTTATGTACTTTCAGACGACATACTGTAAAACAAAAAAGATTACATACATTCAAGACATGATTTCTGTTGAATTTTAGTGAAAATAACTAATAGGAAAACCTTATTTTTTAAACGAGGCACAAAACGTGCGGGCCTTATTTCATAAGTCACTTTTATGTTAACTGAACACGCATCTAAACTTGCAAAATAGAGAAGTAATATTTGAAGTTCATATTTTGATATACCGGTTAAGTATTACAACATGGAACTACTAACAAACAGAGCAAGATGTATTTCGTTGATCAGTGTATGTACACTTTAAATCAGAGAACTCAAAAAAGCCAGACATCTTTAAAAATGCACAGTCTTTAACAACTTATCAGGCTTATTGGGAATCAAAGAATCCAATGACCTGGGTATTAATATCTGTAAAGCGTTTTAATAGAGACGATAATTTGTAATAAGCGCTATATAAATCTAGATTATCGTTATTGGCCGATACTTACATTTACATTCCAAAGCTGGTGGAGGCCTGACTAAATGACTGAGGGTCTTGCTGCAACACTCGCACGTCGTAGGCATGTGGAAGTGAACGACGGTGAATTTATGATTCTTGTGAACGATGGTGCCTTCCTCGTCATCCTGTCGACAAATGACAGAAGAATGAAGTTGTTAATTTCTTCTTAATTTGTTAAGTATGTTCAGTGTTGTTTACAAAAATTAAGTATTAGTTGATTATCAATCATTCATATCATATGTTCCAAGTACATTTATGAAAAAGAAAACAAAGATTTTAAACAAAAAGTAATGTTATTATGACCAATAAAATCAACTAATACAAAAAAAAATCCTTTTACTGGAGGTGAATCAAAGTTTTTTTCAACTCGATCAAATATCTCAAAAATTACATTTACCCTTTAAAAGGAAAATACAAAATTTATAGCAAGTTCAGTATTAGCCCTTGACTTTAACGTTATTTCCAGATAAATTAAATTGTATTTTTAAAAGGTAGCAATAACAGTAAAATATCAGAGTTGCCAAATTGAACAAGGAAAAAACAAACGCACCTGTCCTGGGTTTTCATTGGCTTCGTCTGGGACCATCCTTCTGTTCTCACCCTCGCCTGCATAGAGAAGCTGAAAGATTCTGGGGATATCCCGAGCCTCCGCACGGATCACATCGCCCTGCGTCACCGCTCGCACATGGAAGAGTTTACTGTAATAGAGACGGAGAATGAACGATGAAGGATGGCAACATTTGAATCTTTAGCACCAAGTACAGTCAAACCTGTCTATAGCGACCACCCAAGGGTAACACAACATATGGTCTTTGTAGACAGGTTCCTTTAGTACATATTTCAATGAGAAACCATTTTTAAGGGAAACAAAAAATGTGGTCCTTGTAGGCAGGTGGTCAATAATAAGGTTTGACTGTACTTGTATGGCACTCCAACCTGTCTATTACGGCCACCCAAGGGAAACAGAGAAGGCAGCCACTGTAAATTGGTGGCCTTTTTAAACAGGTTACAAAACACAAATTTCGGTCTCAAGGGAGACAAGATCCATGGCCACTACAAGACAAGAGGCCTCTTAATACGTGTAGTAAGAAGTGTAGCCAATGGTGAACATTGCTGATAGAAGTTACTCAATACATGTAGGTACACTAAACATTAAATGGCCGTGTACGAATTGAAAATATACATTTAGTAAAAATATGGTGTATCACATACATGTTTGTATGTGAAATCATTGTTAGAAATAATATCAACATAATTATCATCATCACTACCATTTCCAGCATAGCAAAGAGCAGCTCTCCCATCTCCTCTCCAAATCTGGTCACAGATGAAAGTGCGTTTCTTTACCTTGTACTAAACACAAAGGTAAATTAGGTAGATTTACAGAAGTAGAAATCGAGGGGTCAGTGACACAAAGACGTAACTCCATTTTTAGAAAAAGTGGTTTACGGTCACTGAGCACTTGGGTCTTAAGTCTATGTTTCACTAGCCACTTCACTTTGTTGGGTGGAATTAAATCTTTGTGTTTTCTGGAAAGCCCGCATTTTTCTGAACATTTTGATATCAAATACTCATTTTGGCAAAATATTGAGTTACGTCTTTGTGTCACTGAACCCTCGCAATGGTTGTTCTCACTTACTCTATTGCTAGCACAAGGTAGGGTTTCTTCTGGGCTTTCTGGTCCTCTGACTCATAGAAGAGGATCTTCTTGGAGCTCACTTCAACAAAATGTTTCTTCCAGCCATGACGACGGAGGTTCTTACCGGGCAGAGAGAGCCAACCCTCCAGTCTACCACCTGAAATACACAGATAATCGATTAAAGGTAAAGACCAGTTATGGTCATGCGATTGCATTGTGAAAGAAACGTTGTGGAATCGATCAGAAAAGGTTGATCATCTAGCATCTAGCATCTGCAAGGTTCTGGAATCATCAAAATGATAAGAAATTTGGCCCATTCTTCGTAAAGTTACAAGCACTATACACAGAAAGATGTATATGGGACTACCCTATATCTCTCACAGACCATGAGAGAAACAAATTTACCAAATATATGAATTAGTAGGCGGTTTCCCGGCAAATTCTTTATCATCATGTATTAGTCAAAACATATTCTTTCACATGATTGGTAATGAGAGCTTCCATTTCATTTTTTGAAATTGGGGCGTTTCCAATACTGGTCTTTACCTTTAATCAGAGATGTGCTACTTTCGGTATTTAACTTGTGATGGAAATTGTTTTTTACCGGTATATTCCCATTGAAATTATGAAACATGCGATGAATTATGAATTTTTCCATTGCGGATATCACTTGTTAATATTCCACTCATGGAAATCGTAAGAAATACCCACTATCAATTAAATTCTAACTGATGGCATTCACATGACAGTGTATCATTTCATTTATAACTTCCTTAGCCCATCATATGTTAAAGTGTTGGGAGCCCAAAATTCGCTAAAAATTGGATGGCAAAATTTCATTTCATAGAAATGTCCCATGAAAAGGATTGCTTTTCAGATACCTTCATATTCAAAATATGACAAGAAATATCAGAAAAGTTTGGACCAAACTTTCATGCTAGATGTGTGTGTAGTCCCATATACCAATTTCTGTATGCAGTGTATGTTCTTTCAGCAGGACCCAGTCAATTTTATCTTTAAAGGGATCGTTTAACAACGTTAAATCTGAGATACACGGCCCTACGTGTAATCAGTGTCTGTGATATGGTGTAATATTGAAGCCCTAAAAAAATTGCGCTTCAAAATGATCAAGAAGTGCCTCAAAAAAGTAAAAATCTTTGAGTGACCGGTTTTACCATACTCGTTTTCCCCAATAGACTGTAGTGTTATGAAAACCGTCAGGCGAACGGTTTTCAAAATTTGTAATTCCAATCATAAATATCTTGATAAAGACAGGCGATCGGCTTATAAAAGTCATGGGGTTCCTGACTGACCTAAAGGTTTATAATTATCATTGCATCATGAGCTAAATCCAGAATTTTATTTCAGAATCTGAGACAAAGTTACCGGATCCCTTTAATTTGGTGATTACAAAAAAGAAAATACAGCCATTTGTACTAAGTACATGCTTAACCTTTCTAATTGCTACCAGACAACGAGACTTCATCTTGAAGTGAAATGTCGACTGAAAACAAGTATTTAATTGAGTGCTCAACTAGTGACATACCTGTTTCAGATTACTTACAATAAGTCTCTGTTTTTTTCGTCTTTCCCAGTTAGAATCATGAGCAGACATGATTGGTAGTTTTTCAGTCCCATCAGCGCCTTTGATTAGGCAACTAGATATTGGCGCTTTATAAATACCTGGATTGGATTGGATTGTTAAACATACCCTGGCCATTCTCTGCCTCTCCTGCACTGTTGATACTAGCGCTATCCGACGCATGCATGGCGGTCAGGTTCTTGATCTGCTGCTGGAGCTGCTCAAGCTCACTGTCTCGACTGTCCAATTCGAGCTGAAGCTCACAATGCTTGGAGTACTCCTCTGTGTATTGCTGTAGGAGGGGGAAACAAAAGTAGTGATAGTAGGTAATAGTAACAGCAACAGTAACAGTAATGGCGGCGCGCCTCGGGGTCATATCAGGATGTAACGTCCCCTTGAGCATATAGAAACAGCGACGCCTCTCACAGCAGTCAATATATCTAATATTATACATAATATTAACAAGAACGACAATGGTTTCTTTAACAGAGATTACTGGTACATTGTATATCAACCATGCACGATGCTCAAGAGTGCCAGAAATGTGGGACACCATTATGTTTGGTACAACATGAGGCCTGAAAAAGCCCGACTTGGGAAGGCAATGGTGTCTGAATGAGGCAAGATCCTGAAAACTGGTCGAGTGGATATGTCACCGGATAGACTGTCGATCAAAAGGTCAGCAGTTCGATTCCCGCCGCGGCTCTTATGTCCTTTGGCAAGACATTGATCTACATTTGCCACACTCAACCCAGGTGATGTAAATGGGTACCTGGCAGGAATTACTTCCTTGAAATGCAAGAGCGCCGTAATGGCCGCTTTGCTAAAGCCAGGGCACTAATCGGGGCAGCGCGAGGATGTGACAGACATGTGCGCTATATAAGAAGCCTCCATTATTATTATTATTATTATTATTATTATATTTGTCACTTACCACGGTGAGTTCCTCCTTCTCCTTGGTGAACTTGATGACCATCTGACTGTACTTATCCCTCTCCTGGTTGAGCTGCTGCTGAAGCTTCCTACACTCCTTCTCCTTCTGGTTCATTGCGGCCTGACTGACCTTCTTACCCTTCCGAGACGAAGGATTGAAGTCCTTCCGGTTCATGATCTCCGCCAGCTTGCTGACGGCCTGCTCCTTCTTGAGCTTTTCCTCGCCCAGGAGCTTCTTGTTCTGCTCCATCTGTTTCTCCATCTCCTGGTGCTTGGTCTCCATCGCCTCTTGTGCTGCGAGGATAAAAAGGGGAGAGAGGATTAGAAGGGGAGAAAGGATTAGAAGAGGTGTACATTCCTTGACTTAATAAATAATGAAGAGTCATCATGTTTCTTTTAATCTACTCCGTTTGGTAACAGAATTCTCCTGGAGCTGATCTTCGCCCAGGAGCTTCTTGTGCTACTCTGTCTGTTTCTCTGCCTCCTGGGTCTTTGTCCCCAGTGCCTCTTGCGCTGCGAGGACTGAAAGTGGAGTAAATGGATCCTGATCACTATTTACAGGCCACCAAATGCTAGAGTGGACTACTGGGATTGGTTACAGGAATGCTCTGATAACATCCAGGAAGCACTGTCAACTGATTACTCTGGTGCAATTGTTGCAGGTGACCTCAATGTTAACTTGCTGGAACAGGATCAACCAGACTCTGTTAGTCTACTATCTATTTTCAGCACACTGGACTCTACTCAGCTTGTTGAATCCTTCACGAGGCCTTCTACAGATAACCCGGGCTCAGGTACTCTCCTGGACCACATTTTTACCAATCGTCCCAATCTGGTAGTCCAAGCATCCGTTTGTGCTAACCCGGTATCCAGTGATCATCACGGCGTATACTTCAAGGTTAAATCAAGGCGCAGTACTGTATAACGACCCAGAAGACATCGAGGCTTCACAGGAAGGTTTTCTTGACATCTTTGAAGCTGCCAGTCGAGACTCGGTTCCAAGATCTAGGCGGCGTTCCAGGAAATTCAAACCCTTGACCTGACCGACATCAAACGATTGATCAATAAGAAACACAAATCATTCTTAAAGGCCAAGAAATTTAACCGTCTATGTGACTGGAACTTATTTCACCTTTTACATAACCAAGTGAAATACGAGTCACGTGCTTCCTACTGGCAGTATGTCAGTCATCTGTTCTCGCTTCCTGACAACCGTAAGCGATTCTTTGCCTTCGTGAGAGAACACAAGAGAAGTTTGCCTCCTCCTGTGATCGTAGTTGACTTTTCAGCCTTCTCTCCATTACAGCATATACTGTAGGGACATATTTGTTATATGCGCTTTATAAGTATGGTATGTTATTACTATCATCATTACATGTACAATGTATGGATGGTGATATAATCTGTTCCTACCTTCCGAGGATTCCTTGAGTTTCTTGTTGAGTTCATCTTTCTCTGTATTGAGGGTCATAATCCTGTTATTCAGTTGAGTCTTATCGTCCTCAAGCTGCAACAAATAAGAACAAATATGGATAATCAATTATCATTCAAATAATTTTTTTCGAAAACCCACAGATTGTCTGTTGAGATCCAGTAGGACTTTAAAGGAAGGGTATGTAACCGACACAGCTATCACTGCTATAATGTATTTTCAATTGTGCCATGTTCCATTGAAGGCGTACATACAGCGATTTCCAGTTTCTGTACCCAGCCATCATCATGCACACGTCATGCAGTTTGTGATGCATTGTGGAACAAGGCTGTCGACACATCAGGACATTGCGAGCAGCAGATGGCAGTACACTTAAATCTGAAGTACAAAGTAGTTAGAACAATAATGATGTTCAAGTTTGTACAACTACAAATGGTTTGGGCCTCTCTGAACAGATCTAAACCACCCTAGTCATAGAGTGCTTGACTTCATAGTGTAAGACTTCATAAGATCCAAGGATCAATTGATCTTACCAATGGACAATACCTTAAAGGGAAAGTCCACCCCCAAAATAAGTTTGTTTTGATAGAGGCAGAATAATAAGAAAATCAGGTGAGTGAAAGTTTGAGCAAATTCTGAATGAAAATAAGAAAGTTATGAATTATTGAAGTTGTGATCAATCAAATACAAATTGGCAACTCTGTGACTTATTATACGAGCTCTCCTTCATTTGCTTTGTGCATAATATTCCATAAAATCATGTTGTCTTCGTTATTGATGACGGAATATATATTTGTTCCTTGCAGGGGGAGTATAGAAACATATTTGCAATTATTATATTTAGGGTGCATGTATGGTTGAAATTTTTCTTGAGGGAAAATGAAAATTTTAGATTTTTTTAGTACTGAGCAAATGAAAGTTGAGCTCGCATGATACGTCATAGAGTTGCCAATTTGTGTTTGATTGATCACAACTTCAAAAATCCTAACTTCCTTATTTTTAATCGGAATTTGCTCAAACTTTCACTGACTTATTTCTCTCATTTTTCTACTCCTATTAAAACTAACTTAATTTCAGGGTGGACTTCCCCTTTAATGACTTAAATAATAACCAAAGAAATATGTATCTTTATAAAAAGGATTCACTTTTCTAGCCCATAGTACAGTAGTAAAGTGATAGATGCATGTACATGTATGCTGTATGAGTGCTACATATGAACTTACATGTATTAAATTTTGTGTGATTATATGATTTTTATTATGTACAACTTCAGATTCATCAGTGCATAAAAGTTTACCGGTAACAAAAAAATTGAAAGAATTTCTTTTATTTCATACTCCTCTATGTACATACCCTCCTCCCCCCCCCCCCTCAAAAACAAAACCCTACAGAACAAGAACCATTCTTTTAAACATGTACACGTAGATAGGTGGATAAATAATTTATAGAGAGAATGTGCATTCTATTGTGTCTACAACAGCTGTCTGGATATATACATGTACAGTGTATGAAGTTATAGATTTTGTGTTGTGAGAAAGAAGAGTGTTTGGGCATTTGCATTTTTAAAAGTATTTTTCTATTTGCGAAAGATTTAAGCTTGGTGCTGTTTTACCACATGTGGGTGTGCCTCTAAATGTATAAGTATGTTTTACATGTATACAAACATAAAATGTAATGTATAGCAATGTAATGTATACATACATACAAGTAATGTATACAAACATACATTAATATATATTGTAATTACACAGAAATATAATGTACTGTACATGTAAGTATACAGAGAGTGGTAAGATAAGCCAACATACACGTACATGTAGATGGATCGTAAAGGTTTGTGTGTATATAAGTATGACAATGTGTGCAAAACAGTGTAAATGAACTCAAGTATCATTTGAGCATGGGCAGATAAAGGTCATTTCTACAAGATTGTGACCCCATCAACATGACTGCTGGATACATGTTCATGAAAGTTTTGTAACCACTATTCATTTATGAACCCGTGTTACATTCTATGATACACAGGTGAAAGTTTTTTTCTTTCAAGAGGGCAAATAAAAGTTATTCACGAAGCACCTCCCTCACTCACTTTGGCAGTGATTATTCTAAAATGCACAAAGTGGGATGTCTCCATGTGTATAAGATCTGTGGATATTTAGGGGTCATTTGCACAAGTGCTATCTCCAAAGTAGCTTACTACAATGTATATTGAGGCACTGTTCTAATACATGTAGGGTTATCTAAATGATTGGAAAATTGATTGAATCTTGTGTGTGAAAAAGTGTTTGTAGGAAGCATAAGACATTATAAGAGATCTTAACTTCATGATTCTACATGTACAGTATGTGCATTTTCTACTTTCTCATTTACTTACACAATTACAATCACTCTCAAACTGTACCAAACAAAAATAACAAAGTATGGTTTTAGAACGAGATGTAAAGACATATTTGGATATGAAACGAAAGCCAGTTGAATAACCAAACAATTTCCAGACAAGCATGATCATATTAATTACCGGTAACACTTTCTTTACTGAGCAAAATTCCCGGGGCCCTGCTTACAAGCGACCTGCTTATTAAGGGTATCCCTCCATGTTTATGTTTATATTGTTATTTTAATACAATGTGTCAATACTATGTTATATTTGTTCTTTTTTAAAGATGGAAAATAAATTGAAATTGAATTGAAATTAAAATCAAATTAAAAATGAGAATCACAATTGCCTATGATCCAAATTTCAACAGCGTTCTCGCGGGTTTTCTTTGTCTATAACTCTAAGCAGCTTTTTTTTATATTTCAAAACCACATCTTAAAGTGCCCATCCTCTTTGTTTCTTAATTTGTTGTTCAAAACTTATACCTGCTTGCTCGCATTTCATTTATTTCCATGCACAAAATTTCAGAACTCAGTGTTAGAAATCGATTCACTTTCAGCAAGAAATCACCTCAGCTGATACAACACCATAAAAGTGGTGAAAAATTGATATATATTGCAATATTTTCATGAACTTGATTAAAACAAAACAATCTGATTATTCATGCAAGAACAAATAAACCTCACTATTTTTTTTAAAGGTTACTCCTTTAATTGAAATTGTAAATTTGATCAGAACTGAAACTGTTATTCAAGGTACATGACTGTATGTCACCATGAAAACCAAACTAAACAAACAAATGATGCATATCCTGAGAAAAAAAAAGAATGTTGGCTATTGTTTTAAAGTACACTGTATATTCCCTGAGGTATCCCACTGAATGAGCAATATACATACAGTTAACCACTACATTATTCCTACCCCTTGTGAATTGATTTTTTTTTTTTGATTTTTTTTTTTTGTAATGCAAGCCGCCAATGAAAGGTGGACTGGTTGAATTTAGGGCCTTTGTTGGATACTCAAAGATGTAAGCTTTGATATGTCACATTCTTAAGAAACATAAATTTGGACAAATCAATGTTCACATACATGTACTTCAAAAATTACAAAACTTAAGAGTAAGGGTATGAATAATTTAGTTGTTAACTGTATGTATGACAGAAAAGGATGACTAAAAATCATAAATTTATCACAGGAGGGGGGGGGGGACATATTCATTAACTCAAGATCAAATGGACAGGTTGGAGTAAAAAGGTAGGGGAAGGGGAAGGGAAGGGGGTGGGGAGGTAGGGGAAGGGGAAGGGGAAGGGGAAGGGGGTGGGGAAGGGGAAGGGGAAGGGGGTGGGGAAGGGGAAGGGGAAGGGGAAGGGGAAGGGGAAGGGGAAGGGGGTGGGGAAGGGGAAGGGGGTGGGAGGTAGGGGAAGGGGAAGGGGAAGTGGTGGGGAGGTAGGGGAAGTGGGAGGGGGAATAGGGAGATAGGGGAGGTAGGGAAAAGGGAGGAGGGGGTAGGGAAAGAGGGAGGTAGGGGTAGGGAAAAGGTAGGGTCTAGGGGGAGGGGGTAGGAACATGGCACTAATGATATACAAACCCAACACCTGTAAACACTTGCCTCTACAGTGAAAAAGGATTAAGGCTGAACAGACAGGATTCATATGGACAATATATAGAAGGGAAGAATACTAAAATAATAAAGTAAATAATTATAATGTAGGAAGGAACGATTCTAGGACAACTATTCCCTTGTCCTAGACTTTAACACCCCCCCCCCCCCCCTTCACCAACCATACAAACTACATGTATCTCACAAAACTTACCCCAGTAGGGATAATACTAAAGAGGGTATATAACTGGAGGGGACTACATGTATATCACTAGGGGTGATTTTGGGGGTAAGAGGTATGGGGTGTAACAAGTATTACATGAATTAGTGTAACTGAACTGAAACAAATATGATCAAAATTGAAAATAACAAAATGAGAAAAACATAAAAGCATGAGGAAAAATGTGATGAATGAAAAAACAGAAATTCTACCATAACAACTTTTGCTTCTGGCAAAAGCTGTCAAAACAAAACCCAAATCCTCTTCAATCTGTAAACTAGCATGCTCAATTTTGTTTCCTTCATGCAGAACTGTCTGACACTCGACATTATACTCACTTCCTGGACCATTAATTGTTTTTCAAAGACCCCATAGAATTGGTGGAAAAAAAACGAGAGATTTGCAGTTAATCATTGCCAACTCTAAATTCACTTTCCAACTCGAGTCATGCTACATATTTTCTATTTCAATATGTCTCCAGAAACACATGTAGATTCTCTGTATTTTTTTAACTTTACATGCTGATAATTTTCACATTGAAATGAACATATAAACTAGCATATTTTAAGAGGTTCGATTCTTTTTTAATATAGCATGCATATTCCTGAAAATGATTGAAGGATTACATAAGAATAGAAAAATAGTTAAAGATGGGCTTTGGATTAACAATGATTTCATATTGAAATGAATGTTAGTTGCATGAAGACTTAATGTCCATCTGTACATGTTGGTATTTTGAGAGAAACTTACAATCATTAATGAATAAAAACTAGCAATCTTTTGTTGCCTTGGTACAGAAATGCAATCGATATCAAACTCAATTTAAGTTGCGATCGATGTGGATCAATCACAAACTGGCAATCTCGTATCTCCTAGCTTTCTTGTACAGAGTTGCAAATGCCATCAAACTCAAACAACAATGTTGCGATCAATTTGAATGCAACGTGAGTCCCTTTAAGTGGCATTCAATTTAGACCAATGGCAACTCTTGTGATAGACAGGGCCTTAGAATATCCCTTGATGATGACAGAATAAGTACTACAACGAGCACACAGATATAGCTGGGACTAACCTTGTTGCAATCTGCTATCAAACTCAAACTGAGTTGCGATCAATTCGAATGCAACTTTGACAACTCTTGTGATAAGACAGGGCTCTAGACAATTTCTTGATGACAGATTACATATTACAACAAACACAGGGATGTAGCTGGGACTAACCTTGTTAAGATGACTGTTCTTATCGTTGAGGGTGCACTTGTGTCTCTGGATCTGTTCCTTGTACTCCAGTTCCACCATGGTCTTCTCTCGTTCCAGGTCCGTGTACTGGTCTTCAGCAATGGTCCTACGGTGGACAGAGGGGTCGTGGATATTGATAGACATGTACATGTACTTTATGAAAACATAAAATTGAGTTTATTTGCTTTCTTTTCTTCAGTTACTTTATAGATGTAAGCCCACAATAACACTTTTTTCACAAAACTGCGACAGGGGTGTCAATTTTGAAAGACATGGCGCATTACAATGTTCACTATTATTACATACATGTATATGTGCAATGTAGGTGCATATACATTGTAGAAACAAACAGTTTCTGAAATGAATACTTAAAAAGTATTCAACTGCATCGAGCAGTAAAATATTCTTTCTCATTTGAAAAGATCAGTAATATTGAATTCTGTGCCTTAAATGCTAAATGCATAGAAACAGTTTCTTTTTTATTTAATACAAATGAGATGATATTCAAAGCTACTAAGATTAGAATTAAGAAATATACTATTTTCCTAGAAAATAAGGATAACCTTGTACTTTTTAACCACAATTTAAGTACATATTTCTTTGCTCTCCTCTGTTTTAATTATCTCTTCTTCTTTTTTCCATTTCCTTATTAGTTATTCACCCCACCAACTAACAACCGTCACTATAAGAAGCTGTTCAAAGCAATTATATTCTACATAAGCCTAGAAATATACTAATAGTGCACATATTATACATATAAACTACGAGATGGAGAAGGGATACAAGAAACTGGAGGGGGAGGGGTGGTGGTAGAGTAAGGGAAAGGAGAGGGGATTGGTAGAGGGGTGTAGTAGAGGGGATTGGTAGAGGGGTGTGGTGAGGGGATTGGTAGAGGGGTGTGGTGAGGAAAAGATGACAGATGGGATGGGTGTGGTACCATACCTAGCTAGCTGCTCTGAGTCGGCTTTGGTGAGAGTGAGCTCAAGTTGAGCTGCCAAAGATTCTCTACAAATTGAGCAAAGTTCATAAACAAAAGGGGGTAAGCATTTGAGAGAAAAAAAGCAAACTCCTGATGAAGTACGGTGAAACCTGTATGCATAAACCTCTCAAGGGAGACAAGGAATAATTAAAACCAGGTGGTCTTTATAATGAACAGGTTATTTCAATAAATAGAAGCACTGTTCATGGGAAATAAAATTTGTGGTCTTTATAGACAGGTGGTCTATCTTGATAGATGGTCACTTGAGCAGGTTTCACTGTACTTTATTCACTAGCTAAAATGCCTTTTTATTAGATAAAACATAATAATACTTATTAATATCATATCAATGCCCTCAATCTCTATAATAATTGTGACATGTGGAAGTAAGCTTTCCTTTCTGAAAATCTCTCTAGAAAATCTAACTCATAGAAGTTCTGTTGCATATTTATTCTTGAAAAATCGATTACAAAATTATGGTGAAAATACAACACGTAACAAAAGCAAAGCAACTTACAGTATTATTAAGCTGCTCTTATTGGAGAAAAAATTAAAATGCTAATAATCCAATCTGATATATTTTCTAAGTAAAACAAAGAAATGCTTTGACTACCTGAAGTGTAGATTTATAATTATTCTGACAATATGTACAATTTCTAGTCATCTATAATGATTTCTATCCATTTCTATTTATTTCAATGCTAGAAATTACTTTCTCAATTCATTGCAAATAAAGTTTTGATTAAAATCGAGCAGAGATTTGAAATTCTTATAGCTGTATTGAGAAAGCTCAGATGTCCAGCATTACGTATACCAATATGCCGAACGAATATGAACTGCATTTTTCTACAAATAACACAGCATTGTAGGTGACTAAAAAGAAGTTGTTAATAAAGCATCATTTTTGTTCACTGAACTTCTTATAACTAAGCTAGCACACAGTGACAAAGGCAACACTTAAATACAAGGGAGCTGTTTCTCGAAAACCATCATATAAGTCTAGCTTCCTTGGAATCCCATAGAATCATGTGTTATATAATAAACACTGGTTTATAAACCATATGTACATTAATAATTATGTAAATGTATGCGCATGTGAATTTGAAACAAGGAGGTAAATGGGAAATTCGATAAATATCACAATCATGAGTAAAACTGAGTTTATTGTGTTGTAATTGTCCATGCTTTCTGTGTGTTTGTATGAGCTAAGGGAAGGCAACTTTATTATCACTCGCGTTCGTCCGGGTTCGGGACGCCTACTTATCTCTTAATCCCCCGTTCCCGGACGCGTATTGTACGCTGGCGGTCCCTTGGCGTCCCTTGCTCGCGTCTATTGTTGTCTGTTGGACAATAGAGCAGGCAGCCAGAAAAGAAGCCATCCCGTCCGCTAGGACCGCTGTCAATGAACCTCACCGCTATCCAGCCCCTCTCTAATCCTTACTAATCTGGCGTCCCCTGACAATAGCTGACCTGTCTAGAACGCGTTAATCTGGTGTTCCCTGACAATAAAGTTGCACCCGTCTAGCTCGTGTTTAAAATACAAGATAGTAAATTTTCATAGATGAATTTTCAGTCTTGAAAGCAGAGCTAGAGCTGCAATCCTCCCGTGTTGATTGATAATAATTTGTCTAAAAAATGTGTCGCGCGCTAAAATAATAAACCTAACCAGCAACGCCTCAAGTCTTTCTACATACAGCCGCATATGAATAAAAGCTTCTTGTGCGACACTGCAAATATATAAATCATATTTAGTAGTGTCTGTATTCCCCCAACCTATTAATCAGTACTGCATTGCGTGTATCAGCAATTCGCGCAAATCAAAACATGTGGATAGCGGTCACGTGACCTAAAATGCGGTCACGTGATCTAAACCCTACAGCGCTGGTAAAGATACCACCACACTCGAAGGCCCTCGAAGCAGGCCTGCCTCGAAGGGCGCTTGCGATAAGCGAAAAAACTCGTTACAAAATCTCTGATTTTTTTATTTTAAGCGCTTTTTTTGGCGAAGCCGTTTTTTAAAACTTGGCTAAGCCACCGCGTGCTTTGGAAATATGGCTCCGATTCCGCACTTGTGACAGCAAAATTTGGCTTTTCGGGTGGATTTTTGGAAGTGACATCGGGATTTCCTTGTACTAGTGAGTGACGCTGTGTGTAGTGCAGTGCACTGATATGTAATTTGCGTGTGTTGTGGATGCTGGTTTGATATCACGATCGGATGCATGTGTGTATGCATGGCCTGGGGTAATGCGCACGTCTTTGAGTGGTGTACATCCCCTGTGTTGTGTGTATGCATACTATGCATACGCTCGTTCTCACAGCCAACCTGTAGCCACGTTCGCATAGCCATACTCAGAACTTACAATTTTAGCACAGCAAAACAAATACGTATTTTCCCTTAAAAAAACACGTATAAATACGTTAAAAACGTTCTGCTTGGCAGCTCTGTGAAGTCTGAGTTTTATCTAAAGTCACAGCAGAAAATTCAGTGTTTTTACAAAATAAATATAGAAATAAAAATAAGGATTTACATTGCATGCATGTAGTCTACCTTACAAGTGAAGATGTAGATATGTAACTTTGCCCCCCTGTTTTACTTTTCCCTTTTGTTGATTTTTTTTATTCTATGCATAATCAGGCCTCTCGCCAAGAAATTAAAAAGGCGTGGCGCGACACGAGGAAAATTTGACCCCGCCCCCCTGAAGAAAAAAAAATTATAAAAAATAATTAAAAAAAACGTTTACAAGTATTAAGAGTAATTTGATTAATTGTTATCCCTGTATTATGTTCCGAGTCATTGTCATATTTACCCTTGCACTAAATAATCAATATTTATAGTATGTTGGAATTTGTGAAATTTGTTATCCAATGTTACGAAGAAAAAAAAATGTATATGATCATAGTTGTTTGGATTTTTATCGAGCTAGACCAAGTCATGTATTTAAAGCTGTAATTATTTTCCTTATATTAAAAACAATATTGCATTTTCTTATTTTCACAAAAATTGCAGTACTCAAATTTCTTCGTCTTTTACTTTATATTGGAGTAAAATAAATTCTCTGTCTCAAAATGACATATACACCCGTCGACTTCGAGACACCAAAGCAATTGATAGAAAGTCTGAAGAGCTGTCGACGTGTTTGTACGCCCGCGTCATTAACATGGCCAGTTCATATTTGTAATTTGCTGGAAATTGTTCTTTAAAAATGAGAAATTCACGAGTTTGAGTAGGATCTCACTATTTCATACTTATGTTAAAAATGATTGTTAAATATCATAATTTTGAGTTTTTTTTATTGCCCGATATGAAAATGCAGCCACAAATGAATTTGAAAATTTTGATTGACTGCATAGTTGCTTAGTAACCAGACATACTAGTCAGTTCATTCATGACTTATGAAGCCGCCTCTGAGCTAATGTAAACAAAAACAAAGCCATTTATGGGCCGAGTGAATGACCTCAAGTGAATGTGACAGAGAAGAGAGCGAGAGAGAGGTTTTCCCACGCTTATCTTTTCAGGGGGGGGGGGAGGGGATAACTTCACGAAACAGACAGCGCAGAGAGACAGAGAGAGAGAGAAAGAGAGGGGAATGTCTGATGGAGAGCGCGCAAACATGAAAGGGCTTGGCCGCCAAGAAGGGATCGAAGCTGAACAAGGGGGAGACATTAGCATTTTGATAAGATTGGATTATGTCCGCATTATGTATCATCGACCAAGGCCACGTGATGAGTGATGGCTCACTCGTAGTTGGTAGTTGTAGTTGGTTTCTCAAATAAATAACAGATAGTAATGAAATGTCCACTATGAGTGAAGTGAAGTTGTGGATCTATCTTTGCCTTCACGTTGGTTTTACTTTTCCCTTTTCAATGCATTTTCGTATTTATTTAGTCGCCCTTTTTACCTGCGGCTGCCATCTTTCCGTCTCCCGATCCTTTCATTCTTCTTGAACTCTAATATTTCTTTATTTACATGTATATCTTCATCACCAGGCGCGTACGCAGTGAGGGGAGGGGGAACCCCCCCCCCCCTCATTTGTTTTTTGTGTGTGCTTATGGGTGACCAAAAAAACATCAAATCCTGGACACACACAAAAAAAATGTGCTCTTACCCCCCCCCCCCCCCCCCCCCCCGCCTGTCATTGCTAACTTTTCGGCGCAATTTACCCCCCCCCCCCCCCTGCGAAAAAATCCTGCGTACGCCCCTGTTCATCACTTACTTCATCTAATTTTGCAATTCCATCTCTTAGATTTTTTTTTCAATGATTAATATGATAACGTTATTATATCGTTTTTTCAGACTTTCATTGAAATTAGAAATTTGAATTGTGTTCAAAACTGCGAATTCATTCTTCAATACATCTCCCGATTTCTTTATCTTGAAACTTAATTTTTTTTTTCTTCACCTACTTTATCTGCCCCCTCTAATTTTGTAATTCCACCTCTTTAAAATAATTTTTTTTTTCTTTTTTTTTTTCTTCAATTATTAAAATACAAACTTAATTTTATCATATATTTTTTTTCTCGGAATTGCATTTAAATTGGGGAGGGTGTGCATTACGAAGGCGCGTAACGATGTTTAATATACGCGATGTTTTGGAACTTTGGTGTTGATTGACATGACTCGCCTCATTTCAGATAAGCAATCGACCTATACAGTGCGCCTCAGAAAACACGAAGCCGAGAATTGTCGATGTTTTATCATAACTTAATCATAGTTATAATTAATAAATGACACATATTGGTAAAGCTTAGATCCTCTTCAGTGATGCAACTCTTATGCATATTTCACGAATGAGCGATTAAAAAACAATTTGAAGACATGCAGGGTCCTATGGTAAGGCATTAATCCTCATTACCAGGTCCCTCGGAGAGAACCTAAAGCCGTCGGCCGTCTGGTTGCTTTCTTAGCAGTCAGGTAAAATAACCACCACCACAGGGTATCAAAAAGTCATTTGGCGAACGGTATCTGAATTTCTAGAAAATTCACTTTCTGCCCTTTCATAAATTAAACCTCGGCTCAATCAGAAAAAATGAGCCAGGAATAACAAATTTCTGTTTGTTTAAAGTAATGCTAGCACTTCCATAATTTGATTAAACGAATTCGTTTTCACTGGCTGCCTGCCGTAGCAACAAACAGAGTTATGGAAATAATGGAAATGCAAGCATTTATTTAAACAAACGGAACTTTGTTATTCCTGTACAAATATGTGTCATTTATTCATTATAATTTTGATCAAGTTATCATAAAACATCGATAATTCTCCGTTTCGTTTTCTCATGGGACGCACTAGCTAAAGAAAGTGTTGATTAAAGAAAGAGAGATAGTACGTGGTAGAGAGATAGTGGTAGAGAGAGATTAGAAAGGTGACTGGATGAGAGAGAGAGAGTAAGAGGGCTAACAAAAAAAGGGGGGGGGCGTAGAGAGGGCCTGGAGAGAAAGATAACAGATAAGAAAGGAAATTGTGTTGATTTGAGATACAGATGTATTACCCGAATTAAAAAGGAGTATTGTTGGATCTGTTTTTGTTATCATAACAAAAATTCTCCTCACCATTGTCCAGTCGCAACAACGACATACAAATAATGACAGATTTATTATGACATTCCCGCCACAAGTCGGCGCTCTCAGAACAAAGGCGTAGGCTGACAATCGTAAATATCGCGGTCTGTCTGAACTTGGGTGTTGATTACAACATTTCCAAGATACGGTTATCAATCCAACTTTCTAGTACTTCATTTGTGCCTATTCATTGTACCCACGAAAAGATCGATAGAAATGTCAGAATGTCTATTACCCTTCCCAGGGTTCAATGGGCGGCACAGGGTATGCAAATTATAAATTGTTCTAGCGCTGCTGGTCGCTACAACTACAAGGCGGCCACGGCCTACGTATCACTCATTCAAAATCAGTTTTCATAAGACCAAACCTCCAAAATAGATGACATATAAAAAATACATAACAGTCTCGTAGAGTAAATATTTCAAAGAACAAAACATGCATGTCTACGTCCCTCTACCTCTCTCTCCCTCTCTCTCTCTCAACCTCAAACAACGGACCTCTGCATTGATTGCGATTCACACAGTTTTCATTTCATTTACATTTCATTTAAAATGGGGAAAGCCTTCCGATCGCTGGAAGGAAGGAATTTTACTGGCAAGGTGATTAAACGAGTTCTTGCCCCTCTTAGCGCGACAAATAGAAACCCTATTCCTCTCAAGAATTATGTAATATTATGTAAGATAATCCCCCCATTCTTGCCCCTTTCATTGGGGACCCGTTTGGGACGCTCGCGTTCTCTAAACAAAGGAGGGTACGCGATGAATGGAGAAGGTTTTAATCCCCCATACCTTACGCGTTAAGGACAGTCGCGTTCTGCTAACAAAGGAGGGGACGCGATCGTCCTGAACCCGGACGAACGCGAGTGATAATAAAGTTGCCTTCCCTAAGAGGTTGATCTCTCTATAATAGCATGCATTTCAATGGATGTCCACGAACTTAGACTTAGAACAGTATCGAGAAACTGGCCCCTTGACTACAACTGTAATGATTATCCAATATGCTTGATTTTGATATCTTACTTTTCGTTGCTCAGCTGGTGATAGTCTTGTTGCAGCTGTTGGTATTCTTGTTTGGATTCCATCAATTCTTCACTCAAGACCTGGTTCTGACTCTTGTACAAAGCCTACATGATAAGTTGATGATAAGTTGATGATTGAAAAGAAGTACTTGATTAATAGGCCATTGTTGTTACAAATTATTTTGTTCTCCTGTTACTGATTATTGTATTTCAAAAGTCTGAATGCGAATTGCATACATTACATGCTCTTAGGTAGGGCAAGCCATAATAGTTGTCCTACCTAGCAACAACTTATGTATACAGACAGGCGGTCGAGATAGGTTTCAGTTATATATAACACAGAAAAAATACATTAAACTTACATTGAAAGTGTGTTCTGCTTCAAGCTGCTCTTGTAGATCACTGATTTGTGAGCCATTCAATGAAGCAATGCTGAGGAAAAAAAACACAATAACAATAATAATAACCTGGATTTATTCGGTGCTTCATATAAAAGCATATCACAGTACTAGTAAACTTCAAAAGAGACTGATACATGTAACTTTTGAAAGCCAATACATGTATGTTTTGTACAACATGACGTCTTTAGCCTGTAAACATGAAAGCATACTAACTTTAGTCTAGGTTTAAACCCTGAATTAACTGGGTATGGAGTGCAAAATATCAATCTCATGTAAGTTACCATCATTTTGTAATTACAGGTAAATAAACAAACAAAAGTCATATCATCATGAAATCTACATGTATTTCTCAATTTCAATTTTATTATTTATTCATTCAATTTAAGCCCCACTGCATTACTTGTAGCTACTTGCTCCCTCTACATAGCAAACAATACCTAAGTGGTGCCTGTTGGTCCCCCATGGTCCCCTTTTTTTAATGTTAATTGAGAGCTGATTTGATGAGATAACCACCTGTCAGTGACCATGCAGGGAGGTCTAATCCCTCCTGGCCAAATTAGTGCAGATAGGCTATAGAATAAGTATTTATCTCTAAATGAAACATCCTTTGTGAATATCATCCATCTTAACAAACCTCTTTGATTTCTCGAGAGCTTCCTCAAAGTTCTTGCCTTGCTCCTTGATGGTGTTGAGCTCGTTGCGTAGTCTCTTGATATCCGTCTGATAGCCGCTGCTCGTCTGCTTGGATGCCTTCAGGTCGTTCTGGGTGAAGCGATGGCGCTGCTCCTCCTGCTCAAGCTGAAGCATCTTTTCTTTCGTCTGCAACAAAAAAAGAAGATATCTTAGTCTGTATGTTTTTTTAATTATTTTTTTATCTTAGGGACATGGATTATATTTTCCCTAACAAAAATGAACTTCACAGGGTTCGAGTCAAGTTTGATTGAGATGAAATGATTACGATGGGTTATATTCAATGTATCATCAGCACTATTGAAATCATCAACATCAAGTGTAATTAATATCAGTGACATTAGAGCTTCTCTTCCTCAACATTGTTCTACTTCACCTCCTTCTCATCATCACCAACACAAACATACTCCTCCTCCTCCTCCTCCTCGCTTTCTTCTAAATATACCTCCTAATAATTATCATTACCATTCTCATCATCACCACCATTATCAACACCACCAGCACCACCACCACCACCACCACCACCACCACCACCACCACCACCACCACCACCACCACCACCACCACCACCACCACCACCACCACCACCACCATCATCATCATCATCACCATCATCACCATCAACACCCGACCACGACCACCACAATCCTACCTTCTGTTCCTCCATCTTAATCATGTTTTCCATCCTCTCAATCTTCTGCTGTGCCTGCTTGAGGTCTAGCTCTAGGATAGAGTTCTGTTTGTCCACCTGGACCCTCATCTCTCTCTCCTGGACCAGCGTCTTCTGGAGTTCTGTAACAGTCAAGAGTAAGGAGCAGAATATAAAACATGATGATGAATGAATCTGATTTTGGCAAAGTGTAAGTAAAGGTTCCATTTACTATCAAAAGATCAGTTTAACAGTGTAAAAGACATAAGAGTTCATCGGACTGATAGTTTTATATTTGAATTTATGGATACCACTGTCTCTGATTGTCACTATGTCTGAAGGTGGTAACACTGTAAAAGACATATGAGCATGGGATCTGGAAGTGGATGGCAGAAAGTAAGACAAAAGAATTCATGGAAAGATATGAAACAACAGAAAGGTTGGTAAAGGAGGAGGATGCTTCGTACGAAAAGAAGTGGAGGGAGGGAGTGCCGTCATGGCGCAAAAGCCAGTAACCCATCATAATAGGGAAAATGCTGACTTTCATGACTTTAATAAATGATGATGATTATTTTTATCATGTCTTGATAATCCAACATTATCTTCAGTGTTTGGGACTAGAGATAGACTTACCGTCTTCTTGAGTCCTTGTTATCCTCTTCTTCTCTGCATTGACGGCAGCCATAGCGTCCCTGTGCTCCTTCACACCTTGCTCATGTGTGTTCTGTAAGGCCTTCAGATCAAACTCTAAGCTCGCTTTTGTCTGGATAGAAACAAATTGTTAAATTGGTGTGAAATTTATTTCTATGAATAACAATTCATCATTATAAAATTGTTGGTCAAAATTTGGTACAAATTGAAAATGAGTTTGTTTATAAAAAAATAAAAAATAAAAAACAATATATATATATATATATATATATGAGGAAGCTATGGCTCTGGATAGAATGTGAAAATCTACATGTAAGTCATGATGAACAAATTTATACTAGCATTTGCCATAAGATAAAGTGAATATCCAGCAAAAACTACTATAGTAAGGTAATGCTTCAGCAACTTTTTCTGGGCAGCTACATGTATACTACAGTTGGGGTATTCATCAAAAGCTCTTTGGAAGTGCATTGAGACATTGCTAGATTTGTAATTAATGACATAAATCATCAATATTGTATGTATTTTAATGCCCCTCTGCACTAGTTTGGCGAGCAGTGATTAGACCTCCCTGCATGGTCACTGGCAGGTGGTTATCTCATCAAATCAGCTCTCAATTAACATAAGAAAAAGGGGATCATGGGGGACCAACGGGTACCGCTTAGTCATTGTTGGATATAAAAAGGGCACAAGTAGATACAAGTAGTGCAGTCCTGCTTTAAGTAAACTCAGGCTGTTGCTGACAGTGAGAATGGATGAAAGTGAATGTTTTATTATCATGAAATGTACCTTTTCAAGGATAATGATGCTCTCTTGATGGTTCTGCATGGTTGCGATGGAGCGGCTCTCTCCTTGCTTCAGACGATTCATTTCCTGCGTTGCCTGAGCATTTTGCCCTGGAAGACAAAGGAAACAATAACAACTTATTATTCATTTATTTACTCAACTTAAAGACAATAAGTGCTGTAAAAGCAAGTACTTGTAATCTCCACTTGTACCTTGTTTCTTTAGAAAAGTGATATTTATTATTATTTCTAAGTATCATTATTGTTTAGAAAAGTGATAGTAATGACAGTATGAAGTGGATGAATATTTAATAGGGAACTTCGAGCAGGTATTGTTGAAGGAGAGATTACAACTATATTGCTCTTGATACTGGTAAAGACCACCCAAGGGAGACAAGAAAAGTGGTCTTTGTAGGTAGGTGGTCTTTATATACAGGTTCCTTTAGTACATGTTTCAATGAGAAACCATTTTCAAGGGAAACAAAAAATGTAGTCTTTCTATACAGGTGGTCACTAAAGCTGGTTTGATTTTATTATGTTCTTTGAGATAAAATAAATAAATAAATAAATAAATCTTAAAGGCAAAGAGGGATAGACTTACTCTCTAGTTCTGCTTTGAGGTCCTCCATGCGTGATCGTCCGCGTTGCTCCTCCTCTAGCTGGGTCTGCATCCTGATCACCTCCTGGTCTAGCATCATCTTATTGTTGAGCTCTCGGGTGTACTTATCTCTCAGCTCGCTGATCTCCTGCTCAAGATGAGCATAGTTCTAGGAGGGGGGGGGGGGGGGGGAACAAAAGAAGAAGATTGAATTAATAAATTGTGATGCATTTGAATGGCCGGTAAGAATAAACCAGTTCATAGTTGCAATTTGAGCATGAGCAGATAAAGGTCATTGCAGACCAAATTGCGAAATATAGTGAGACAAATACTGGATACGTGCTCATGAAAGTTACATGTATGCAATCATTATTCAGCAGTGCACTCCATGATACACAGGTGGAAGAAATCTTTGAAAAGGGGAAACATAGGCTATTCATATAGCACCTGCATCGCTGTAGGAGTGATTATTTTAAAACGTACAAAGTGAGACCCCTTCATGTTTTGAAGATCTGTGGATATTAGGGGTTATTTGGGACATGCGCTAACTGTGAACTTGTCTATTGAATACTGGCATTTTCATTGTATTCATACCTAGTTTGTAGGCATAAAGCCTTATCTGAACAATAGACTGAATCTCACATGGCACTGTACTATTTCTGCTCTATTTTCATAAAAATATTAATAATCTGGATTTCATTTGGCTTCAGCTTCAAAAAGCTAACCCAATTTTGAAGAAAAGAAAAATGTTTTTTATACAAGCGAAAAAGGAAGTCACTTACCTTTTGGTGATCACCGAACATCTTCTTGGACCTTGCGTGTTGGTCGCCCTCCGTCTGGAGCTGTTTGTTGAGGTTCTCCACCTGTCTCTCGAGGATGGTGGTCTTCTCAGACCGGAGCTTGAGCTCCTTCAGCTCCCTCTCCATGTCTGTGATGTGGGAGACCTGACGCTCCACCCTCTTACGACCCTCCTGCTCCTGCTCCGCTCTCCTAGCGAGCTGGCAACGAGGGAGGGAAAGACAAAAATAACATTGGTATTTGGGCATATCCACAGTAATTTCTATTGTTTAATGTTGTATAATATGTACTTTAATATGCATAATAATAATATTGAATATAATAATTTATACGTCAGGTTATTGTCAGTTGCATATTTTACATTGTATATTATAATTCTGAGTCTATAATGTCCTTTGGCAAGACATTGATCTACATTTGCCACTCTCCACCCAGGTGTTTAATGGGTACCGGTAGGAAGGAATTCCTCAAAATGCTGTGAGCATCGAAATCGGCAGCCTAGCACAGCCGGGTAATGTTGGAGCGCCTTGAGGACCTTGCAAGGTCGATACGTGCACTATATAAAAATCCAATATTATTATTATTATTATATCTGGTTTATCTATAATATTGATTAATTCTGATGTAGTCATTATTTTGTGTAATGTCATATTCTTCTTTGCCGTTTACTTGTACTTTAATATTTTTAACATATTTCTTTGGCATCTCTCACTTTTCCTTCCTTTTCCTTTCTTCTTTTTCTTGCACTTAGAAACATTAGTATTAAGCGCTCTAAAAATATAATGTAATATCATTATTATTAATGAAAACTTCGGGGAATGGTTTCATTTATTGAATGTCAAGATAAAAACAATGTGATATCATCAAAATACAAACATATATAATGAGATATCTGAAGTGGGAGGATCATGAAAAACACATAAATGGCGTGTTAAAAATTATCCTCACAAAATATACAAAATAACGATAACTTTTGGTACATGAATCAAATAAAATCATAGAAAAGGAGGAAACATTGCATAAACATCGACATCGTAAATTATTCTAATTTTTGTTCTCAAATTACAAACTGTATATATGAAGATATAAAATCTTGTTACAATAAAATAATAGTCAGATGCAAAATGAACTCCTACCTCTGTGTGCTTGTGTTTCAGTTGAACATACTCTCGTTCCTTGTCCATCAGTTTGTTCTGCAGATGAAGCTTGTCGTTGTTCTAAGGGAAGAAAAAACATTCACAAATTAAGATGGAGAACTGAAATTAAGAACAGCGTTTAAAACAATACTGATGCAATGCACGGTGTGTTGCTACTCATGCGTATCCTGTAAGAGAGTGAATTAACATATGTGTACTTTATGAGTAGGGTCAAACTTTTTTAGTAAAAATGCCAAATGCTGAAACTGTACTCACAAAATGTTTGTTTCAAGAAAAAGACTGAATGAAACCTTTCTTAGTTTTTCATGTGTCATCTCCGCATACACAAGTTCTTTAGGGCACTTTTCCCATTAGATACATCTCTGGTCCAAACTGCACTTCTATTTAATACACTGTATCACAACTCAGAGACATCCAAGGTCCTACGTATCAACACTAAAGAACAGTTTGAGGAAATCGAACTGAAAATGGCTACTGATAGTTTTATTTGGCTACAATCATGTCTGGTTAAAACTAGAATATGCTGGGACATAGTGTAGCACTGGACTGTCATATGGACCAATGTTTCAGGAAATTTGTATCTGTAATTATAATTACTTTGAACTTGAAATCTTGTGCAAAGGGAAGCTAAACATATCCTGTTGCATCACTACAAATTGCAGAATATTTTGATCACGGATTAGCATAAACATGTTTTGTTGACAGACGGAATTTCTAGCTCAACTCAATTCTGATTTTAGGGTTGTTTCTTATTTTTGTGGTAGTATCAAAGGTGTATAAACTTATCTCCCTATTAAACAGATCTCCTAGGGTATGAACCTTGTCTCTTGCAAAATCTCAATTTTTGCCCACTATCATGCTACCTCTAATTCAAGGTGTTGTTTGAGGCTAGGCCAAGAGACCTTGTTAATCTAACCCCTCCCCATCCCGATCCTTCTCGCTCCTTATTAACCCTGAGAGTGGTCATACTTGGTTCTCTACCTCCCACTGTGATCAACCTTCCTCACTTGAAGGTCTATATTCTTATGCCTGGTTCCATGCCTTGTTTGGGTCTAACAAACTTTGAGGCAATGCCTCTCTACCCCAACCCTCCTTCCTCCTTTCTCCCTATTACAGTCAAACCTCCTTTAGCGAACACCTGTATAAAAAGACCACATTTTTTGTTTCCCTTGGAAAGTGTGTCCCATTAAAACCTACTGTATATTAAACAAACTTGTACATAAAGTCCACCTGCTCATAAAAATACTTTTCTTGTTGCCCTTGAGTGGTCATTATGGACAGGTTTCATTGTTTTTTTGGTAGTTAAGCAATAGATCCAATTTCCCTAATTCCAAGTCTACACTTTACCTCCAGTTCCAGGTCTTGTTTGATTCTATCAAACTTGGAAGCAATGTGTTTATTCTTCTGGTCTAGGTCCTTGTTTCTCCTCATCTCGGCCTCTATCTGCTTCTCAAGGCTGTGGGTCTTCCTCTTCATCTCTTCATATTCCTAAAAGAAACAAGAGAAATATCAAATGATGATATTGATATATATACATGTAATATACACCCTGTTTAAGAATTGTCATCTAGTTTTTGCTTTCTTTTTATTTATGATAATTGTTTTCTATCTTGTTAAAGTGATCTCTTTGTTGGTCCTGTAATGGACACAACACCTTTAAAGGTATAGACCAGTTTTGAACCTCCCCCCCCCCCCCCTCCAAAAATGAAATTGAAGCTCTTATTGCCAATCATGTGAAAGAATACGTTTTGACTCATACGTGATGATACCAATTTTGCCGGGAAACCGCCTACAAATTGATAAATTTGGTAAATTATCATATCTATCCGGCCTGGAAAGGTATTGCATAGTCCCATATACATCTTTCTGTGTACAGTACCAAGACTGTGCCAAATTTCTTGTCATTTTGATGATTCCAGAACCTTGCAGTTCACACCAATACTTATAGGCTAGATGATCAACCTTTTCTGATCGATTCCACAATGTTTCTTTCACAATGCAATCGCATGACCAGAACTGGTCTTTACCTTTAATGTGTATCTTATTTTGCCGATTTCAAAAAACCCTTACAGTTCACACCAATCCATAACTGCTACATGGCCAATGTTTCCCAACATGTTCATGACGATTTCTTTCACAATGCAATCGTATGACCAGAATTCAATTTCTATCTTTAAGGTTCTCGGTTACTCACCCTGCCTCCCACATTGGGGGCCGATACGTGTCCATCCGCTTCCTTTACACCACCCTGCAAAAAGCACAAAACACACATGAACTGCAAACCTGTCTGTAGAGGCCACTCTACCTAACATCTAGACCTCTATAGACAGGTTCTCAGTATGGAAGATACAATGTAGTCCTTTCAAAGATGAAAGGAGGGAGGAAGGAAGGGAGAGGGAAAGACAGAGAAAGAACGAGAGAGGCAAAGACAAGGAGAGGAAAGGAGTGAGGAAGGGAGGGAGAGAGAGACAGAGACAGAGAGGAGGAGGAATATATATATATATATACATGTACATGGAGTGTATTGATTGGGAATGTATAGGGAATGGATTGAAGAAATCATATAATCTTAGAATAATATATATCTCTAACTAAAACATGAGGCATTGATTCATATTGATTAGCAACAGAATTAAAGCAATAGAAAATAACAAAGCAAAAGAACTACATGTATAACATGGTTGAAATATTAGTTGAAAATAAGCAAAAGAAAAATCTTGTTACTTTTCAATCTTATGGGTGTGAAGCATTCTCATATGGGTTTGCACAAAATAGCTGCACAGCAAACAAGTCAAAAGCATTACTATAAAAGTTTGTGAAAACTTTGTTCTTTATTCATTTACATGTAAAGTGTTCAAAAACTTATGAAAGATAAAGACCTTTATTAAACATGAACTGGAATATACATCATCATACCAGTCAATTTTATGTCTTGGAAAAACAAAATTGAATTTAAATTGTCAGAGGGATCTTAATAATATTGATAAAAGGTTTCCCCAAAAAAGTAGCTAAAAATATTTTTTTTTAATTGGGGGAGGGGTCCTTTGTTTTCTTCCTTACTTTTTCTTTTATTTCTTCTTATTCAAATTACCAAAATATTACAACACACATCGTACCACAGAATTTTGCCACAATCTATAACTTGAGATCACAAAAAATGTTCTCCGGTATCATACAAATTCACTTCAGTCTTTACCCGCCGCGGTCACTGAAATCAATTTGCTAAGCTCTAACCATGAGTATGATTATTTTGTAATTACAGCAATCAAATTTGTGTTTTGTGGAGAAAAAAAAGAAAGAAAATGATTTGGGTAAATTTGAAGTGAATACCATGATAACAAGATTGCACAACACATGCTCTGGTGACAGTTTCTCCAAGGTCAATTTATTTAATATACTAGTGTTATTCCAAACTTTAAAGATGGTTTGTCCCTTTTGCAGACCTAAAATCCTGAAGTTCCATGAATCCAGTGGTATATTGAAGAGGTCTATTATTAGGAACCTCCCAAGAAATGACAACAAAATGAACTGACTTTCATCAAATAAATTTTGATTTATTGAAGGGAAGAATATTATCTAAAGATCATAATTGAGAGACCAATGGTGAGAGCAACCAGTGGCATGAATGGTCTGCCATAGTTCAAGTCCTATTTCAGCCGATCTTAGTCTTTGTGAAACACCCCCCCCCCCCCCCCCTGAACTAATACCCAATCAAAAACTAAACTCTAAATCTTTGACAAAGTATAAAACCCAGGGGAAACAAAATCAGAGCAAATGTCGCAGGAGATAATGTCCCCAGAGCAAATGTCGGATCATCAACACATGTAGCACTCACGTTTGTAACAAGGGTATCAGGACACACCGCAAACAGATGGACGGATGTCCGGATAGTTAATGACCAACCACAAACACGAGAAAAGAGAACCACGCAGACAGAAAGGATGGAAAATACAGATTGTTACAAAAGAAACAGGCATTTTTTCACCTCTACATACAGGGAAAATGTACATTAACAAACATGTAATGTACATTTATTCATTAATAATTGTTACAAGAAACAGGCATCTTTCAGCTATAAATCCAATTCTAAAGGGTACTATTATAAGAAGAAGAAATATAAATTAATCAGCGACATCTAAACATAGGAAGGGGCAGAGTAATTGCTTTTTAACATAAATGTAGATTTTTGTACTATCTTGAAATCTGCTTCTCTAAAAAGGTCAGGATTTCTCTCAGATTTACGAGCAATCTCATTTCGATGACCACATGCATACATCAAAACTCAATCGCTAATATTCAAAACATTAATTTGTGTATCTTTTAGAATAAAAATATTATTTCTGCATTTTAACAACCAGTGCATGACAGAGTTGTATGATTGACATTAAGTGCATGCAAATGAGGAAAAAATATTCGCTCTTGGCAAACTAGTTAGAAATCTTGCAACAGAAGTATGCTAAATATGCATTGAAAACAAATCGGAGTGTTAGAAAGTGATATAGGGTGTTTTTTAAATCTTGAAATTAAAGGCAGTTAAAGTTTTTAGAAGTATTGGATGAATAGCTGAAATACTGCAGGTATTCACTCAAAACTACGCTACATTTAAATGCAAAACTATACTACAGAGTGAATATTCTACAAGAAACATGCATAAGAATATATTTCATGCAAGGATACATAGTTTTGTATAACAGATAAATTAGGGGAAGGTTTGTGTAGGAAAGGATAATCAAATGAATTTGAAACTGTCGTTTTCCTTCCCACTCGATGTGGAACTGGCATTGTGACCATGTACAATGAACAGAAAACTACAAACAATTTACAGAGTGTGCAATGAGGGCCGAATAGGTATTAACTCTACTTTTTTAAGAGTTTAAGATAATCTTGAGCTCTGGTATGGGAATCTTATTTTGAGAAAAAAATTGCTATGAATTATTCTGGATTGTTTGAACCAATGAAATAAAAACAAATACACAACTTCCATTAGCACACAGTGACCTGTGTTTATAAGCACATGGTGTTGGGCCTACTTACCCAGATTTCCATATCGTTTTAAGCTCATTACTCAGCCACTATACATTTTCTTCCAAAATTGTTTGGCACATGTCATCTATTTGTAATCTTGAGCATTCAGTGTAAGTTTCGTTGGATTCTGTGAGAGTTATTTATTTTCTATATTTACCAGAACTCAAGTTTACTTTTTAAAGAGTTATTGCCCTTCTGGCTCTGAACAGATAATATGACCAATCCCAATGGAAAGAAGGAAAATATTTTATTTCTCCATGAAATTATTGATACTCCAGTGAAAGAACACATCTACACCAACACATTTGAAATATCAAACCAATGATGTACAGAAGTGAGAAAATGTAAGTGGGTGATTAAATTTTTCTATGACAGAATAATTTGAATAGTCCCCTCATGAATGTAGAACAGCCATGTATACAGTTGTGAATGAATAAAAGGTCACCAGAATAAGCACTTTAATTGGACTTTGAGCAAGATAACAAAGATTCAAACTTAATTAATTTTTATTTTTTCTTCAGTGAGGTCATATCCCTATTTTGTTATCAAACATCAGAGTATCTGCACTTCAAGCATACTGAGATGATTTACACTTTGTTATTGTAAGATCACTGGGAGTTTGTAGGAAGCTGAAAATTGGGACTATAAAAGCAAACATCACGTGTGACCATTGATGAGGAGATTTCCTAAACATCCTCCAAAACGGCTTAAAAATTGGAGTGTCATTTTCATCAAGCCAGTAATTGTTTGTGTTAGAAGGTGTATTTGGAGTTGAGTAAGTAAGGAAGTCTTACGATAAGTGATTTGTGGTTTATTTGAGATTGTTTGAGGTTTGAAACATGACACTTCTTCTAAGCAGTACAGAGCCAACTCCTTTCTTGTTTGTTTGCTTAGGGTTTCTTGTGGTTAAAACCTACATCTATGTGTACATGTACGTTCATAAGAAAATGATGAATAATGCTTGAAGTGCTCTGCAACTATGTTTGCTTAAATGCATCAATCTTTTTTTTTACTCATGAGCGTCGAATCCCTCTTCGCTGTTATATGACAATCACCTTAGAAGAGACTGTACATGTAGATGCAAGGATTAACCTTTTACATGCCACTCCCCTATGAGTTTAGCGACTGTTTCAAAACAATTATTACTTGCTCCTTCCCATACATGTAACTGAAATTGTATTCCGCTTTCTATGTGATTTTCTACAGGTAAAATGGAAGAATAAGTGAAAATGGTGTTAGTCATGCTCTTACCTCTACAGATGTGAAAAGCCTGAAAGAAACACAGAAATATTAGAGAGAAAATAATAAAATCCAATGATTTACAACATATTGAATGAGATCAGTGACTCTCAAAAGCTGACAAGGTCAAGAAATTACTGTGGTAATATTTTCAATTAAATTCAATTCAATGTATTTATTGGTCCAATGTAAGTTCAACATGAGTATTTGTTTCCCTAATATGTAAATTGAAGGCCCAGACATAGTTTACAAAGAACAAAGTGAGTGAACTATACCAATAATACAATAATAAGTCTCTTACAAACATTTGAAAGTAAGGATCACTAAATCTATGGTAATCTCCAAAATGGCAGATTGGTCTTTCAAATGCGATAGAATTGGCAAGAACTCTTCAAATTTGTAATACATTTATTAAAATATGAATTCCAAATTCTCTTCTATGAATTCTTCCCTCAGGGTTGTGCCCAAGAGACATTATGAATTGCAAAGTGTCATATACCTTTCAATAACAAAAAGTAATATATCTTACTCAGTAATTAAATTAAGAAATATTATACTTGAGTGGATTTTGAGCTAATGAAACGATGCTTCACAGTTTAAAAAAAAAAAGGGGGGGCGGGCAAAATTGGCAAGCAAGTTGTGACCGATTACAGTATCTTTAGAAAGAGAGAGAGTGTACTCACTTATTTGATTTATTGTAGGTGAAGCCGATGAAAGGAAGATTGTTGCCAGCGAACGTCTTGGGCGACTGAAAGCTCTCTTCGGGATGGTCTTCTGGCTCGATCTCGTCAAAGTTACTCGTGTCCACATCACTGATAAGTTCGGGAACGACAGGAGGTACAGCTAGAAAGAGGAAACAACACAGAGTATGATGATAATAATCATCATGGTCTTATACAAACAAAGTATCCTCATTTTCCCCATATTAAGTTACTGTAACTATTTCAAGTGTTATATAAGATGTTTTTTTAAATATTTGTTAAGCGCATAGAGATAGCAACATATTACCGGTATGCATTTTATAAGCCTGACACTGTTATTTTTTTATTTTTTTTTCAATGAGATTTTCAAAACTTTAGGATCATTATTACAACCTATTTCCAGTTTGAGATATTTTCAACATCTGGGTACACTGCTTGGATGAGAGACAAAATATAAATGACCAACTACTTTCTTTTGGGTCAATGAAATTCACTGATTTTCAAATGATTTTCAAATGATTTTTCTCAAATTCCCCGTTCCCTGACCAGAAAAAAAAGAGAACTCATTTTCCCAGTTATCCCTGATTTTTAGGATAGCTCAGACCCCTTTCATTCCAACAATGTCATTCCAATCAAAAAGATTTTCTACTTACTATTTCTAATATTATCATATGTCCACATATCATTCTTGAAGAATCTATGCAGCTTGATTTCATCAATGCCATTCTTCCCTAACCTTGTATCTCTGCGGAAGGAATAGAAGACAGAAGGGAAAAAATGTAGTCGGAATATTGTATCAATTACCACATTTCTCGCTGTCAACATGATCCTTATTCACACCATCATCATCATCATCACCATCATTATAATCAAATAAACTCAATGTATATATATATATTTGTGTTGACTCTTACCAATGTTAGACATTTACATCATTATAATCATCATCATCAAAATCTCCACCACCATTGTCATCACCATCATCATCATCATCATTACTAATGTTGTCAATTTCAACATCATCTTCACCACCACCACCACCATCAAGACGACCACCACCATCACTACATGTACCTCCAAAAGCTTCATACTATCATCATAGATACTATAATAACTTACCTGTCTGTTAGAAACTTGCATATAAGATCTTTGGCGGGTCCACTAATTGAAATGTCATCTGGAAACTCCAAGGAGTTCCTATGATCCATGATCTTACTGTATGTACCCACGAGAGAATCAGCATAGAAAGGCGTATCACCTATATCATGAAAAAAGACAAAATGATCATGGTAATATCATCCTGGAACTCCAATGAGTTGCTTTGATACAAACATCATACTTGAAACATGTTCCTAACTAACAAAACAAAACATAGACATAAACAACTTCTGAATTTTGAGGGATATGTTTTGATGGTGATCCAACATTTGCTTGAGCCAAATTTTGTTAAAGACCAAATGAAATAGATGAATTGTATATCAACGGAAAGCTTATAAGCCATAGATTTAAAATAATATTAATGTTATTTTACTGTCTGTCAGAGGAGATCTCTGAAAAATCTAAAGCTAAAGGGGAGACACAACGAGAAGAGAGGATGGAAGGAAAGAGAATATGGGGTGAAAAAAAGAGTGAGAGAACAAAAAGGACGAGGAAAAAGGATAATAAAGGGAGAAGGAGGAAGAAAGAGAAACAAGAGAGGAAAAATAATTCATGGGACTCTATCTTACCAACGAGCATTTCATAGATGAAAACTCCTACTGACCACCAATCACATTCTCGTCCGTACTGCCCGTTACCAGCCTGTGATTTGAGAACTTCAGGAGAGATGTAATCTGGTGTACCTACCGCTGTGTCTGATCGTACCATACCATCCTAGAAAAAGAAAAGGGCAAGTCAAATATGAACTTCTTCAGTCTTCCTCTTCTTCGCAGAAAAATTTGTTTATCCTTGGTTCACATTGATTAAATATCCCTTAAATATCCCTGTCAGTCCACCTACCACATTCAATACTGTACTGCCCGAACTGGCCTACGATTTGAGAACTTCAAGGTCCCGTCTTAATTTTTTTTGTATCAACTGCACCTTATTTGCGATTGATATCCATTGCAACTTTGTACATAAGAGATACGAGACTGCAAAACTTGCGATTGATTGGAGGAGTTACGATTGATTTGGATCCATCGTAACTCTTTATAAGACAGGGCCCTAATGTGCTGTGTCTGATCGTGCCATACCATCACATGGAAAGTAAAATAGGGAAGATTTGGCTATCAGCATTGCACTCCAAACCATATGCCTTTAAGAAACTCTAAATAGAGATCTTATTAGTGTTTATTGAGATTATAGATTCTTCTTACCCTTTCCATTCGCATACACGTTCCAAAGTCTGCTAGCTTGAGATGTCCTGATGAATCTAACAACATGTTATCGGGTTTCACATCTCTGTAAACATAAACAAAAAGAATTTAGTTAGACACTGGCTAAATTTCTTTTATCAACAAGGGAAACGCTCTTGGCGGTCTCGCCTGCATAACGCAATTCAATATGATAAACCAGAACGTCAATGACGTAGCGCTCATCTGCATCTCGCAACAACAAATATCGTAAATTTTATGTGGTACACTTTTGAAGTGGTCAAAAAATAAAAATTTGATGCCCTGGAAGGGACATAATTTCATTTCATTTGCATAAAGTACCATAAATAATCAATGGAACAAAATCTCACAATTCTGTGTAGAAGTTTAGTGTTCCAAATTTAGCTTTACCAGATAAGGCAAACCAAATCAAAATCGGTCAAGAAATGAGGGAAAAGAAGCAATTTTTGTTATTTTTGGAATAAATTTGCATAAATTACCATAATTAATTAATGGAGAACAATTTCAAAATTCTGTGTAGAAGTTTAGTGTACCAAAGTTAGCTCTACGATATAAAGCAAACCAATTCAAAATCAGTCGAGAAATGAAGGAGAAGAAGCCTTTTTTGTGACTTCGAATAAATTTGCATAAATTAGCATAGATAATGAATTTCACGATTCTGTGTAGAAATTTTAAATCCCCCTCCTAGCCCTATCATATAAAACAATCAGAATCAAAATCGGTTGAAAAATAACGAGGAAGAAGCATTTTGAAAATCTTGATGTTGATGCCACAACAAAGTCTAAGTTTGTTGACCTTAAATGACCTTTGACCTAAACTTAGTGACCTGAAATTCTACTCACATGATTGGGGAGACTTGATAACCCTATAGTCCAAGTTTCATTGACTAAGAACTTATACTTTCAAAATTATATCAAAAATTCAAAAACTTAACCTTAGGTTAAGTTTTCGATGATGATGCTACAACATAGTCCAAGTCTGTTGACCTGAAATGACCTTTGACCTTGACTTTGTGATCTGAAATTCTACTCACATGATTGGGGATACTTGATTACCCTATAGTCAAAGTTTCATCGACTAAGAACTCATACTTTAAAAATTATATCAAATATTCAAAAACTTAATTTGACATTTTTGATGTTGACGCCGCCGTCGCTGCCGCCACCGTCGCCGTCGCCATCGCCGTCACCGTCGCCGTCACCGGAAAAGCGGCGCCTATGTCTCGCTTTTTGCTACGCAGGCGAGACAAAAATACAACTCTGATTTGAGCACTCGGAGATGAGCATATAAAAGTCTTTTTATTCTGAATAGTCAAAAAGCTTGCTTTAGGGATCACCTGTTTGTAAATTAAAGTCTTTTTCTTTCTCAAGACTATCTTTCTTAACATCTTGAATTGCCTTTTCACTTGCTTTATCGCAAATTATCTTTACAAATTCTGACATTATAAATGTTTCTCTTTTTTCTCCAGCAATAACAAATATATTCAATGGCACATTTAATGATATCCTTGCTAAATGTACCTCAAAGAAAATGAAAATGAAAACGAAAAAGAAGAGAGAGAACAAGTACATAGCCTTGGTGCAAAGAAACATCGGCTCTGTATTGCAACATGAAGACCTTAAACCCAATATAACATCTAGTTTTTGATATTTTAATCGTTTACCTGTGTATGAAGCCTATAGAATGAATGGCTAGAACTACTTCCTCTGTTTAGAACCCGACCCATTTCTCAGAGATCTTGTAGTAATTCATGACATTTAACAGAGAAAGAGAGAGGGGAAAAAGATAAAGAGAGAGACCGACAGAGTAAGTGAGAGGGAACAAAGTATCTGTGCCTTTTCTGCAAAGGTTTGATCCTTACCTGTGTATAAAGCCCATGGAATGGATTGCGTCTAGCGCCAGGACCACTTCGGCGGTGTAGAACCTGGCCCACTTCTCAGGGATCTCATAGTTACTCATGAGATTGACCAGGTCACCACCAGGCATGTAGTCCATCACCATGTAGAGGTACTTCTCATCTTGAAAGGCATAGTGGAGCTGGAAAGAGAGCAGTTACATTCATTGACAATCAATCAATCACTTGAAGTGGGAATGCACTACTTATAGCTACTTGTGCCCTCTATACAGCAAACAGTGCCTAAGCGGTACCCATTGGACCCCCATGTTCCCCTTTTTCTTATGTTAATTGTGAGCTCATTTGATGAGATAACCGCCTGCCTTAAACCATGCAGGGAGATCTAATCCCAACTAGTCCAGATAGGCTTCAATCAATAATACTCGCATATGAGAGTAATTTAGATGACAGAACAACTATATTGTGATCATTTATACATGTAGATATCAGAGTAAGAAAAATAATTCTGTTCGCGGGAGTTCTTTTAAGATTTGGTGTGATTTTTCACATTGATATCTAAGTGCTTTATTTTGTTTTGTTACCAGAGCTCTTCTTCAATTAACCAGAGATATTTTTTGAGCTTTCAAGCGCTAAATGGGGGCAACTAGGGAACATCCACATTCATACGCAGCAACCACCCCCCCCCCCCCTCTTCATCACATTTACCTTGTACTCAAACATCTTGAAGGCTACATGTATCGCATAGTTAAACATGGTACAACCAGCAAAGACATGTCAAGTTCGAAAGAGCCCTGATACTCACCTGTACGATCCATTCACTATTAGCATGGGCCATGATATCCCTCTCCTCCCAATAGAAGGCTGAATCAGATCTCTTGATCTAAAGGGGAAAAAAAATCAGACAAATAAATTTGAAAGCTTTTTTAACAACAAAATAAAGAAATTAAGGTACATCATTTCCTAAACTCTTCCCTTCTGACTGTTTTGGGTTTTGTTGTTTACCGGTATCTGTTTGTCTATTTGTTTTAGTGAATTCTACAGAACTATTTTAACCATCATTGCAGTGGAAAGTGATCTGGAGCACAAACTCACAAATATTTTTTTTTAAAGAAAGAGAGAATGAAAGAGATAGACTCAAAATTGACAACACCAATGTGGCATACAATAAGGGATTGAAATAAAAGTCTATGATGATATAAAGGACAAAAAAGTCTCAATTTAATCGTGAATGAAACAAAAATTTCTTTCATATTCAGAAATACAAACAAACATACATGTACATTTCATTTTTTTCTGATCTTCAAAGCATGCAGTGTACATGTATATTTCTGGCTGACCTGAATATGACCCAAGTTTCAGGCAAATGAAATATGAGAAATACGATCATATCTTTAACACATTAATAAGATACGACACACCCATTCATGAATAATACAAAGTCCTTTCACATACCGGTATGAGTGAATTCCATGTTACAAAATTTCAACACCTGCAGTTTGCCTCAAAAAACTGGCTGGCATTCATGAAAGTTTAATAACTTTAGATCTACAGTACATGTATATATGATTGCAGGGCCCTCAGGGAGGACAACATTGATTATTGATGACGCTACTCTCGTCCAGACATATCATTATTAAACAAGATTTAACTTTTAGTCCCGAAGATCTGAGGGTGGTATAAAGATCATTTGTTTATTCAAACAATGTTGAATTGTTTCTTTCAGGCGACTCGCAAATGTCAAATTTGGTTTGCTTACCATTTCAAATTTACTTAGACACTTCATGGCATACACCTTCTTACTCGTCCTCTCACGAACCTGGAGGGAAAGAACAAAAGAAGAAATTCATGTTGAATTTTTGCTGCCATTTCCACAAGAGAAAAACTTTGTAACAAGGAATATGCAACAATGCTGAAGTCACAACATTAAAGGTGTTCTAAAGTTCTTTTTTCTTTGCAGGGTTTACCACCACAATTAATCGTTTTGACAGGCATTGATTTTGTATCAAGAGTCAAAATGTAATTTCCTATTCCATTATCTCAGAGGGGGATGTAAAATTCCTCGATTTTGAGAGGGCACAAGTTTGCATGAGTTAACTGAACTTACAAAAGCAAAGGAAAAACCACCTCCTAACTCTCTGAGGAAAAAACAGGTCACATCTGAGGTTTTTTCTACTGGGGGAGTGGGGGGTACATACACAAAAAACAGTAGAGGCAGATTTAGAGAGGGGGAGGGCTGGGGAACATGCCCCTGTGACCCCCCCCCCCCTCCCTGATCTGTCACATATGGTATTGCATGATCAGTAGCACATCCAGGATTTTAATAGCAAAATGATCTCACATTAAGTGAGCCGAGGGGCACAAAAATATAAAGAGACAGATTTGTATCCATTTTATTTTAATTTGTTATATTCTTATTTATTATTTATATATATTTAAATTTTATTTATGTATTACCATTCCTATCATTATTATTATTATCATTTTTTTTATGGGGGAGGGGGGGGGGTATGAGTGCCTGTGATTCCTTCCCCTCAATCTATCATATATGATAAAATTTAGGTCTCCTTACCACTTTGACTTCACCGAAAGCACCCCTCCCAATGACCTTGATCATCTGAAAGTCATGAGATGATAGCCGATGGGTGGTGATATCACCAGCCTTCTGTTCATCTGTGCAATGAGACAAAAACAAATGAAAATAAATGAGCAACCAAATTATTCACAAACATTAGTACTTGGAGCATTAATTAATCCTTAATTAATAGAGCAAGAAGTTTTTTATTGTTATTCAACAAATTTTTAATTGGAAGTTGTTGTTGGTGTTTGTGCAAATGCTTACCATGTACTAAGTCATTTGTGACAGTTTAAAACCAATATGTGTTTTAAAAACAATTATTTGTTATATTGCTATACATATCAATCCCTGTTAGATATGAAGAAAAAAATACCACCAAGATGTGAACAATTCTTTTATAGCTAATACACCATTTATTTCACTTCTAGAATTTTCAGGTTTAATTAGAAATGTACACGTCCATGCACTCAACCCACTTCTACTAATATAAACAGTAACATAAGATTTCTTGGAATGAGACTCTTGGAAGTCATGATTGATGCTTTTTTTTAAGGACTGTTTAACTACAAGCATTTCTTCTATAGATTCTCAAGAAGACACAGTAAGGAAAATAGGAAAAGATAATAATTGTCATTTTGTGACAAAGCCTCACAGATTTTTTTTCCCCCTTTTACTTTATAGCCATGTTAAATTTCTTGTCTTGGTGGCTTTGCACCAACAGTTGTCAATTATACGTACAGTAGTCTTCCCCAATCGACTATACAGAAGGGTGTATAGACATACACAACAATCCTTACATTTGCTTTATGCCTTAATGTCTCTCAACTGATGTTGTTCACAAGATGATTACATCGCTAGAGGCAAAGAGAAGCATGGCTTCTAATTCATCATCGGTAACCAAACCAGCTGTTATTGCACTCATAAACATCAAGCAATCAAATCTTCCTGTGAACTTTATTCATATACATGTATATGTATGTGAACTTTATTCATATACATGTATATGTATTTGGGTGATTGAAAAATAGTATACCGGTAATCAAATTTTAGGTTGCACAATGTGTATGTACATGTAGGTGCACAAATATGTACAAAATATTATTCTCTATAGAAGATCATTAAACTTTTAACAGGTAGAAATAGCTGATACAATTTTAGCGCAATGAAAGCGGGACAACTGTTTTCAAAATGAATTCATACAGGGAAAAAATTATTAAAACAAATCGGGGGACTACTTTTCAACCTTGCTTGCATGAAAATAACACTCTTTAACAAATTAATGTCAATTATGAAGAATATAATGTATTCTTTTATATTTATCAATAATATTTCATGCACAATAGTTGTATCCAGTTTCTAATGAAAATTGTAAATTAAGGTGCATACACAATCCATTTCTCTCATCTGTTTTCAAATACATGTACATCTCCATGCGGTATTATTCAACTGAAGCGGATAAAGAACAGGTTACTTGTTGCAAAGTAATTTAGTGCCTGCTATTTTAAAAGTAGATACCACTACAGTACATGTAATGTAGCATCATCTTTCGTTATCTTTTTAAAATTTCATAATTACTGACATGAACAAGGAAAAGTATAAATACATATAAAAAGATATTGAGACATCTCTTGCCCTTTCATATGAAACTAAAACATAAAAGCCATACTATCTTGCACACGTATACAACATGTACATGTAGATGAGCCAAAAATCAAAAGTATGCAAGTCACGTTTTTGTCTTTTGATGGGAAACAAGTGCAATATTTCATTTTAAAGACTTATCCCTAATTTTCATGAATGAGTGAGTCATTTGCTGCAAATATCATCAAAGATAATTGCAAATGGGCTTATTCCCCTCGAAATCAATATTTTATGCCAATATTCTCCCAAGAGGGTCGACCTAATTGACTGACTCATGAGTCGAGCAAACATAATAGGCGCGTCTTCATCATCTCGAGATTGCCAAATAGCCCGCTATTTGGGAAAAAATCCCGAAGTAACAAATCGCATCTTCACTATCTCGAGATTCGACCTCGAAACTGGAAACTCAACCTTGAGAAATTAGCTCGAGATATTTGCTCAGCGTTAGCGCGTATCGCGAATCTTCGGTCTGCCAAATAGTGGGATATTTTGCAAACTATCCCAAGATATCTTGGGATGACAATCCTGACCAAATATCCTTCTGATTGCTACTTCGGTCTGATGAAGACGCAAATTAGCTGGATAGTTTGCGATCGGGATAGTTCAAGTAGCTGGATATTTGGCAATCTCGAGATAGTGAAGACAGGCCTTATGTGAGCTAATTAGGCAACAGTTGAGGGAATCTGAGCAGAAGTAAAGAGTATTTTTCTTTTTCTTCTTCTTTCCTTCTTTACAGTAATGCCAGCCTAAAAGTGCATATTCTTAAATGGCATTTGCTGAGAACAAGTAGGGTACTGGTACATGTCAAAACTCATCTGCTGCAAATGCCTTAATCAGATCTGCCAAATAATTTTTGCTCGAAAATAGCCAAAGAAATTTAACATTCTTGTTTTAAAAAAAATAAAGAGATAAGTACATGTACATTGTAGGCAACAGGAAACGTGTTGTTTGATTGTTTTATAGCATGAATATACATGTATGAAGTAGATCCGCTATATCATTGTAATTGTTTTGACAAAGTACTGTTAAATTTATTTTAGGATATTTTGAATACATTCTTTCATTATGAGTGTAGAAAGATATTCTACCGTATAAACGAAATAAATTACTAATGACAAGCCATTAGACGATTCATCCACGGCCACCTTTGATGATAATTGGTGCGTTAATTGCCCTGTGAGAAGTGAAAGCCATGCATCGTATCACAGCTCATACATGTAAGTTGATTTGCACAATGGAGCAGAAAGCCAGTGTGATATAAATTTCAGAGATTTTCACTAAATGTCAGATGCTTTATTGATTACACATTCTACATGTACAGTACAACATCGATCTGAATTCACACAATAGACCAATTTAACAGTATTCATATTTTTGGCATACTTATGAAACAAAGGTTGTTCTTGACAACCAAAAAGCTTGTCCGAGCTTACCTGACATAGCAACAAGCAATATATGCATCTTTGATTCCAAGTATTGTAGTATTTATTAATAGCAGGTTTACTTGAATAACTCGTCACTAGGTCCCCAGGAATGAAACACCCATAAATTTAAATATATTAGTAAACCAGTCCATTATCTATTTCTTTCATAAGGCACAAATAGACCATGTTTGTAATGTAATCAAAATTTAATGCAAAAAATCTTTGTTATAAATAAAGTGCCGTGTTTAAATACAAATTATTGCATTCACCTGTTATGAAAGATTGTATTTCAATATATATTTAGTCAAAATGCGAATTTCATAAATTCCATGTTGTTAGGTATAGGAGAAGCCATAATGTTTGCCCTACAGTGTACCTAGCAACGATTGATGTATGCAATTCGCATTCTGACTATGGTAATACAATTATTCATAAACAGGTATGTAACATGTAAGATGGCACTAAACAAAGACTTATGCTTTAAATTTGATTACATTATAAAAATGGCCCATTCATCTAGAATACATACATGTACATACATATATACATGTATTTAGTATTTACAATGAAACCATTCACAAATTTTGATAGCAGGATATTTATACAAAAGGTTAATGACCAAATTATGGTTTTTATTATGGGAGGGGACGACATTCCAATATTACCCTTTAAACAGTATCATAAAACTGCCATAATAGTAATAAAATCTGTGTTGACATAATGTATCCAGGCAAGCACAACGCAATAACAGTCCTGAATATTGATCTTCAATATGAGTCAGAGAGCTACACTAAAAATGCGTTATAATACACCTGTTTCGTGGAATTCATATGCACAGTGAGTGTTATTGATTGCTGTGTAATCTGTGCTGATCAGTTGTTGCTGTACGGTAACTTGTATCATAGCCGCCATCGAATGATTCATTTGTGCACTCACCATCTACAATGATGAGCAATATGAATCATTTCATAGGATATTACAATCTTTTAACAGTAGCATAAAACCTTATCTCTAATTGTGCTATGTGAATGTATTATTCATGAACATATCAAGGACATACATGTACAATGTACATACAGTAGATGCCCAAGCAAAGTGTGTATTGTATGAATTTCGAAGACATTTATTGTTGCTTCAACTTCAGTTTGTGTAACTGATTATAAAGTATGTGTTTGAAGCCAGAAGAGTGCTACCTATATATGAAAGGTAAAGACCAGTTCTGGTCATGCGATTGCATTGTGAAAGAAACGTTGTGAAAGAAACGTTGTGGAATCGATCAGAAAAGGTTGATCATCTAGCATCTAGCATCTGCAAGGTTCTGGAATCATCAAAATGATAAGAAATTTGGCCCATTCTTCGTAAAGTTACAAGCACTATACACAGAAAGATGTATATGGGACTACCCTATATCTCTCACAGACCATGAGAGAAACAAATTTACCAAATATATGAATTAGTAGGCGGTTTCCCGGCAAATTTTTTATCATCATAGTCAAAACATATTCTTTCACATGATTGGTAATGAGAGCTTCCATTTCATTTTTTGAAATTGGGGCATTTCCAATACTGGTCTTTACCTTTAAAACAACTTATTATTGCCCTTCTGGTTCCAAACAGAGAAATGTGTTTTGTGTAAATTTTACAAAATAAATTTGCTTCATCAACTTCAATTCACATCGTCCATCACTGAGGATGAAAGCACTGTTCACCTCTGTGAACTCGTTCCTAACACATGTTTGAGGAAGCAGTTGGGAAAAATTGGGTGGGAGAAAAAGGAGGCAATCTTTTTTGGGTTACAAGCTGAAAATCTGGGTCATGCTGATACAGTCGAACCTGTCTATACATGTAGCGACCACCCAAGGGAAACACAAAAAATGGCCTTTGTAGACAGGTGGGCTTTATAGACAGGTTCCTTTAGTACATATTTCAATGAGAAACCATTTTCAAGGGAAACAACAAATGTGGCCTTTGTAGACAGGTGGTCTTTGTAGACAGGTGGTCACTAAAGCAGGTTTGATTGTACTCACATCTTGATAGGAAGTTCTCCACATTCTTGCTCTTCCGAAGTGCTGGGATGCCGCAGTCCCGCGTTAAGGCACATATAGAATCCTGCACATGGGTGAAGACAAAAAGAGAGGAAGAGATATTAAAATGACATGAAATGAAAATTTAGATTAGACGCTGATTATTTTTCAAATATACAAAGTACATTTATGTCCTAAATAATGCTCAAACATCCCTGTCGTTATATGTCATTTTATAATACAATGTTCAGACTACAAGAAATTACCCATTGTATAGCTACATGAATATACATTGTATGTTCAACGTAGGCCTGTACAATCTTTCTATACATGTACTTTTATGATGAATTATGCTAGTCTGAAAGGGGGGAGGGAGAGAAATACTATGTTACAGTGTAAATGTTCCAAAAATATATCTACACTGTAGTGGTGTGGGGTAGCGGTGTAACCTGCCTTCATAAATGCATTTTACAATAAACCAACATGTACATGTACATGTACACTCTTCAATTCTCCTCAAAATATTTGTTTTCGATGAGCTACCATCACACAATGGAATACCGCAGACATGATGGAATTTCCATGACCTCATTCAAACTATTTTATTTGTTGTTACTTGTCAAAAGGTAAGCAGACTACGTGCAACATCACACTGTGTACTGCACCCTTTTCAGATGTCAAAAATGTCACAAATAAATTATGAAGAATGTAATTTACAAGGAAAATGAAAATTCAACAAGGTAAGTGCAATCAACAAGGAAAATGATATCATCAAGGAGAATGCAATTAACAAGGGAAATGTAATCAACAAGGAGAATGTAATCAACAAGGGAAATGAATTCAACAAGGGAAATGATATCAACAAGGAAAATGATATCAACAAGGAGAATGTAATCAACAAGGAGAATGATATCAACAAGGAAAATGAAATCAACAAGGAGGATGCAATCAACAAGGGAAATGAAATCCCAAAAGGAGAATGCAATCAACAAGGGAAATGAAATCAACAAGGAGAATGCAATCAACAAGGGAAATGATATCAACAAGGTGAATGCAATCAACAAGGAGAATGTAATCAACAAGGAAAATGAAATCAACAAGGACGCAATCAACACGGGAAATGAAATCAACAAGGAGAATGATATCAACAAGGAGAATGATATCAACAAGGAGAATGTAATTAACAAGGAAAATGAAATCAACAAGGAAAATGCAATTAACAAGGAGGATGCAATCAACAAGGAAATGCAATCAACAAGTAAAATGCAATCAACAAGAAGAATGAAATCCCAAAAGAAGAATGTAACCACCAAGGAGTCTGTTACAATTAATCAGATACACAAAACAAAAGTTGGTGGGGGTATTCCAGGAAGGGAAGCTTGGGCTATTACTCAGTGATTTCCAGCAGAACAATTCAGCATGGTGGCATGAGGAAGTTTTCACTACACATTCCCCAAACAGAACTCTATATTCTAGAAACCAGCTGGAGACTTGCCCCAGCTGAGATGGTTAGATGCTTGTCAAGGCAAAATCTAATTTACTTTTAATAATACTGTGTACATTTACTACCTTTAATGTATGCATGTACATGAACATATACATGTACAGCCCAAACTACAGTCTTGATGTGAGGCTAGGGGAAAGTTGATGGTGCACTGATAGGTGTGTCACTGTAAATACACTCTCTATACCATCATTGTGCTGGAATGTACTTGTATGTAATAAGTATCCTATTCTACATCATGACCTAATAGCCCGTTCAGGCTTACGGAAATTGATATGAAAAACATCATATGAAACGTTGTATAAAGCATCATTGTACAGTGAAAAAACACAAGAAAACAACAATGGCCAATCACCAGTGCGTGCTCACATTCAGCCCTGACCTATTATACGATTTTCGTACAAAATGTTCAGACTAATTGGGATGTTGATGCATTGCCATCAAGTTTTCGTTCAAAATGATACTCAAACTGGCGTTTAGCTACATGTATACAGAGTTCAGACTAGGGGAAATGAAATACTTATCGTGTAGCTACAATACACGAGTACACAGTTCTCATACGATGAATGCTGGGATTCAGAACACAGGGTAAGAAACAGTGACAAGAGCAATTCCTTTGAAAGCCAGAGTACACTCTAGGTTAAGGTCAGGCTACAAAACAAACCAACTTTGATTCCAATGTTTCTATGCACGATATTGGTAAACTGAGAAACGTCTTTCATTACTGCGACCTTCAAGGCCCATTGTCATTGTACAGTGTATACAAAGTACATGGACAGTTGACAACTGAATTATTCATACTCTAACCAAGTTTTTAAATTTTTGAAGTATGTGAAAAATGATAAAAATCAATCGAAAACTTACAAGGAAGACCAGTAATGTATTTTTTTCTCTCCAAAAAAGGGTAGTGTCGGTGACTCTTCATGAATTTGGTTCACTCACAAGCAATCGTCCAAACAAGTTTTAAACTGAGATTAGGAAACACATTTAGACGGCTAGATGTTGAGTCAATAGTAAGAAATAATTTGTCACAAATTACCATCATCAACATACATGTACATGTACATGTAGTTATTACACTAGCCCTACACCTGTATCATCCTAATTGCTTGTTTATTCAAGTTTTCAAGAATACAATTTTCACATTCAATTTTAAGCTCATTGTGTCTTGCAGAATTAATTTTATATAAAAGGTTTGTCCTCTTAATGAGAGAAAGCAAATACAAAACCTTACACTAAAAAAAATGGCTTCTTAATGTTCTTTAAACCTGGAATAGTAAGTATATTTAGTTTAGGGAAACTGGCACTCTCCCAAATGATACCATTAACAACCTTTCATCATGACATCGTTTTTTCTGTTTCATCTTTTTTTGTACAGAAACGCGGCAGATTCATCACAATTTGTCCCGGTCAATTTCACCTGCATCTGGTTATGTCGATAATGGGACGACTGAGTGATGCCCGTTCCGTAGACCGAGCCTGGCCGAGGAAAACAAATATAGGAATTTTGTGACAGCTTTATTGCGATTGCAGATGTCATGAAAAGCGTGTGTTGAATCGATCAAGAGTTTCCATTGATACTCCAAATGGCGTTAGTTATCAGACTTTAAAGGTGCTATTTACAATCTTAAACTTGATGTTACGTACATGTAGTTTATTGATTATTGTTTACAAATCTCAGAATGTGCACGAGTGGAAATACACTCTTTAAAAGGTACAAAACAATGTTTTTTTAATGATGCAAGTGGGTTCCATGTTGCTATAATGTAGTCAAATAATGAGCTTCAAATATTTCTTCTACAAATAAAGCGATATTGCAGTATAAATGCACTCCCAGTGATCAGTGAACATCCTATTAGGCCTGACTTCACTATCTCTAGATTGCCAAATATCCAGCTATTTGAACTATCCCGATCGAAACTATCCAGCTAATTGCGTCTTCATTAGAACGAAGTAGCAAATTAGCTGGATAGTTGGTCGGGATAATATCCCAAGATATCTCGGTCTAGTTTGCAAAATATCCCACTATTTCCCAACCAGCGGGATAGTTTGCGACCGTCTTCATTAGACAGAAGTACGGAGTCAAATATCCCGATCCCATCATGCACAACGGTTTGCAGAGTTTTACATTACCCTTTATTTTCTTTATACATACTCCTTAATTGTTTACCTGGTAAAAATAGGTAAAGTTTTTTTTTTTAGGTTGATTTAACACATTCCAGTTCCACCTACACATGTAGACACAAATTACGTTTTTCAGGCGATTGGTTCACTTTAGAAGTCTTTATTGATCTCTCTGTTTAAAATGGAGATCCATAAAATAAAGTAAACTCCACTGTCGACAACATAAATGTAATTAAATCTCTAATTTGGAGTTGGTTCCACTAAAATGTGGAGTGGATTCCACTCCAAAGAAGAAAGTAAGAAAATATATAACAACTTAAAAGGAATCAGTGTTTGGTAAAGAAACAAGAAGAGGGGGGGGGGGGGATAAATGTAAATTTTCAATGAGAATTTTATTTCCACCATGCTATGTACATGTACGTGTAGAACTCTAAAATCAGAATATAGAAGAGCATTTTCAAAGTATTTCCTTGCCATTTACATACATTACATGTACAATATGTACGGTACATTCTTTTTTAGCATGTACATGTACACTGTACATGTAGGTACATGTACAGTACATCAGTATTATATCCTGGTGCTTTTTCCAGCTTTATCACAATACAGCCTTTGATATAGTCATTTTGAAAGTGATAGTGATATTGCATCTGTGACTAGTGAGAAACAATATTCCAAAGGCCAGTTCTGGAAAAAGCTACCATTTCCCAGAAAAGGATAATAATTTGACCCATCCTGGATTACGCTTTATCTCTTTTGATCGATGGTGTGGTGTATTTTTCTGAGAGACAACTTTCCATTTCATAACACACAATACCAATGGACTATAAATGTCAATGTTTATTTTTAGAAATTGTTTCTCTTTAATTGTTATTCTGCTATTAAACATATACCGGTAAGTACTTACTAATAAAACTTCCGAAAGAACATTAAATTCCAAACTCTCATTACCTACATGTATCAATAGATCCCATAAAAGCCACATACTGTTCATGTACTGATCAATATAATAATAATTAATCTCCATACATGTACATCTACATGTACATGTAGGTGAAATGCAATGGATGATTACAGGGCCCTAAGACAGAACAGTATTAATATTTTATTATTATTACAGTATCATCATGATATTTTGAGTATAGAAAGCAAAACCTGAAGAACACTTGAAAAGAGAATAAGCTGGATAAGTACTTAATGTATAAGCACTTATTGGATCAATGACTGTTGCTTGTAATATTGGTTTCTGGGTGTACATTATAGGTGGATGCACATTGGAGGTGGGGCGAGGTGGATTTTCTTTTTTTTTTTGGGGGGGGGGGGGGGGAGAGATGACCCCATGTCTGCACTTATTGGAGCAATGCCTGTTGCTTGTATTTTCTTAGGATGTTGGTTCTCGGTGAAGATACGTGTAGGGGTACACTAGAGGTGGGGGAGGGGTGGAGGTGGTTTACCCC